CAAGGTATAATCGAAAAGGTGCCCTCTTCGGAATTAGATAATGACAACGTTAGATTTATGCCACATTTTGGAGTTATTCGCAAGGACAGAGTTACGAGTAAGGTCAGGGTAGTTTTTGATGCGAGTGCAAAAATGGAAACCGATAATTTGTCGTTAAACGATCGTTTAGAACGAGGGCCTAATTTGATTCCGATGTTGTTTGATGTTCTAGTTAAGTTTCGAACTAAGGTCATTGCACTTACTGCTGATATCGAGAAAGCCTTTCTTCAGATAGGTATTAAACAGGAGGACCGTGATTTTCTCAGGTTTTTGTGGTATGATGAGCCACAGTCTGCAAATCGCTCGATTGTCCAGCTGCGTTATGCGCGTTTGCCCTTTGGCCTACGGCCGTCCCCTGCTGTTTTGGGAAGTGTTTTGTTGCAACATGTGTCATCATACCAAGAGAAAAACCCTGAGATTGTCAAGGTACTCAAGGGTTTATTTGTTGACGATCTGTCAACGGGTGGAGAGACAGTAGACAAGGCTTACGAAATTTATCAACAGTCAAAACAGGTAATGAAGGAAGGAAATTTTAACCTTCGTAAATGGAATTCGAATTCGCAGGAGTTAATAGAACGCATCCGAAAATCTGAAGGTCAAGCAACAACCGGGGGGTCAGACCCAAAGTTAGGCGAAGAGGATCAGTCTTACGTACAATCGTGTATAGGTCTTAGTGCAGATAATGAAACTGTGAAAATATTAGGGTTGCACTGGAACTCCTCGTCGGATGAAATCTGTTATGATTTTACGGAGATTACGCAATTAGCTAAAACGCTTCCAGCAACTAAACGTTCACTGCTAAGATTAACCGCTAAAATATTCGATCCGTTAGGAATTTTGAGCGTATTTACGGTTAGAATGAAGGCCATGTTTCAATCGTTATGTTTACAGAAAGTAGCTTGGGATGAGGAATTACAGGGAAGTGCTAGGTTAGAATTTAATGCATTTCTTTCCAAGCTACAACAGTTAAGTAAGGTTAGAATACCAAGGTGTCTTATCAACGGGTTGAGTGTACGCTCATATCAGATTCACGGCTTCTCGGACGCTAGCGAGCAAGCCTATGCTTGTGTCGTTTATTTGCGCACAGAATATGAAAACGGAGAGGTAGATTGTAGAATTATTGTGTCGAAAGCAAGAGTAGCACCCATCAAACAGGTAACTATCCCGAAATTAGAGTTGATGGGGGCCCTGTTATTAGCAGAGTTGATGGATACAATTCGTACTGTTTTGCTTGAAGAATTAGATCCGGCGAAAATCACAAGTTTTTATTGGGTGGATTCCTTAGTAGCACTCTGCTGGATAAAAAACAGTAAGCCCTGGAAACAGTTTGTAAGGAACCGGGTCCACAAAATTCTAGAACTAACAGACAGGTCAGAATGGAAGTTTTGTCCAGGTGTCTTAAACCCAGCAGATTTACCCTCGCGCGGGCTTTGCGGAAAGGACCTTTCAAGGAATGTGTTTTGGTTTGAAGGTCCCGAGTTCTTGAAGCAAAGAATTGAATTGTGGCCATCCATTGATATAACTGACAAGGAAGCCCACGAAATTGCCTTGAAGGAGGAAGCCAACAATTCTCACATGATAACACACACGTTGTCTAGTTCGACGGATGTTTTGAGTATACAGAATTTAGTAAACATAGAACGATTTGGGAGTAAACGTAAGCTTCTTGGCACCCTGGCTTGGGTTTTCAGATTCGTAGGAAACTGTAAAGCATCGTTAACTAACCAAACCCCCGATTTAAATGAGGAGTTAAGAAACGAAGAAATTGAACGAGCAGAATACAAATTGTTAAGTTACATTCAAAGAGAAGAATTTTCAGAAGAGTATGAATATTTGCGTGGTAAAATGGTAACCAAGCCTCCTTTAAAAGTTAAGCAATTCAATTTGTTTTTAGATAACAACGGCGTAATAAGAGCGAGATCTCGGATAACCAACGCTTCTGTTCCAGATTCTACGAAAACGCCAATTTTGTTACGTCCCTATAACTGGTATTCAAAGTTGGTGATAAAAGAATATCATGCTATTGTATTGCATAGTGGCGTACGTGACACGTTAAACGAAATTCGCCAACGTTATTGGATTTTAAGAGGTAGAGAAGCAGTAAAGAAATTTAAAAGGTCGTGTACTGTTTGCATATGGATTGATAGGCACACAATTAAGTCTACTCTAGCCCCAGACCTCCCAGATTCACGTGTAGATGATGGACCACCTTTTACTAACACGGGTTTAGATTTTGCGGGACCCTTGCTTATTAAGGGTAAGAATCCGTCAAGTAAGGAATTAAGTAAATCATATATTTGTATCTACACATGCTTTTCAACTAGAGCCATCCATTTAGAATTGGTAGATAGCCTGAATGTACCCTCGTTTTTTCTTTCATTTCGTAGATTTTGTGCTCGTAGAGGATTGCCGCGTAAATTATATAGCGACAACGCTAAGACGTTTAAGGCTGCTTCTAAAGAGGTAAAGCAGATTCTTAATTCGAAAAACGTGAAAAGCATGATCGTAGATAAAGGCGTCGATTGGGAATTCATAGTACCAAAAAGCCCATGGATGGGTGGAGCCTGGGAAAGATTAATCAGATCGGTAAAACGTACCTTGCATAAAATGGTGGGTAGAGCGCGACTAACTTTTGATGAATTAAATACGTTACTGGTTGAGATAGAATCGGTAATTAATTCTCGTCCTTTAACATACGTTTATGATGATACAGAAGGGGTTACATATCCATTAACACCGTCACAGTTACTTTATGGTAGAAATGTTACATTGTCGCCAAATGATAGTTATTTAACAGTAATTAGCACTCAAGAAACATTAACGAAACGTATCAAATACCATCGAAAGTTATTATCAGAATTCGCCAAAAGATGGAAAAATGAGTATCTGCCTAGTCTTCGTGAGATAGCAAATCGAAATGAACTTAACGAAAGCATTGTATCGTTGGGTGATATTGTTATTGTAAAAAATGAACAGACTAAGCGTTCGTTTTGGAAAATAGGAAAGGTGGTAGAATTGAAGCCTAGTAGAGACGGTAAAATTCGTTCAGTAAAATTGAAAGTGTCTACGGATAACGGAACTACGTATTTAGTACGTCCATTACAATGTTTGGTGCCCTTAGAGGTAAAATCAAATGTATTGACTTAATTGTATGCTTTTTTGTGTTAAAGTTGACTACAGGGGTAGCCAACGGGGGGAGTGTTATGTTCGATTGCTTTAGCTGCATAAATTATAATTATGTATTACTCGTTACCAGCTCTCCAGTGATTGATTTTTAAATGTAGTTAGAGATGGAGGGCGGATAATGTTATGTTCTGTTAATAAATAAAGATATAGCAAACGATGTTGTGTTTTAATGTTTCCAACCTGAACAACAATATAAAATCAATCATTCATATCCCTTATTTCATTTGTCCTTTGTTCTTTCAGGTGTAAAATTTTTGTAAAGTTTCTCTTAAATGAAGAGGTTGCATTGTACAAACGTTTTGACATAGAAATGGAAGTAAAACAGCAGAAATGGAAAAAGCTGAAGAAATGAGAAGGAAATCAGTAGAAACAATGGGAGAAAGCAGGAAAAGAAAGGAAGGGGAGGTAAAAAATGTAAGTGAAAAGAAAGGTAACGTTCGGCAGCAAACCTTTCAAAATTATTCAAGAAAGAATCAGAGTTGGCAGTTGACTCAATCCGGGCTGACTCACAATTGCGTTTGGAAACCAATTTTAGACCCATTTTCCGTTTAGAATACAAATTAAAGAGAGTTTACCCTGGGTGAACTCAACACAGGTTGAACCCGGGTAGCTTTTTGTAGTGTAAACCGGGCCTTCGATTTTGTAGCGTAAATCGGGCCGGGTTTTGTTGATTTTCTCGATTACTTAAATAAAACGTGAATCAAAATTATGGACGAAAATTTGCATAAAAAGAAGCATAAATAAAGGATTTTCCTGGGAATTCGGAGCTGGAGAAATCCCAAGCGAGGCAGGCTTAAGAAGGTACCTTTCAGAGTTGTTTTAATGTTCGCAACTTATCAAAAATATAATTTTCGCAACATTAGATCTGCAAATTTTTTTGATAAAAAAGAAATTGTGCTTTTTTGCTTTGCTCTCCTTAAATGAATGTATAGCGAAGGGCTGGGGGGGTAGTGTGAGGAGTGACGTCATTGGCAATATAATAGAGGGGTTCCAAGAGATGGTGACACAGGGGGGCAGGGGCCTGAAAATCTTTAAATTATAGGTGATATCATTTATGTATGACCCTGTCATGAATGTCAAATGTCTTGTCCACACTTTACTATCGAACATTGTTTCAGCCTGGGTAGGGGGTAGAGTGAACCCAGGTAATATTTTTTGTAGTGCGAACACAAAGTTACCTAGCCAAGGTTGATCTGGGCTGACTCGGCCCGGGCTGACCTGGCCCGAGTACTGGTTTCTATAAAAAAATTAGTGAATATAACATGCACCTAGCAGCATACCCTTCCCTCTACAACGCGTATAAATGCTTGATGACACTTAGCTGCACTCAAGTTTCCTTTGAAAGATCATTCAGCGCTACTGATAATTTCAAAAAAAGAGAAAACTTTCCACTTGATTACGAGCAAGTCATTGGCCAACTTGCTGATTCATTTGCACTTCTTCGAAAAGAGTTGAAACTCTGAGAATTTAAATAAGTTTTGATCTTTATTCTTAACTCTACATGGAATTTTAAAGCCTGTTTACAAGAGATGAAAAGGTATGGATCCAATTGGGTCCAAATTTACGAATTAAAGTCGATGTACTGCTGCTGTTTAGCGTATTGCTTTATTATCAATTTTTATTGAATCAATCGTATTCCAAGCCACATTTTTAGTGGGTGTGGCTCAATTTTTCCCGCCCTTGAGTTTTCTAGCCACCCTGTGATTTTGACGCCAGACTGCCCCTGATCAGAATGTATCTTAGATGCAGTTTCTCGCCATCCCCAGAATACCAAATCGAAATTCTTCTTGGCGCCAGTCATGGTAGCGGGCTTTTCGACACTATTCTACAATCTCATCACTTGCACTTTTTGCCTTGTAGAAACCTGACTGATATTAATCTCATTATATGCCCTTATAAGTGAAAAAAACTCCAAAATACTACGCAACAACAATTTTCTCTTTAGATGGTCTAGCGAATAATCGAGAAGCAGGGTCCGGGAAGATTTTTGGACCGCGCCCTGTCATATTATGCTAAATGTAACGACACAGGGTTCCCTTACGGACAGTATCACGTGACAATTGCACCATTGCGCTGTGATTGCACCAGCGTCTCTGTAAATATGTTTTTTGTATTACGTAATTATTATTTTAAGGTTTGCTTAGGTTATGTAAAGGGTTGTTTCATAAGTTAGGAGTAGTCTTGTCGAAAGTTTTGCCGTACTGCTTGGAGCTCTGCCGCTAGTTTTGTCGTGCCTGTTGAAGCCGTGTCGTTATTTGTCGAACTTGTTGTTAGCCGTGAGTCGTATCATTGCCGTAAAGAGAAGAATTTTGATCTTATCCGCCGTTGCCATATTTTTGAGCATTTCTGCCTAGAACGAACTCACGTTTGTAAAACCCACCTTTTAAGAGGTTTTACATAAACCTTTCTATGCACGGATAAAACGCTGAATTAGATTGAATTGCACCCACCCACCCCCCCCCAAATTAAAATTTTAGGTCCACAGTAAAATGAATCAATAACATTCACGAATATATTTCGAATTTAAATTGGCCCGAAGGCTTAGAAATGTTCTCTATAGAAAACTGACAACAAAGAAAAAGAACATGCCAAACTTCTCACAGGCCCCGTTCTCCGGGTCCTCTAGTAACTAGCCTTGCTATCCCTCCTCGCCTCTTGAAGGTCCTGCAAAGTAGGGTCAGATTCAGAAAATTTTTTACTGAGATCATTGCAAAGCCAATAATGCATGCTCCTTGCTCCCGTTAAAGGTATTTCCAGATTTTATTATAACAAATACAGACCGAGTTATAACAAATAGTCTTCGGAGAAAGTTGTTGAACAGCCTTTCAGTTGAGACTAAACAGACACCGTCTCGTCTCTTAATAGTTTTAAACCATCTATGCCGACTATTTTCTGCAAGCCAAGAGAAAGACTGCTGAATTTAATGGTTTGCTCGAGCTACGACCACACTATTGCAAGGTATGAGTTCAAATGGGCAGAAACACATAAAAAACGGCAATGACCAAACCTCCAAATCTTTTTTTACAGCACTTTTTTGACTAATGACTAAAAACCCCAAGTTGGCTAATTAACGGCATAACTCTAAATAGCAAGGCAAAAATTACAACAATATTTAATTCAGCAAATAACACCACCCCTTTTATACTTATACCTATTACACTACCCGTTACACAAACAAAAAACAATAACTACGAAATGCATCACCATGGGGTGACGTAAATGTTCCGAGATGTGTCCATTGTATCGTATGGACACATCATGTCCTAGCACTATGCATACAGTAGATAACAAAAAAGGGGTCGTGACTCCTGAGGGGTGGTGCTAGAGAAGGGCGAGAGGGCCGATTGCTCTCGTGGTAGGTCTTCCCGACCATTGAAAAAAACAATCCACCCACAGGCTAGTTGGATTTTACTGGGCGCCTGTTGGAGGGTCCAAATTGAAACCTTAAATGATAAAGATATCCAAAACTATTTTTAAGGCTAGACGAGGCACCTAGAGCAGCAAGACCAATTTTAAACAGCGTTCGGTAATTTCATTTTCCTTTATCGAGGGCATAAGATCATAGATCATTCTCTACCTGGAACAGATCGTTTATGTCAACAAGCAGGTTGGCGATACATAAGTGATATACAAAAATGTTTCAGCCTCGGTGTAGAGAAGAGAATAGGAAATAACCAGTGGCGGACTGGACCACCGGGCTACCAGGAAAATTCCCGGTGGGCCCCTGCCAAAAGATGACTGTATTGTGGTCTTTACAATGGATGTGGCCCTTCATGAAAAGTAATGTTTCAACGGGCCAAAGCCCGAAGAATCAATCAAAAAAGTTTAAAGACCCATATGGTCAAACTAAGAAGTATAAGATCTTGTATCCTTGGTACCCTAAGCCTCTAAAGAATCGAATCGAACAGTTGTATAAAGGCGTAAAAGGAAAGAAAGGAAACAACAACAACTTAAAGATGTTGAATAAAAGATAAAACTACTAGCTGGTAACAGCCTCAATCCCAGTTTGGGAATGATAGCAAGGGTGATAGTGGGTGCAAGTCATCAGCCAGAAACCCCTGAGGGACATTTAAGGATTTTATTTGGTATGGCCGTTTCTCATGTGCACCCTACGTAATCCTTCATCAAGGACCATGGTTGCTAACAAAAAAAGACAAATATGAAATATATATTGTTTTACAAAATGTAGCTATTGACATAGGGTACTCGTTGCAGCACTGTTAAACTGTGTTCATTACTAGTACTTTAATTTTTGTTCTACAACTTTGCAAGACCTTTCAAACGTCATGTTGAATTGAAGCAAAAAATCATGGAGTATAATAATAATAACAAGTTCATGAACATTGCCTGGGAACTTTCTTGGTTCTAAATCGGCCAAGGTTCGAGATAAAATGTTTTAATACACTAGATCCATTTTCCGCTCATTCCTAAAATGCCAAATTTCAATTTTTTTGTCGCCAACAAAACCTATGAACATGAACAAAGCTACTTCTTGCAACTTCCAACCCACTCTAAACTTTCACCCTCCCAATTGTGACCTCCCTTATGATCGTTGTTATGCTTTTAAGTGACAAGGGATGCTAAAATATGGGAACCTTTCCACTAAGGTAATCCACATCTTGAACGAAAAAATGCCTGTAGATTTCCATTGTTGCATAGTGAAGTCTAGATGCATTCCTTTAATTAATGTCTCACTATACTACAGCACACAATTGTAAATTAAACCAAATATGCGAAATTCAAGCTTCTTTGGACCCATAGAGGTTGATTTCCCGGTAAGGAATGTTATTCTAGTTCTCCCCTGGAAGCCATCCATTAACGGGCGTACCCACGAATAAATAAGCAGAACAGGAGTGAGATTGTGGCACAAGAACAGTTACTGAGTCTCTTCTTTGATTTCTATTGAATTTTCGTCTTCCACCCTCTGGATACTTTCAACAACTGTTGAAGAGCTTGACCAGCCAATCATCTTCAAAACTTCAGCTTTGATAGCTTTGACTCGAAGAATGCAGAATATCGGGTTAATGGCTGCATTTGCTGCAAACAGGAGTCCAGTCCATCGATGGCAGTGATACGCAACTAACAAACCATCGTCTGTTTTCGCCCTCGCTATGGTGCAGCAAATTTTCCCCAGCAATGGAATAGTATGGATAGATACCAGCATGAGCAAATTCTTAACACGTCTTCTATCTTCTTCTTCTGTTTTCTCACGTTGTCTGTCTCCAAGGGCTGCTACGATGCTTGCACCAACACGCTTAAGTTTGCGAAGCCTGATAAATGTTTCTATGTAAAAGAAGAACAAAAGCAGAAACCATATCCCTGTTGTTCCGCCGATAAAACTTGTGAGATATGGGAGGTCACCCTGTTTTGTAAACAGTTTAAGGATAAATGAAAACCATACGATATTCAAGATACCAACAGCAATAGAATAAATTATCGCCAAAGGTAACTTTTCCCGTTTTCTAGGAAGCTTAACAGAAATGTATTTGTCAACGAAAGAAGCGATTACGCCGATATAGCACAATCCTCGTAAAAAATAAGCAGAAAAGGATGCAGCCAGTTTGAGAGAGCAGTTATGAACCTGTAGCAAGTCTTGAATACGAACGACAGTAAGCAAGACAGTAGTGGACAAGCTGTTAAGTAGCCAAAGAAAGGAGACATAGCCAACCAAGACAAACGAGACTTTTTGCAAAGCTTTTGTGAAGATGATGGTGTAAACGACAATGCCATTCCCTATCACCGACAGAAAGATTAAAATGATGTTGAGCACCACTGACGAGATGGCAGTGAATCTTACTGACGCTGTGAGTTTGAATGCAATGGTCGTCAAACCGTGGCATACCGTCTGTGGTCCCGGGCTGCTCATGTTACTTGTACCATTCATTGTGGAAAATCTTCTGAGTGTCGACCCTTTTGGTTGATAGCAGATCAATCTAAAAAGAAAAAATATTTGATCAAGCTGGACAGTTCAAGTGAGAAGAGAACACCTAAATTTATAAAACTATCTTAATCACTTTAGTTAAAGTCTTAATCACTTTAGTTTAGATAGGGTTGAGAATAGGGAATTTTAGCATATTTCTATATTTATCGAACCACTAAGATTATGTCACAATATTTCAATCGTTGTTATAATTGTTACTTCTACGTAAATAGACAGTGGATTGTTACATTATTTTAAATGATGCTTTAATCATGTTTATCATTTTAAAGATATATTGACTAACTATATTTAATGCTTGGATCTTTTCTGGTTAGTTACATTCAGGAAAACTGGAAGAATAAAAAAGTTGGAGGGGCACAAGTGAGAAGGGGCACCATGTGTAGCAGAAAAAGGGGGCACATTCTCAAAGAGGTTTTCTATTGGAAAAGGGAACTTTTCCAAAAGCTTCAGGATGTGCCCTTATTGCACTCTTTGTTCCTACATCTCTGATTACATTGATAAAAGGTGTCGGTGTGCTGATCCACCTATGCCCTTTTAATAAGCCAATAAAATTTATCAGACAAAGGGCAAACTAAAGTCCTTATCACAAGGATAATGGTGAGGTGGCCCTCTCTTTTTTAAAGAGATTCAGTACTGCAACATGTTATTTTATTTGGAATAAAATTAGAACGAAACATTTTGTTTACTTTTGTTCCAATTTCATTTCATTGCAGTACCCGACAAAGGTATTGCAACAACAACGACAAAAGGAACTGCAACAGCAACGACAACAGCAGCGATTAGGCCTAAATTAAAGAGCAGTAAAATCATTTGTTCGACCGGCTTATGGAACTGAACTATTGCAAAGTGTGCAAACTGCATTGCGAACATGGAAAGAAACACAAATACAGCGCAAAGCATGTTGCATTATTCAACAGCCTGGTAAAGAAATTTGGATCGAAAGTGAGTTGCTTTTCTTTGCGCATGTTGTATTGTTGATATGCTTGCTCGCCATTTAGAGCAGTGCAGTTTGGATGGAATGTTCACTTTTCATGCGCCAGACGAAGACTTTATGCTTTGTTGTGAGTGCCAAGTGCAAAAGGGAAATCCCTTATTAAGAGCAACATGCCAAAAAACTACAGTGCCACCATTCTTAGCGCAAATGTAAGCTGCTTTTAGAAAAACCTTAACAATGTCTGGGTAACCAGATTAGAATCTTTTAACGATTGGCGGGGGAGCTGTTTAATGTCCTTGAAAATTGTGCAGTTGCAAATAGCGCAGATAACAATTTTATGTGGCTGACCATAAAAAATAAAGTATGTAAACTGTTTGCTTGAGTAGGTTGTATAACACTGTGCCAAAGCATTTTAGGAAGCATAACATCTTAATGCTGCATTACTCCTCTGCCAATGACCCCAGTGTGGAATCCATGTAGCTTATGCTGGATATATCCGGCGTAGACTAATGCTTTCCCATTGTCTTTCTATTGTTTATTGGCATATGTCCGGCGTGAGTGTCACATGGATTCCACCCTGGCAATGACCTGCTCTTGATACTGATCCTTAATACTTTTCTAGCATCCTCACAAGAATCCTGATTACCTTCCTGAAACAATTTAAAAAAAAGTCCAGAAAATAGTCTAATTATTGTAAATTAACATTGTTTTTTGGTGCACTGTGACTTTTTGATCGTTTCTCCTATATTTTGTATTACTTTTGCAGGTAAAAGAATGCAAAAAATATTTGGATTTTCCTGAGGTTATCAGTGGGGAATTTGAACCAAGTGCATCTTTTTGGTGTCATTTTTGTGAAATGAAAATTCCTAAACATGTCACAAACAGAACATTTTCAATAAAGTTTGGAGGTGTCTTTGAACATTTTGCAAGGTAATGGTTTTAATTTCATATGAATTGTGACAAGGTGCTTTCAAGCCATTGACTTTTTCATATATGTATATTTTATGGTCAAACTGGACTTTACTCCCTCTATATAGAGAAAAAAGAGTGCAATGTAGAACTTTTCAAAAGCTTATTAAGCATCAAAAACCCATTTTGTGGAATTAAAACATGGTTGATATATTTGTAACCTGTTAGTCTCCGTAAGAAATTACACAGGAAAGCACAGTGAGCAATTTTAGATATTTTTGGACACAACTTGGCAAAAAAAAGTATTTAGGGAAGATGGCATAGACAAGAGTTTTAACTGTTTGTCAGTCTTAACAGAATTGTTTCCATATGGTACTGGGTTATTGTTACTGTTAATGTGGTTCTTGGAAATGAAAAGTTTGTATAACCATTTTGGTACATGTCAACTTTGAATAGCTTTCCCCCCTACAATTATCTGTTATGCATTGCAACAAAAAAGACTCTGTTGCAAAATGGTATTGAAACATGTTTTCTCTAGTTGAAACACTTTTAATATCAGAGGAAACATGCAAAAACCAACAATTTCAGTAAATGTTAAACAGTAGAACCAGGTAAACTTGCTGCAGAACAACTGCAAAGACATCTAAAAAAAATGCTGAAAGTTGAACTTTATGAGGCTCATTAAACAATTAAACAATTAAAAAACAGATTTGTCTGCAATCCATTTAGCTGAAAGAAGGATTGTGAAAATGTGTCATTCACTAAGATTTAATTGTGTTTTCTCAAGCAGTTTACCATTCTATGAGGCACTGGTATATTTTAGTTTGTTACTGTGCTTTAACAACTAGGAAGACCCAGCACTGTATCGTGGATTTCCTGCCAAATACTTTTATCAGGTCCAACTAGTTCTCTTTTGGGGCTCTCTGTCAAAAATACTGAGCTTATTTGAACAAAGTTGTGCACAGCTTTTGTCATTATTTGCTCAAAACATTCTATGATATCATTTCTCTTGCAATTCTAGTTCTGCACATACAAAAAAGACACACAATTTCTGGAAATTGAATGGAGGAGATACCAATCTGAAAAAAGATTTTCTTATCTCAGAAGAAGATTATGTGACGTATTGTATTATTTTACATTGTGTTATGTACAAGTGTATTCAAAAGCTAAAATTACATTACCATTTGGAAATTGCAGACACAAAAGTTGAGCAAAATTCACACTGTATCTATTTTTGGTAGCTTAAGTGTATAGTCTGGCATTTGTAGATTCATGTATGTGAGTAAATTATTGTATGTGAGAAAGATAAGGCATATCAACTTATGAAGAAGGGCTGCAAAACCCAAGCACTTTTTTGTCACTTGTACTGCAATTTACCACAGTAATCTAATATTTTCTTTAGTTACAAAGGAAGATGCAAAAAAGCACTGGACAATTTTGCACAAGAAGAGGATCTATCTCACATGCAGGTTTGCAATTAATTGTTCTTTCTAAGAAAGTTTTTTGTTTCCTTCATTTTCCCCTTCCATTTTGTCTACACCTTTGTGTATTTTTAAAGTAAAGTTTTTTCTCTTCTGTTTTGGCAGAAGTTCTGCAGTTTCAGTTTTTGGTCACGGAATAACTCAATGATTCCAATCAATTTAAGTTTTGGAAATATTAGTGTAAGCTGTATTAATAGTGTAAGAAATATTAGAGTAAAAGGAGTATGACATTGTATGTTGACATACATGAGAATTTGTACTATGTTTTACAGTCCTTCCTATATTAGACCTGTTAGAAAGGACATCAGTTTTCTGTCTAAATTATCTTTCTGCAAGATGATAAGCAGTTGGGACTTTTAATATAAAAGCAGATAGGCAGCTTCTGTCTTTGAATTTTATGTGTCATTTGATGAAAAGAAAACATAGCTGACATATTTAGCAGCTGATAGAAGTGCCTGCTTGCAGATACTTGTGAATTCCCTACACATCTTTGTTGACACTTTTTATTATTTAAGAGATTTAGAGCTTATTTTTTATGGTCTATTTGATTGAACTTTTTGCAATGAAGCTTGTAATATTTTGGTTGATAAGCAGCATATTTTTAAACTATGAAAGGAATTTATAAAAATTAGAAGCAGTCTTAACTGTCTTCCACCCTTTAATGTTCTTGAGATGGCACATCCAGGGCAGCGGCAGTAGCTGTTTGTCCCAACGTTAGAAAACCAAACTGCTTATTGTCCTGCCAATCTATTTAAAATGGTTTTATCAAAAGCTAACATTCCATGTTTTGCCTTGCAAGCATAGACTCGAGAAGAACTTCAGAAAAGTTTGCCTTGTGGAGATGTTCTTTGTATCTTTTGTTTCTATGTTTAGGCTGCTGAGGAAATCAGATCAAGGGAAGCTGAAAGATTGAAAATAGTTTCAGATCAGGTGTGATGAATAAACAGTATCCATTCGTGAAAATAGCTACCTGCTACTTTTCATTATTTGGCTTAATATTTCATTACTGATTCTTTCTTGTCACAATGATAGGTGAGTAAGGAACATTTCCTTCCGAATGATTTCCTTACATGACCATTCATTACCGGCATTTATTCTTTCAAGTAACCTCAACCCAACGCCAACAAAAACTTAATTCCTTTTACAAAGGTACCGATTAGAAAGGTACCGATAAAGGTATCTTTGTGTCTACAGTTTTGACAACCATCGTGACTTGCGTGAATCACAAAATTTGCTTTTTTGTGAAGTTGCCAATTCTTGTCCAACTTTATATTCGATCACAGCTTTACAACGCCTGTTACAAATTGGTTTGGAGGCGTCACCATTAAGAATGCCCCCAATGCAATCATGATAGCAGCAATGTGGTTTTTTTGTTTATGAGGCATCTTACCGTTCTCTAATTGCTTGTCGTTTTCTGGTAACTATGACAAAAACCTCTAGAAATTTCGTTTGTCTTGCAGACAAGAAGGTCTAACACAATCTCATCGAATTTCGCCCGAATTGTTATTTTAATTCAGTCAACAGCCATTATTCGCTACACATGACTACCAGCTTAACTCATTTCACATATTTCCAGGACAGCTTGGATTCATCAAAACCGTTCCTATTTCTTTATAAATGATGCCTTTAAACGATTCTTTATAAATGTCTTTTACAGTTCAAAATTATAGAGCATCATAAATACTTTTGGAGAAATTGGCCTTGTGCATCTTTAAGTTTAATTTATTTTAGCATATTTAGACTGATATGTCTCATCAGCAGTCATTGTGAAATCTTAAAATATGTTTAGGGCGAGGAAGCTTGAATTGACAAATCCAGCTATTTTTCAATCCGTTACACTGCAGCTGGCTCTTTTGAATACATCAAGTTTAATTAACGGTCAGCAAAATCCAAAGATCCTATTGAGTTAGAATGTTTAAATACTCGTAAAATTGTGATATGTAGAATTAAGAATCATAGGTATGGCTGCTATTTATTTGATTGTATCTGGCTTTGTCTCAGCTTACGTAGGCTATGATGGACTTTTTTGTAATTCAAGCTGGCCTGAGCACCTGCTAAAAATGCTATGCAAATCACAGGCTATCATGTATAAAATCTAAACTGCAAGACTGGCAGAGAAACACCTCTAGTCTTTATATTATTGAATAAGATTGCGATCAAGAAAAATCATTTAACACAAATAAATTTTAGACACCTAAGCCCATTCGGTAACAGCAGCGAAAGAAGCATTTTAAATAAGATTTTGGACGCTTCTTTATTGAAATTGCATCGAAGATGAAAATTGAGTGTGCTCGATCGTCAGTTTGCTTCCAAGTTTGAACCAGGGCAGAGACAGCGAAGTATAAACGGATTAGAGGGCTAAAGCTTTCTAGGGGACTCAAATTTCAACATGTCAAAAGCGAGGGGCAAGGTGATTTGTTTTATGGTTTGAAGTGCATTTTGGGGTTTATTGCCAGGGCTAACCACCCTCAGCCCCAAGCTTCTGCGATCTCTAAACTAGGGTGCAACCTGGTTCGGAACCGTTAGAGTTATTCAATTTGATATCTAGAGCAGGATGTCCCTGAGTTGTTGTTTTGAAATCCTCGCGTAAGGCATACGTCAGGCAACTTGTGACTGTCCTGGGCGTGAAGTTCGGACTTTCAATTCCGAACCGCCCTATCCCCCCCCCTCCCACAAATGACAGGTTGAAACTAGTTGCCATTAAAAGCTAGTTATATATTAAATAAGGGTGGCAAAGTACCAGTTGAATTTTTTTCATCGTCAAAGAAGTGTCTCTTATTAACATCGAGCTGAAAATGTAATACGAGGATCTTTAAAAAACGCTATTCCTGCCAGTCTGCGAGACCTGACGAAATTTTTTTCTTAGTTACAGCCTTTCACCCTTTCGTTCAATTACCAAGGGTTAGAAACTTCATAAATCGATCAACAGTCTTGTATGTGTATTTGCTAAGCGTCAATAAACCGTAGAGTCAGTCATTGTAGAGTTTCTTTATCAAATGGTAGAAACATCCAAGCAGCTCAAGTTCCTGTGAAGGAAGAACAGTCTTAAATTCGCATGGGGTCATGCAAAACCACACTGGCTGGTTTGTATTGAGTATTATTCCAAATTTTTCTTTTGATTTTATCTTCTGTTTACCATGTGATCCGTGTGTTCCAGCATGTTTTCCATGTGATCAGGGGCGTAGCAAGCAGGGGTGTAGGGGGTGAAGGGGGTATGAATCCCCAAATTCATTACGAGCTGGTCGGTTAAGCCTTCAGTTTTCCCACAAAATCGTTAGTTTGTCGGTAAAATCGCCTATTAGTAGGTGAAATTACACCTAAATTTTTCTTCATTTGGTAAATGTCATAATCGGTAGATTTTTCTTTTGATGACCCTCTACCCAACCACCCCCGCCCCCCCCCCCTTAGTATGGGAGTTGGTTGCTTTACAGAGAGACAAAAGCCAAAATTTTATTTGAATGTAACGTTAGTTATGCCAGCTTCTAATCTTAATCCAAGGGTACCTGTTGATTAGCCGGACCAGTTTAGAACTCACATTAAGGTCTGAAAATGTTGTCTGATATTGTAGCTGACTGAAATCTAGCTTTGTGCGAAAAGTGTTTCGTTCGAAAGTTTTAAATTCTTAGAAAGTAGAAAATTAAAAATGTTTGTGTTCGCAATCGTAGCTTTCCTTATAAACGTGGTTATAATGATATGAACAAACGATAAGGGGAGATGCGCCGATCATTTTAGGAGACAGAGCAGGTTCAGTTCAGGCAAAATATCCAGTTGACATTAGATAATTCAATAGACGTTCCAATATTTTAAGACAAGTTATCGATTTTAACTCTTGTTTGATAAGAAGAACGTTTCGATAGGATCTTATATCATCCTCAGCTAAAAAGTATGTCTGGAAATTTGGCTTTAAACCCTTGATTATAATTCAGCATGCAAAATTAGGTATGATACGATGCCAAGGAAGTTACTGTTCAAGTAGCTAAGATAGCTTAAAGGAAGACAAGATAACGAATAAGAAACAAATCTTAAATTTGGATGACCCATGTCATATACCGTTTGCTTCTGTATATGATTTTGTGGATATTGACATCAAGATACTGTGATAGTCTATTAAGTAGCAATGTCCTTTTGTATTTTTCGTGGTTATTGTAAACGCGCCTGATTTCTTTAAAAGTGCCTGACTGCAGATGAAACCATCTAAAAAAATTGTTTTTTTCCCGCAGGCATGATGGAAAACGAGTGTGGAGAGGTGGAATTGTCAAGCAAGGGTTGGTATTGAATTCCACTTTTTCTTGATATTTTGTCACTATCTGGGTTTTCTTGCGACAGGCTTCACATTTTACTGACTGCTTTTTACTCTTTAAGTGCTTCCGTCCAGTTACTCAAATTAGAAGTTACCTATTTTACACTTGTTGTAATAGTCGCAACAGTCCGTTGTTTGGAGAGAGGGGTTGCATTAGAAAATGTTTAAAATTTATATGTAGTGTACCAAGTCTTAAGAATGTATTTGTCTAAAGAAATTTCCTTACCAGTTTATTGACTTTCTTGCTTTGCTGAGGGTCTTTCTCTTTCTTCCTTGCTTTGCTGATGATCTTCCCTTTCTTGCTTTGCTAAGGATATTCCCTTTCTTGCTTTGCTGAAGATCTTCCCTTTCTTGTTTTGCTGTAGATCTTCTCTTTCTTGCTTGTTTTGCTGAATATCTTCTCTTTCTTCCTTGCTTTGCTGATGATATCCCCTTTCTTGCTTTGCTGAAGATCTTCCCTTTCTTGTTTTGCTGTAGATCTTCTCTTTCTTCCTTGCTTTGCTGATGATCTTCCCTTTCTTGCTTTGCTAAGGATATTCACTTTCTTGCTTTGCTGAAGATTTTCCCTTTCTTGCTTTGCTGAAGATCTTCCCTTTCTTGCTTTGCTGAGGGTCTTCCCTTTCTTGATTTGCTGAAGAACCTCCCTTTCTTGCTTTGCTGATGATCTTCCCTTTCTTGCTTTGCTGAGGGTCTTCTCTTTCTTGTTTTGCTGAGGATCTTCCCTTTCCTGCTTTGCTGAGGGTCTTCCCTTTCCTGCTTTGCTGAAGATCTTCTCTTTCTTGCTTGTTTTGCTGAAGATCTTCTCTTTCTTGCTTTGCTAAGGATATTCCCTTTCTTGCTTTGCTGAAGATCTTCCCTTTCTTGCTTTGCTGAGGGTCTTCCCTTTCTTGATTTGCTGAAGAACCTCCCTTTCTTGCTTTGCTGATGATCTTCCCTTTCTTGCTTTGCTGAGGGTCTTCTCTTTCTTGTTTTGCTGAAGATCTTCCCTTTCTTGCTTTGCTGAGGGTCTTCCCTTTCTTGCTTTGCTAAGGATCTTCCCTTTCCTGATTTGCCGGTGTTCTTTATACCTCCGTTTGTTGTTGTGAGCGACTGTCTAGTGGAGCCAAAGAACCTCTTAAATGCTCAGTAGATCGAGACAACCATCTTTTGAAAATTGAATCATCACTAGGCTTTTTTTACTTGCTGAAGTTTGATGATTGGCAGGTGTCACAGTTCCGCTATTCTGCAATCCTGGCCAAACCTCTCGAGACTGCTTCACAAATTCAATTCATTTCTTATTCAACATGACCCCTCCCCCTATATCAATGTCGAGCATTTAACAGAAGTCGCTTCTTAATTGTAACTTGCTTTTAAGATTTAGGAGGAGAGATCTCACCAAGGTGTCAAAAGGAAGAAAATTTGGCGAAGAAGTTAAGTATATTCAATTGATGATATACTGTGAAAGATTAACTTTTAGTGCATTGACTCTCTAAATTTGCGACGTTGCGACCGCCCTTGCCATGTGTTGCTCTGTCATAGCTATTAGAACTCCATTCCAAGATTTTGAATCTAATTACAATGAGCTACGTATTGAAAATAGATCTATCGGTGAACCATTCATTAAAGCAATCTGCAACTGTTGTTGATCGAAATATTCAAAACTATGATGACCTACATTCCTACTTTCTTGGAAAATATATTTGAAGAAATAGATAAAAAACATCTGCCATTGATCGAAACAAGAAGGTTTGGCGCTAATAAGATCAGATTTGCAGTCAAAGGAGTTTTGGAAACACACTCCACCTGCCTTAAATAAAGCGAGCTTTTCGCAGCCATGCAAAATAGATATCAAAGAATACAAAATGTTCGAATTGAAACTGATGGTTACACACAACATTTTAATCAGCTAGCTTCAAGTTTATTTAATATTTATATCTGTTATTTATTGTAATTGAATGTTTACACCGATATTTGCCACAAATAGTAAATAGCTTTAATTAGCAATTTTTTGTAGATACTATTAGGCAGCCAACTCTAAATTAACGAATTTGTTGTAAGGAACTAAATTAATCAATATGCGCGAACCCTCATATCAACCAAATAAAATCAACAGACACATTTAAGAATGGCCTTTACAAATGTTGCAAGCAATCACTTCATATTAATACAATTAAATTTTTGTTTAATTAAATTTTTTTCTTCATTGAAATAAAAGTTTAGCAGTAAACCCTAGCAGATGCCATACCGTGTCAGAAAGATAGTTCCTCCGTATTTGTCAACAAGGAGATAACTGATTGTCAGTGTTAAAGCAAGGTACTACTAAAAAGGGTTCACAATTAACCGCTGCTTTAAAACCTTACCGACTACTCAATAAACAAGGATGAACAAATCTCCTTGCCCCTCTTTAACACACTCTAAAACATGTTTGTATGGTTTTTTAATGTGCAAACTACATATCATTCGTGCAAACCAAACTTAATATGCATCGATGGTGTCGAAATAATGTTGCTAGGTTGAATTGACTTTAGTGTTCATATTTTTTTGTAGAACTTTATGTTGTTGTTTGAAACTTTATGATTGTTAAGAAAATTTTTTTTGTTATTAAAGTTGCTTAAATTTTGTTTTTCGTTCGACCAATTCCTCGCAGTGACATGAAATTGCTTTAGCTATTTTCCTCAGAAACCATATTGGATTTGAAAAAACAAGAATATTTTAAAAATATGTTCAGGCTCAAAAGTTCTTGGAAATATTGAGACTGGACAAAATTTATAATATTCTTATAAAAAATAGTGCTCACCCTAAAAATTTCACACAAAATAAATGTATTTAGGGCGTATGACATCACTTAGTAGTAATAATATGATGCAAATTTACTTTATTAACGTTTCCATCATTTTCCAGTCGCCTTCAAGTTAGGGGTCTGGAACACAGGCTACCTTAGGGGTGTGGCACCAAAATCCAATGATTATCTAACACCCCCCCCCCCAAATTTTTGCCGCCTGAATCCGTTTCTGAGTGTAGGCCACCTTAGCTTCCTATAATTGCATTAAATGTAAGATAGTTAACAAGTGTCTAATAATTTTTTTCTAAAACAGATTCGGAACATATTCATCGGACCAGCTCTTTTCTGCCAACGTTGTCGTCGGTAACTCCCTCCAAAAATGTAAGTATTTGCTCCAAGAATTTGTTGAAATTTATTTGCTTCAAGCATATATTATTTCATTTATAATTAAGGGAAAGTTTCCCTTTAGAAAATCCCTATCTTAAAGTATTAGTACACTTCATTAGTGCACTTAACTAAATTTTTAATAGCATCCGTCTCTCTCCTCCAAATAATTTTTATGGCTTTTAGCGCTCCAATGTTGCCCGTTTGATTTCTGTTTCAACAAACCGTTCATGTTTGGGGCGGGGAAAGGGGGCTACTTTACCAAACAAAGATGAAGATGTTCTTTTCGTAAAAGTAATTTAGCAATGCTTCATTTTAAAAAGCTCCTTTTCGCAGAAGATCCAGCAGATTACTGGGAATTATCTTAATTCTAAAACTATATTTCTTCTTACAGATAAAGTTAATATATTTCATCTGGTTTAGCACGAGTGTTTTCGCCATGACATATTTTTGCTTCCCTGTTGTAACAACACGCACCTTGTTTTGGTATTTATATTTTCATTCATGTTTTTATTTTTGTTTTCATTTTCATATCTAGTGCATTTTCTTTTTATTAAAGGCTGGTAAATTAGTTGGAAACATTCATACTGGTAAGCGACAAACAAATTAATTTTTCATTTTCTTATTGAATTTTAGTTTTGAATTTCTAGCTTTTAATATTAGTTTTTTAAGGTGACAAATTTTTTTGTAAACGCATGGGATAGTTATTTTTCTTTCAATTACGCTTTTTGTAAGAGCCATTTTATTAGAACAGAAGCCTAAAAAATTGGTCAAAAATTAAGATCATGTTAAGAACAAACTGAGGCTAAGGTACTGGAAAATGTAATTTGAACAACGTTTGTCTACGTTATGTCTACTTCTACGCTTTTAAACTTTTGACATGGCCTATCGAAACATTGGAACTAAAATATTGTAGACTATTATTAAGATATTTATCTGTAAGCAAATTTTTGTTTAAGATAATGTTTCATGGCAAGGTATATCTTTTGTTATTAAAAAATTATACCTGCACTCATGGGGGAAGTTAGGATTTTTACGTCGGGGGACCCAAAATTTCCTTTTCAAAACATATAGAATATAGTTCAAGAACAAATCAAGAAAAATCAAGCTTCAAAGTTTTAGAATAATTAGCGGGCCTGGCAAAATGGTGGAAACGCTCGTTTCTTTATCTTGGCGTCTCTGCAAACACAAAATGGCGGTAACGGTTGATCGTTTCCATGAAATTAATTATAATAAATACACTTTCAGCATTTTAAATATTTTCTTTGTATTATGCGATCCTTTTATAGACATTGGATTTTAATAGGTATTATTTACTTTGTTTATAAGTAAGGTAATGTTTTTATTTGTTCCGGTTTCTTCGCAATTAAAATACAAACCTGTACGTAACAGTCGACCAATCGAATAAATGAAATGAAATTTGCGTTGTAAAAACGTGCTTGAAACCAATGATCAGCAAACTATTTTTACATTTAATTGTATTGTGACAAAAAGTACATTTAAAACGTGTTTGATCTTATTTGAGAACTTCCTCTAAAATGAAAAAGAAAATGTTTTTACAGTTCAATGCCTAATAATCGATGGGCAATGATTGGACGTGTAGAAAAACACTTTATCAAGGAAACTTTTTTAAGGTGGCACCCTGTGACGATTTTGAATATCAAACCCAAGTTGTCTGTGTCAAGTTGTGTAATATTTATTTTTTTATTTCTCCCACTTACCCTCGTATAGTTTCAATTTGCGAGCTCATTTTCTTGGCTACACCTTATCTTGTTATTCAGGGGCTGTTCCACCTTGGCTGCAAGATGATGACTCAAACCAGGTTCTCCTCTTTGTTTGAATGTGTTTGTCAAACATTAAGACCTTCTTTAATAGTCACCTTTTAAAAACGGCTACCCCGTAATAGGGGACGTCCCCAAACAGCAGAAACTTTAAAACCGCGAACGCCTTCAAATTTTTGTTACAAATGGTTTTTTTGTAAAATATCTTCTCTGCGATAAAAATTTTTTCGATGAAATCTCAAAGCAACAGACACTTCTTTAAAACAGACAGTGTTTCTAGTCGCACGAGTGTCTATAAAATGCAGGTTTTACTGTTAATCTGTTTGATTTGCTAGACGTTATTAAATTTCATGCGATTCCCCATTGCAAGCGATTCTCCATTGCAATGCTTATCAATAAATTGTTCACTTGACATACACCTCAACACATTACTCAATTTGCCCTTGGAAAAATACGCTTAAAGTATCAAAAAGTTTGTTGTTTACTGGCATTCCAGGTATGAAAAGACCATCCTCACCACTGGCGATCGAAATTATATGAAACAAAATTATATGAAAATGACATCTTGCAAGATCATTTATCCCTGCCTCTTTTCCTTGCAGCCTTCCTCTGAACCTGCCATTGGACCATCTTACCAAGAATTTTTACGTCATGGTGAATCAGTCTTTGTGTTTTATTTCACGGCTATCTTCTTTTTATTTGAGTTCTCAGTTGTAAAGATCTTACCGATACTGTCCTTTTCTGAAGATTGGTGAAATACTTTCAATAAATCAACGTGTCCATCAGTTTTCATTTAATGTTTGAAATCTGTGGTACCTAACCTTGGACCTTCGGACTTTTCTTTATTTCGTACAACAAGGTATCATATAATCACGCTTTGTGTTGAGGACAGGGCGGTTCTCAGCTTCAACTCCAAGCTTTACCTGGGGTAATGATATAGTGACTCTCCCTCATGTCACTCCAAGTAATAATGTAATAATTTTATACTGTTATTTTAACCATTTCTTGCTTGGTCCGTTTGAGGCAGAAAGTAAAATATAATTAGTTAACGTTAATGATTGTTTTTAGCCGAGAAAAAACAAAAGAAAAAATCGAATTTTAAAAGCGTCGGTGCAAATTTTGATCACTCTGCAGAGACGTCAGATGACTGGTGAGTCGAGCATTTTTATCGTCTTTCTCTCTCTCTTTCTTTCTCTCTTATCTTCATTTTTTCTTCTTCTTTCTTTGATCTTCTTCTTCTATCTCTTTGTTTTCGCTTTATTGTATCTGAAAATGGCTTTGTAAAAGCAAACATTTTTTGGCTATGAGCTTTTTCGTCTGACACTCCTTAGGGCATAAAATGTGAGCATGTTTCTTTCATCTCTTTCTTAATTTTATTTCTTCTATTTTTCTTTCTTGCGTTTTTGTCATCTCTTTCTCTCTTTTTTCTTTTTATTTTTTCTTCTTTTTTCCTCTTTTTCTCTCCTCTAATTAGACTTCCACATGTGACCAAAGATTCGGAATGATAGACTTATTTCAACAAAATATAATATATTACATGACATACCTATGGCAATTACAATAACACAAAGCAACATTGAGTATTAGGGTGATGATCTACCAACCATCCTACAAGGAGATACTCTGAGGTGATCACTGTTCGCCAGGAAGATTCGCCAGGAAGATTCGCCAGGAAGATTCGCCAGGAAGATTCGCCTGCTGTGGGGGGTTGCTCGCTCACAAGATGCTGTTTGGAATCGATGTACTTAAGATATCCCAATGTTTTTGGGATAAAATCTGTCTCGGGAATCAATACTTTTGGAGCTTGCGAGTGTCAGTTAGAAGTATTAATGATAGGTAAATTAAATGATTTAAAACTAATGCTCCTTATTTTTTTTCATTGAAGGTTGCCGTCTTTCGGAAGAGTTTGGAATTCAGGCCCGAGATGGCAGTCAAGGTATTTTACAGCATTTCTGTCGAAATAGGCGTTTTTAATGCATGAATTATGAGCTTTAATGTGAGAATTTGAATATTTTAAATCAATATTAATGTCAGTTGTAAAATTTTCATCTAAACAAAGTCGTGTGAATCGTGAAAACACTGTTTACATCAGCGGGGGGGAACCAGAGAACTTGCTTTGCTAGAACTTGTTATTCGGACCAAATGTACGGGATAGTCGAATCGCGACGAGCTGATGGCCTCATGCTTGCTCTTGGTGTTTTTTGTAACGTTTTTAAAACAAAAGCTTCTTTCATGCACGAATTTTTAAAGATATGAATTATTGAAGCTTGAACATCTTTTGTCATGTAAATTTGATCGTTTCAGGAGAGAGTATCGGAAAGAAAAACAGAAGACTAAGAAAGAGATGCTTTAGAGGACAGGGTCAACGTTAATTGCTTTGAGCGAAGACATATATTTAATTTCAATATCTGATTGTTAATAGCATGATACTTGCTATATAACTTTTAAAATGTAAATAAATTCTTGGTGTTTCTTGTAAAAGTTAATGTGAGATTTACTTCGACCATTCTTTATTATTTGTTTGTGAAATTATATAAGGAAACAGCCGAAGTACCTCCCTTTGACTACTCTTTGTACACATCGTTTCATGATCAGCTTCAACCTATAAACCCAATTTGAAACTTTTTGGGCCGTTAAGTCTACTTTTCTATTGAAAGTGTTTTTTGAAATATTAAAGGCTATTCCGTTTTAAAACCAAGCAAATTTTACTAAAAACTTTCTCATATCGAAATAAGTATGTGATTTCTTCGATTCATAGAAAATTTCATTTGGGCGGATAGCATCGTTTTTTTATAAATTGTTTATGGCATTTTTTATATAGGTTCTCTGCATAGTAACAAGCATAGAGCCTTTGGAAACTGGTAAAAGTTAAGCAAGCTTAGAAGAATGTAAGTAATGCTATAGCTTTATGAAAAAGGCAAAAGGCATTTTCCACCTTTGCTGAATTAGTTTATATGAAATAGTCTTTGTTACTATTTTTAACTTCCAACAACAGAAAATATTCAAGAAGGCTTTCCCCTTAAATTAGGCACTATATAGAAATTTATTTTGACAAATTAAATATACTGTCTAGGAATAAAGAACTAACTTCATTTAAAACGTTTTCTTATTGATCCCAAATAAATATTGTTGCCTTAGGGATGTAGAAAAATTCATTTAGTGCTGGAGAATAAAAACTAAGACTGTCAGAATGCAAGCTAAAAGCAAATTTTTACTGTTTCACTGAATTTAATTAATCATTCTTAATAAATGTGTACAACAATGATCTGGCTAAAAGGGTACATTAAATCTGCCCACCAAATCGGTGATTTTTAAGGGAGATCTAATTTTCATAAATTGCTACTAATTGCTCGAAAGCAAGGAAACAGGTTTGAAAAAGTTGTAAAGTCAATCAAAAATGCTTCATACAAGAACTGGGCAAAATAATAGAAATAGTGAAAAGAAATTAGAAGAAAAACCGACTTATTTAGTACTGAATGTGGATTGCAGACGATTTCGAAATTTCCCTGGTTTCCAAGCGTGGTAATTTACAAAAGGAATAACTTAGGTCTGAAGTAAGAGTTATCATACGTGGTAAAAAAATTTGAACAAAAATCAACACATATTCGATACTTTTTGAAATCAGCTGGGGGAGGGGGGTATGGTGGCAAGCCTTTTCTTATAAAAAGAGAAGGACAATGGCCTTTGGCTTAAACAATGGCAGGGCAAGAGGGGCAATTGTCCCCAAACCCTGCGCAGATTTAATCTCGTGACTGAGTTTGGTCATTCGAAGGCTTTCAGGGTTTAGCAAGAGAATTGTATAAAAAATTCTTTTACGAAATGTTAATTCAAAGGAAAATGACAAATAAGAGGTTACTATAATATTATCAAAGACTTTTTTACGAAAAATTATTCTATCAAGACTTCTTCCTGAAATCTATCGTCATTATCTTTATACAATTGAATCCCGTTGAGTTGTATCCCAGTTACCTCGGATTTTGATATTTCTACCTTATACAAATCAAACTTCGTTCTCCAGATAAGTCGGACATCGGCTAAGTTTGACTATTCTGTTTATCCTCCCCCCTTGAAGTTCCGACTTAACAGGAATCAACTGTATCAAAACACATTTCTGGAATAAATAGTTTCTTGTCTAGGTGAGTTCACAGTCGTAAACACCCAGGTATACCTAAAATTTAGATAAAATTTATGTGATGACTACAAATATAAATTTAAAATCGAGGAATAGATCAGCTCTCAACAGAATGGTCTTTCGTACAAAGGCCAATAACAAACTGGTTAGTGCGGAAACTGAACGAGATATGCGATGTTATTTTACTCGAAATATTAAGCGATTGTCCTTGCATTTCCAACAATTCCTCTACCAATTTTCTAGCAGCTTTTTGATCCGATGATAAATCTTTGTAAAGTGAATTTAGATGTTCGGAGGTGGTCTTGCTATTCGTTCTACAAAAGACAGATTACATTGAATTGTGGGAAGCTAAGGGTAATATTTTTATTTAAACAGCCAGGCAGGGCCGTATTTGTCATGGGTGATAGTAGATGAACAAAACTCTCAAAGGAGGAACTTTAGGCTAACTGGGGGCAAAAAGTCTCAACTTACACTTGCAGGAGGCGTGGGGAAATGAAAAATGCCCGGATCATTCAATTTTTCGAAACAGGACCCCCGACCAAGAGGTCCCTGAAATTTTGAAATATACATCCTTTTCGGGGCTATCATAGTATAAGTTGAATTAACGACAGACCACCCTTAATTTCGTGGTACGCATCCAGTTACCGATAGTGCGGCTCGAAAAGTCGCTTCTCGTGAAATATTGAAGTTTGAATCATTCTAAAACAAGCTTCCATTTCCATGGCATCTAACCTGCAGTAAGCTAAGTAGAACAAAACAAATTAGCAAGGGTAGACAAAATCTGGGCGTTAAAAGTTAAATGTCGGAATGGGGATCTGCACAGATCTGTTTTTCAGGTGCAGGGACATGCGCAGAACTGTGTTCAGGCATGTGAATGAAATCTGGCATCAACTCGACACATTCGTCAACAAAGAACCAATCGAAAAGCCGGATGCGATCAGGCCAGTCAGAATCACTTCCAGATGCCTGGTATTTGTCACGTGCCAGGAAATCAACTCTTTTATGTGCCTACAGATGCTAACTGATACAAACCTTAAGCTCTCCACCAACGATAAAATTTCGTTTAAAGTATTCTTTATTTGTTTTGAGCTTTTATGAATCTGATCGAGACGACCCCTCTCTGCAACGAAATATGACTCAAGTTCGTGTCTTCCTTGCTTCTCTGTGTAGACTTGTGCTTGCAAATACTCCACGTACGCATGCGCCTGGGAGAAAGGATATGTAATCACTGAAACGTATTCATTTGTTCGCATTTTATATAGAGGTTTGTGCTAAAGCAACTTGTAAGGTGAAACTTTTGTAGCTGGCTAAGCAAGAAGCTGTTTTAAGCTAGAAATTAAAAACTCTCCGTATGAAAGACATGCAGGGACATCTAATTCATATCTAATTCAATAATTAATTATAAAAATCATTACGTGAGAAAATGTAAATTAGTTAAAGCTAGCACTGAATTGTGAGCTTGGGATAATAATTGATAAAAGTAATAATTCATGACGATCATTCATTCATTCAGCTGGCCTGAAATTATCAAAGAGAGAGGATGGACTCCTTGGGTCGACCAAACAAAAAAAATATTAATACCTGATCAAAGTTAAACTTTTTGCATTTATTTGGGCTATCCATAAGTTGCATCCAACTTGAGGCAGCTTTTGAAAGTATTTGCAAATAGTAAAGTAAATAGTGGAATGCAGAACGAATTTGGAACCCTTAAAATTCATCGAGGAAAATACCCCAAAGATTCTTTTGCTTCAAATAGATACCTGGAATGCTACTGATAAGAATTTAATGAGAAAAATTTGATTAAGCTGGAAAACATGTACGACAACCAGACCGCATTGCTTTTAAACTGGTCTGAGATACATTCTGGGACCGCGGAACACATCAAGGATTGAAAGAGAAAGGATGCACTAAGATGGACTAAATTTGTTTCAGTATGCTTATATCAAGGGCAAAATATAATCAAAAGGAGGGTCAAAAGATTTTATCGAAATCTTTGAGAGGGTACTAAATTAGATGCACACCCTCGATCTGCAGTCCCTGGGTATAATATGAATTAGCGAGCCTCAGCGGCCTCAGCGGTCAACTGAATCGCCATTCAAACTTAAAATACCTGCTGAATCGCAGTTTCAGCGTCTGCATTTGTGGCCTGCTCTCCGTCCTAAAACGACAGATGTTCAAGATAGAAATTAAGAGAAACTAAATCCATAGCGAAACTTTAAGATGACTTCAATTATAACTTCGATTCTTTGGATTCTGAAAACTACAGGAAAATAAAACAAATTGATTCATAAACAGTAGAACCTAGATTGACATCCTCGCAACGAGGGACATTGCAAAACAGAACAAATAATTTTGTCCCAAAACACTTATTCTATCATTGTACAAGTTATCTCTAGTCACCAGACACTCCCTTCATCGGACATCTCCCTACATCGGACAGCTCCCTACATCGGACAGCTCCCTACATCGGACAGCTCCCTACATCGGACACCTCCCTGTAACGGACAATCCTGGTATTAAAAATTTCCGTCAAATCGAGGTTTTACAGTGTCTCTGTTTAATCTTCTATCTAGAATATTGGCGAAATCCCATATGGTTTTTGACATTGTTCTTAACATCCTCGAAACTGACCATGTTCAATGGACAAATGGGGGTATTGATAACAAATAACAGTGTTCTTTGCATTTTGAATAAATTGCCGACTTGAAACCCAATTGATCGATGATGTTTCAATTCGGGTTTTAAGTGGAAGGCATCATGTAGCTCGAGCAAGTTATGCCTGTTATTATTTCGCAATTCTTACCGTATTGCCTGCATCATCGTTGTTCCTTTGTCTCGAATTTTTTGATATAAAGGTTAGTAATTTCTTTCTTGGCCCCAGTTTACTATGAAAAAATATTAAACTCAGTTAGCAACAAAGAAGGGACAATGGTTCGGAATCAGAGGCAGATTCATTGCAAGAGTACAATGACTAAGGAAATTTTGATAATCTACTGAATTACTGTTGATATTTAGAAGATGATACTAGATGACGACACTAGGCATATAACACAGTGCTCAGTCAGATGACATCTTGTGGCGGGAATATGTGGATGGCGCAAGAGAGCAGCTGCAATCCAGAAGTTTGAAAATAAGAATAGATAAAACAATAAATTCGGGAGGGAAATATACCCATGCACCTTTCGACTCCTTTTTGTGTCCTCTAACAGTATATGAAAATAATTTAGGAAGACTCTGTTGCTGGGTTCCTGGGCTTCAGATCCAGGGGTCTGGGTTCGAGTACCTGCTATAACAGGTCAATTAGAGTGAGGGAAGGAATAACGAAATGTAGTTGCATCAAGAGGAATGACCAGGACACAGTTCGATAAGCACAGTTTCTCAGTTTCCTAAAAGCTACCTTTTTAGTAAAAATGCCTTACTCGATTCCAATGTGCTTTAATTCTTCATCTGTTAGAGTGAGAAAAGTATCCATATCGATGTCCTCCTTCTCAAAACATGGATAATATTTTGAGAGCTTTAAGTTCTCGAGAACATCAGCTAACGATTCCGTGTTTGTTTTCCCCTGATCCTGACTAGGTGACCAAACTTGGTGTTTGGGAGGCTCGTAGCAAATCCGGCTAACCCGTTTCTTTCTCGAGGGTATCACGATGCTGCAATGGAACAAGAGGCTGTTTCAACAGAACGGATTTGGTCTAAAAATTGATTCAATTTCTATTCTATTTCTTTTTAAATTCCAAAGTTGAATAAAACTAATAGTGGTAATTTTACAATTGAGTTTTTCCTTATAGCACAGAATCAGAAGATAAAATTTTGTAAAATTTGAAGGGCAAAAAACAATTTTAAAGGCTAAATGGTGGATTTGAAATATCAAATTCATTAACAACAACATATTGAAATCGTTGTCTTCAATCTATAATTTTCATTCTATGGCTAGGCGGCTTAAATATTTAAAATTAATCAGTTTCACTAGGGTCAAGTATCATCAAAATATTTGTATACTTACGTCTGAGAAATATCGCCTTTTATTCCTGTAAAAAGAAAGGATAATCATGTTTACCATGGCTAGTGACTAAAAAGCTCTCACGAGTTTTTCGCATGTAGTGCAGCTTTCTTATAAACTTTCTTTTAAATTTAACATAAACTTTTTGCACAGTGTGTATGTATTTAGTAATCTATACTGCTAAATCAATTTTTCAATTTTTAATGTTAGAAATTGCTGCATCATAGTTTCTTAAAACCTAAAACCTTTTGCGGCTGTTTTGGAACTACATCGGTGAATTTTGTAAAGTCAGTCTTCCATTATTGCCAGAGCTTTTTCTGGTTTTTCAAATTAGGCCTTTCATATCGATTTTCATTCTTCACAGGAAAGCATTCACAAAAATATCCTCACCATTGTCACTTGATGTCGGCTTCTCTGTCCCCGAATTTTTGTCAGCTAACGCCTAAAAGGCAGGAAAAGTATTGGTTGATAACGTGCACTTCAGTCACCGTTAGTCTGCCAACTACGAACGATCTTAGGCCATAAGAAACATTCAACTCAGAATCATAAAAGAAAACAAGACATTAGTCCTCGCAGATTTATTGTTTGAAAAAGTATATGGACATACGATTCTCAGATTTTGGTAACAAGGGGGGGTGCCAGCCACTGGACTGTAGAGTGAGGGGGGGGGGGTGAATAAAAAAGTTAGGGGTCACCCTTTTTACAGTACAAAAACGCCATTTTACCTATAGAAGACGCCAATTTTACCAATAGGGAACCTTAATGACTTACTTTTGGATACGTAAAGACGCTTTCAAAATCACAGAATCACACAACAATGAGTACCCCTCTCCCAACAATCTTATCTGCCAGGCACCTCCAACCAAATTAATCATCAAAATACGCCTTTAAGGTAAGAGCTTTTGACCCAGTAACACCTAGCTCAAAAGTCTGAAGACATTACATTGATTTACTGTGTTTCTGTAGAAATGTGCCTGTTCTGCAAATATGACTCAAGAGAGCTCTTACACAGTTGGAAGGATACGACATCCCACTTGCTTAATTCTCATTAACTTTAAAATTGCAATTCTGAATTAAAAGAGCTAAGGATATTATTATCGATGGCTCTATGGTAAAGATTCCATGATAAAACGCTATTACTTCATGTCTAGTAGCTAGTAAGATAGCATAAAGGTGATATAATATTGTATCTAATTAAGTTTTAAAATCGGTGAGAGAATAAAGTACACAGGAGGAAGTATTAAATATATAGAAAAGTAAAATACATAAAAGGGAAAAATAAAGAAATATGCAAAAAAAATTAAAATAGCGGATTAATACGAACAATGAGATTTAGAACACAGAAAAAATTTTTAATTACCATATCAGCCATTTCTTTTTCTAGAGCCGAAAATTCTAAAAAAATCAGTAATGCATTAGAAAACATGCACGAGGGTTTACATAGAGACTAAAAGATGCAGCGAAAACAAATATTGGTTCAATTAATGATTTAGATTGCAGGAAAAAGTTGTAAAGCAACAAAAAGTCAATACCCAAAGCTTCGTATCTGATAAATATTGGAGGAAATGTTTTGCATGTGAACAGCATGATTCGCTTATAAATTCACTCTCCTCCCCCTCTCCCTTCCCCCCTTTCCCCTCCCCTCCCCCCCCCCCAAAAACAAAACACATTCCGAAAATTTTAGTTTTTTCTGCAAAAGTTTTCTTTAGAATTTGTCTTTTAAAGATTTTTCAGCTATATTTACCTAATGAATTGCTTTTTTTACAAACAATGCAAAAATATCAATTAACACTACCCTTGACATTGGCATTCATTATTTTCAAGGAAAGTTATTTGACTTTCTTATTGTCGAGGTAATTCAATTGTTTTTCATGTTGCAGTAAAGATGAAACTTCTCAAAAAGTGTACAGACTGTTCATGTTCCAGAAATTAGCCCATTTTAAAGATGCCTACAGCAGATCGAGAGCTGCAAATCATTTCTTCAAACGCCCTTTTCCTTAAGCCTGTCGCCCTCTCCCCTTGTATTGTTTCGGCGTCCTTAATCAATTGAAGTGGATAGCAGCAGTGAATGACGTCACATAAACCAGGCAATTGAGACTCCCCTATCTTACCTGAATGAGACCAGGACGCTTCTACAGGCTCGTAGTCCCTGGCATCGATGGGGGCAACCATGTCACGGCCTCTGACGTTTTGGTTTTTGTTCTCAAGGCTTGCTGCGGCTCTGTAATAAAAATTTTATGAGGATTTCCAATCTAGTTTCCAATCCAGAGTTTCTAAGGTAAAATAAATTCAAGGGCTCGCCTCTACAAAGCAATGGAGACCAGCTTAGTTAATTAATTCTCCGAAGGCCTGAAGGCGAATGTACATCAATGACATTGCTTCCTTCCCCATATTTATAGCCGCATGTTTCTGTTGATCGAAAGCATTTAGCGACAAGGATGCTAATTTGAAACTCTGGAAAACTACAGAATGATCTAGGTATAATCAGAAAGAGATTTGAAATTAAAATCGACGAAACGTCTTAAATGAATGCTTGGTCTTTGCAATAAAACTAAAAACAAGCTATTTTGCGAGTGGTAATACCAATTGATTTAGAATAAGACTGATGCAAAAAACAAACGAACGATAGGACAAGCTAATACTTCAATAAAAAGACATTAAGACTTGAATGAAATTTGACTGACGGTCAATTAATATAACAAAACATTAAGCTCCAATATAAAAAAATACAGATAACATTTTGATGCCGCTAAAAGCAATGACAATATGTTGATGTATTCCTTAAAAATTTAAAATCCTCGAGAGGGCTGTTACAGCAAGAAACTTGAAAGAGCCTAACCATACCTCGCCTCTCTAGTAAGCCTTGCAATTTTTTCTGGGCCGTCTCTAATGCCACTGTCACTTGCAAATAGCCCTAAAGCAACATTTTAAAAAAGAGATCACGTAACTTTCTACTTCTAAAAGATTATACTTGTTTTACAATTTGTATCGTAAGTTAATGAAGATTGCAGATTAACGGTTTGTGGTTTAGCACTCTATGCCGTACTGGCAGAGCTGAACTCGCTTTGGACAGTAGATTGACAAATTTAGATAAAAAGACACATTTGAGGGAAATGAAAAAATGACTATCGTCCATGACTTCAAAAGTCCACTAGTCATGGAAGCAGAGCATAAACACAAAAACATAATTTAATTTCTTTTATTGCTCTTTGATTCTTATGAAACACTTTTCTACACAAGCAACTAGTGGCCGTTGCCAACACAAATATTTAACCACTGGTCACAAGAAAAACGTCTCGAATGTTTCCAAGCTCATGACTTTCAAAGGCTAGAAAACATCTTTTCACAGTTGACAATCAAAAAAAAAACGTTTTTAACAAAACATTTTGAAATTTTTGAAATGTGCGTACCAGATCCTTAGTGTATTGCCAAATTACCAAGTCAATTACTTTTTCTAATAAGTTTGAACATGAGTGTAGTACCAAGGTAAAACAAGATAAATAAAAAAAGAATAAGAATACTGTCAATAGCAATCGATAGATGCCAGCTGTCAATCAAAATTAGCCAATCAATAAGCTTATGAGTGGTATCACGCTCACTGATTGGCTAGGCCAATTGTAGCTCATCGGGTATCTTTCTAATCTTTATTACAATTAAAAGGCTCTACATCACCCTTTTCAACTCTCAACGGCAAAAGATTTTCTTTCTTACACTAAAGCCCTTACACCCAGCACTAAATTTGCAGTATCCTCGCATACCTGGTTCTCCTCTCAAGTTGGCTGTGTCTGTTTTCTGGCACATGTTTTCAACAATGTTGATGATGGTTATGTTACCAAAGCTGTGAGCCAGGCTGACGGCAGTCTCACCAAACTGGGATTTCGCGTTTAGATCTGCTCCCTGCAGAAATTAGAACCAGTATAACATGACCATTTAAAGAAAAGGAACGATAAAAAGCTATGGAAAACTCAAACAACAGCCTAAGTATAAAGATAACCATCAGACTGAGCAACATAATACAAATGCATGAGATTGGCCCTAAATCTTTCCTTTAGCTATAGGAATTGCAGTATTCATTGACCGGTCCAAAGAAGAAATCGAAAAAGACTAGCTGGAAATCCTTCTTCGTAACTAGCGGGAGGCAAGCAAAAAGGCCCAACAGGAGAAAGGGACAGAACAGCGTATACATAAGCCATATACATTAATTTTTCTTGTTTTGCGGCTCCTGGCTACATGAAGGCGGCATTTTCGGTAGCCGTAAGCGTTCCATCTTCTTTTGCGGATCCCTTACGCTATTGCAGAGGGAAGCGTATAGGACAGTGTCCCCAATATTCTAAGATCTTATCTTGCCAGTCACTTTGCAAAAATCCTGAGCTTCTCATCAAGCTAAAAAATTTCATATGCACCCTCACCCTCCCCAGTCAAAATGTACTTACGTTGCCTCTACACTTCACCTCTATTCTGTGACGGCCATGTTAAAAATGGGATCTATAGGGTTTAGGGCTTGAACCCCGCTTAAAAAATCAATTCGGCCAAGATCTCTGGCATGTCCTCGGGTTCCCTTATTGTTTAAGTCGTTCATTTATATTTTATTGTAGGCACAAGTCAAGGTACACATGCGTCCACTATATGGGGTTTTGGTGATCACAGTACTACTAGTTTCACATGATTTCGCCAACTGTTCTTTACAGCTTTTTGTCGAGGGGCGATTCACTCTTGCAAACAGCGTACGAGATTTTCCCTAAAACAAAACGATTTCTAGGGATTTTTAGATAAAACAATAGGATTTTCGCAAAAGGTGTACGAGATTTTCATAGAGTGATTTGCCCCTCGCTTTTTGTTGACAGAATCTTTTACAAAATCAGTCTGAGGCAAGCTCATGTTATCAATCCATCTCTATAGCAAGGAAGGGTACGCACCACAAAAATAACGACTCAGCGTATTCGGGTATAATTTTCCATAATTTACAGGAATTTCCGATTAACTACGTCGCATATTTTTGTTTGGCTTTTATCTGCAACTTCAGCCAATATATCCCCATTCTTTAACATAGTATTGTAATAACCAAGTATCCATGGAAACCAACTATGCATAGTGGATTGAAGTATCTTCCACAGAAGACCATTGTTGCCCTTTGTGCAGTGGTTCCCGGATCACGGCACCAACATAAAACAATTACGACTTATTGTCTAAGCACATTAGTTCGTTTCTAAAACAAATCAATGGATGCTCTTTAAAATTGAATGCATATTCAAATCGCATTGAAACAAGACTCTGTTATGAATAACCAGCAATGATACTTACATACTCAATGAGCATGCTAAATATGACTGCATGACCCTCGATGGCTGCAACCATAAGTGGTGTCAAATGCGTCTGAGACTGTCTGAAAGTAAAAATGTTTATTTTCAAGTTTTGACAAACAACCCTAAATGACAGCAAAAAAGGCATGGGTTTGTTTCTATCTGATTGCTTTGGCAAATTTTGATTTGTTTTGAAACAATTTCTTCTGATGATGTTGATAAGAATTCAGGACAACTGTGGAAATTGTCATGCTGCTAACTAAATTGAGAGTAAAACCAACAAAACACTTCATAAAAGCTAAACCTTGAATCTGAATTCTTCACAAAGTTGAAAACTTGATAACTTATTTGCCTTGAAGGCCCTACCTTGATTCAATATCTGCTTCACAGTCAAGCAAAAGCTTGACAACATTAATATGCCCACCTTCAACAGCATGAAAAAGGGCAGTCTGGCCTTTTCTGTCTCTTTTATTTACGCATGCCCCTTGCTGAAAAAGAAACTCAAGTCTACAGAAAATCCTTGAAATTTTAATTAATTTATTTCATTATAGATGCAAATTATGGGCTCGGACACACTATCACTTGAAACATGACAAATCGTGGCAAACATAATTCCATATAGTCTTCTAACAATAGGTGCTAATCTGCTAGCATTTCTAGTGCGCCCAATTTGTCAACTTTCGCCTAATCCCACAAAGGTTCTATTGTCCTGCCTTGAAGCAGAACCAACTCATGACTACAGTAATGCAGGTACAAGTGTGCCTGGGCCTTATGACAATTTCTGCTTGCTAAACATACAAATAAATACAAAATTAAGATTCAGTTGTTTTTGTTTGCATGCCTCCTCAATATTAATTTCTTTTTACCTTTCCATTTTTCCTAGGGTTTTCTAGGGCAAAAAATCTTAAAAATAAAGAATTTAAAGTAGCAAAATTTTGTCAGCATTTATTGAGTTTTCAGCTATCAGGAGGACTATTGAGGTCACACATGCATGCAAATGTCAAAAAGTAATATTGGTTTAATCAAAAATTTGATCCATAAAGAAATTAGCTATGATATTTTAGAATTACCTAGAAAAAGAGGAAGGGACACAGCCCCTTTTTGAAAAGCTGCTTGTAATTGATATTTCAGAATTCAGAAGGGCACAGAAATACATCTGATTGCTGATATTAACTAAGTTTAATACCAGCCCCTTGCCTGAGGCCTGTGAAAACAAATTGTGTCAAAAAGAAAAAAGATGAGAACAAAAGGAAATTGACCACCCTCTTCCAGAAACTGATTCTTAAACAATAAACCCCTTAGATATTCGTATGTATGATCTTATTTTGTTAAAAAAATAAATCCTTATAGTTTCGAATAGCAAAATGAAAAACAATACCATTCAAAAAACAAATGTGTTCAAAGCTGGCTGTTCCAAAAATGGAAGCATTTAGGGCAGCTTTGACATAACTGTTTCTCATAAACCATGTCTTGTCACGTTTAGATGTAAATTAAGTTTGAGCCAACATTAAAGGGGTGAAATCTATCTCCATTAAAAAAGTGCACCCTAGCTCCAATTGATGTCATATCCACCTTTTTATTTTTTTGTTTTTGCTCTAGCATCCCAAGGTAGTTTTTAGGACACTGAGAGGCTGTGCTTATCAAGTAGTGTGTTGGTCCTTCCTCTAGAAGTAACTACATCTTGTGTTTTCTATGCCTGGAATTACAGAGAGCTTGTGACTCACCTGACTCTAGGTGAAAGTTTGATCATACAGTATAATCCGGTTATAACGTACTTTAAGGGACCAGCGTATTAAGTATGTTTTATCCGAAGTATGTTGTAATGAGGGTAAGTAAAAATTGGTTAAAACCAAGCACACCTTTTGCCAGGACCAAGCACACCAGTATGTTACATCCGAAAGTACGTAATAACCGAGTATGCTATAACGGGATTCTACTGTATCAGGGACTCAAACAATGGGCCCTTGGATCTGTAGTCAGCACTTCTAGCCACAACTACATCTACATCTATTACAATAATCAGTAAAGCCCATAAGGGGCATCGCACTGAACTATTCTCACCCCTAGTTACGTGCTTTAAAATTTTTCATTTATTTACATAGCAGGGATATGATGCTATGAAAGAGGGGGCAATGCACCCCTTGATAGAATGCAGCAATAATACATGGGTTGAAAACACCAAACAAATGATAAATGATATCTAACCTGTAAAAGAAAATATGCTATGGATTCATTACCACAAGCCGATGCTAACATGAGGGCAGTTGTGCCAGTTTTTGGTGTACCTATTTTCACATCTGCACCTGCTTCAAGTAGCAAATTAACTATGGTATCCCTCCCAACATACGCAGCATACATCAGAGGAGTCCAGCCACCATTTTTATTCTTCCTGTCCAGTTCGGCTCCAGATTGTATTAGCTGGCGCACTGTAATAAAATCACCTATTAGACATGCTGTGTACAAATCGAGAGGGACTTCTTCGTCTTTTTCGAGGCTTTCAATCAGGGCCCGTTCCAGTGGGTCATGGTCCTCTTCACCTGTTGTCATGTTGAAGTAGCTAGCTATCTAGATATCAACAATCTAAACTGTTCAGTGTCCTTCCAGTGACTTTAATTGACCTATTTTAAGGTTAAAATCTCAGCCAAAGACTTCAGTTCCCTTGATATTGTTTGGACAAAAATTTCTTAAACCAAGCTTCTTACCAATCTTTATTTCTGAGAGGATCTTATGAAATGAAGAGAATTTTAATCATTTAGCAACAACAACGATTACTGTTTGAACAACGACAACAACAATTGTGTCTGAGACCACCAGTGATGACCACAGACCACTGATCAGTGCCACAGTGCCATAAGACACAATCATATTTCAGCATTCAATTAATTGCAAGGTAATCTTCTGCTAACAACATAAAAATAAATCACAAAAGTTGTAAATAACAATAAAATCAAGAAACTTAGTACTGATAGACACAAATCCCAAGAGTTCTCATACTTTCAAAAGTGTGTACTCTTGCACGCACATGTGATGGGCATGGTTTTGGGCGTGGTTTTGGGCGTGGTTCTATTTCAGCTCGGGAAAATCCACCAGGCGTGAGTCCAGATAAAAATTTGAATGGAGTAGTAGCAGGAGCAAATGGGCTTACACCCTGAGGATGAGCTTTTAAGACCACGTCCATAGGAACCCTGATTGACGATGTTCCTATATATTTAATTATTTTAATTAATAATATTTAATTTTGCTTTTGTTGTTGCTGTCGTTTTCATGTCTGATTTAACGTGCAGAAAACACGGAGCCAGCAAGAGACGATTTTGCGTGGCCGTTGCGTCTTGATGAATTTACCGACTGACTATAATTTAGGGCGTATACACATAAAACGAGGGGACGCTACAAATGTGTTGTTTATTACGTTACGTGGATACAAAGACGATGGAAGTGTTAATGACAGTGACACAATGGAAGACATGATTACGTTTAGACAATAGTCACTACACGTCTGCTTAGGCACAAATTTCCATCAGCGGTTGCCCAGAGCCGCAGAAAATAGACAAATGGTAAAATAGGACAATCCGGTACCAAGTCCCTAAAATATCAATTTTTCTGAAATAATTGTTTACTAAGTTGTTTTAGAGAGCTTACTGGCATTAGATAGCGGTTTTTAACCATGTAAGACAAAATTTTAGGCCTTATTAAAAATTTTGAATTTGAGATTCTCTAATGTTTTGATTTCAATACTAGGTTTCACGGAGGAAAAGCCTGTAAAATATCCCTTCACAAAACGGTAGTTGCAATCTTCACAAAAAACTGTCCCTGGTAGCGTTTCTATGGCTCTGAAAATGGGATAGAAGATAGAAATAAGTTTTTGTTCTAGTTTGCAAAAAGGATGTGCAACAAGTAAGAGGTAATGTCAAGTTCAGTGTAATTATACTAGGTAAAAATACGATTTATAGAGGGTAAAGTTCGTGAACTTGGTAGAGAAGAAATAAATGCGTAATTGCAAAAATAAAACTGATACATATAATACGCTCTTGAAATTAGTATAACGCGAGAGAAATCCGGCTTTTCTGCATTTATCTTTTCCCGTGCGTCTTCTATCTTTCAGATAAATCGTGTTCTATTTTGGAAATTGTGCGTAGACGTTAAACTATAATTCATTTGAGAACAAGAGAAATTATAAAATAGATTCATATTGAACATGCAATTCATTTATTTGGGTACTTGTTTCCTATCCAAATGAAAGCGAAAAATCAGCTCAATATGTCAAAAATTGGGTAAGGTATGGCCAACGGATCACTGTTTTTTTTGCTCGGTTCATAAACTTTAGGGAAAAGACCAGAAGCAACACGTACTGCCGCTAAGGTAGCTTATTTTTTATTTCCGGGGTTAATTTCTTACAAAATTTTCCTCCGAAGTTTTTACCGCGGAAAAGTAAAAAAATTAAATTAATTTTTCACCCATCAGTTGCAGGCACTCAATTTTGCGGCCGCTGCGCAGCATGCCCTCTGCAGAGGCTGCTGATTTGAAATACGTCATGGGCCCGCCCAAACGCGTCTCAACGGTTATCAACGACGAACGGTTTTCACAACAGCCTCCATTTGTGAACAGCTGATGTGAATGGCGGGAGCTTCGTTTACTATGTTACTACATCGTTACAAATACTCGGATGCTGGTCTGGTTTGCGCACAATTTTGCAAAGTCTCTTCCTTATTTTGTTATTGACAATCCAAGGAGGCATTATAACAATGGTTACTACAGAAGAGAATGAAAATCAAGATATTCTCGAACTTCGATCGAGGAAAGTGAACAAGAACGTTTGTAGGGCTCTTTGGCAAGTAAATCATGAGCAAATCCAGCGAGATCTCGACAATGAGCAAAGTTCAATGGCAGAACATTACACTTCGAAGTACAACTTCAATTTCCAAGATGGATTTCCACTCAGAGGGAACTACAAATGGAAAAAAGTAGGCAGCAGCAGAGTTGCCCAACTTCAAACTAGGCCCACAGGACGTCACGAAGGCAAAAAGCAGGGGAGGGCAACAGTCGAGCAAAAAAGGAAAAGCAAAACAGCCAAAAAAGATCATACGTTAGTGGGTAATCCAATAAAGGTAAATAAAAGAAAGACTGGTGGAACAAAACCGACTCAAAGACGATCAACAAGGTCGAAAAGTGGTAGTGCGAGTACTTTAGGGCAACAGGTATGACACCGAAGCAACAAATAAATGGAATTGTGAATTCGATAGAGAAAGCTTAGCGTAAAACGAAGTATATAGAATTTTGTACCAAAGGTTTTGCAATAAATTAGAAATGAGTAATATTTTGTAGTATATAAACTTTAATAGAATTTTAACTTCATTTTAGTACTTATAATTTTGTTAATTTCGATTGAGAATTTCTAGGGCCTGTATCAGGCTTCTACTTTAGTAAAAGCAAGTTTCCGTTTTTGGTTGTTCTGTTGTTGATTATTAACATTTATTGTGTAGTAATGTGATGCTAACCTTGAAATACTGTTAATTTGGAAGGCACTAGGTAGTAGCATGTCTGAAAACACAGTTTCAAAGGTCTTTTTGTCTGCAATTTTGCAGAGTACTTTTGCAGAGTTAAAAATCGCTAGAATTGCCCAATATCCAGTATACTTATTGGCTCCAGAATTCTAATACGATTTTCCAGTGAAGTTGCAAATTTCTTACATAATTTTTGACATCAATATCTGACATATGATTTCAAACGACCTATATTTTTTGTATTATAATCTTAGTTAATCTTATTTTAATGAACCCAACCTAACAATTTTAGAAATTTATACCCTTCAAAATCATCTTGGCACTATGCTATGTCCAATCAGCTGTATATCTAATAAAATATACTATTCTGAATGCATAATTTGGAGTAAAAGTTTGTATAAAAGAGAACTTTATACAAATTTCCCATTGTGATGTCTACCATCATTATGAATCTTATCGAGTTGCATTGTATTTTTGAAGAAGTGAAAAGTTTTGCTATAAGAATCCTGTTGACATTTAGTTTTTTGATGAATTTTTTTGCAGACTGGTTTTTTATTTAGAAAATGTACAGCCAAGGACTTTAAAGTACCCATTAAACTGCAACAAAAATCCCCCAATCAGCATATCTTTATGTGTGTGTATATAAGTATTTTGTATTGCATCATATACCCTGGACTGGTTTGACTTAGCTCCTGCTATACCAACCATTATTGCTGTTCATACAGAAATGATTTTTTATAGGAAACCTGCCAAAACTCCGTTTTTAAGATCAACAAAATTTGATTGTACCATGCATAGCAAATTTTTTACAGAGCTCTATATTTTGTTACCTGTGTATATTAGTCATTTTGTAGATGGTGTAATTATTTTCCTAACAATTGATATAGTTTTGGCAAGAGTAACATTTGTAGCAAAACTGACACTCAACTTTGTCTTTATATCATTTCTCTTTTCTAATAAGGTAGTTACATTATGCCTTGCAGTTGCTTCGACAAGAGTTTTTGCAATGTTGTCTCGATATTGATGTATTGAAATATTTTGAATCCTATATTTCAGGTTTCTAACTCAAAAACAATCTTGAAAGTGGGCTTGCATCACAAAACACAAAGGGGGCTCGCATTAAGTTTGGCCAAACATTACAGGGCATGTGCCCCTGGACCCCTGGTTTCTTTATCAATGCTTCCATGAAAATTTCTGGCTCTCAATCGTCATGAGAAAAAATTAATTGGCAAGCCAAAATGTAAAGAAATAGTTAGGTCAGTGTTCTCTAAAGTGATTCAAAAATAATTGTGGAACTTTGAGAGGCCCATAAAGTTTGGAGTGCAGAAAATTCCTTCTTGCCAAATTGAGATAGTTGTACAAAACCCAATTAGATAGCCATCACCTACTGCATTAGCTTGTCTTGCAAAAGTTCCAAAGTAATGATGTCATAGAAATATAATTGTCAAATTTTGGATCACATAACCTTTATTACAAATTGGTTGAGATATGGCAACATGGGCAGAGAATCTTTCCCCATCCCATCACTGAAATTTGGTCTTGTTTCATAACTTTATGAACCAGGTTAGAATGAAAGTAAAATGTTTTGATAGATAACAATTTCTTGAAATTATAACAGTAAGTCTTTTTTAACTGACCATATCTTGCCCAATCTTGAAAGTATTAAACTAATTTTGGACGTTAAGAGGTAATTTTTGTTGTTTTCATAGCATTGGTCGAAATTAAGGAATTTTAAAAATAGATGTTTTATAACGTCACATTTTTATTCCATTTACTCTACCCCTCCTTGAATTTGCTGCCTGATAACGTTTTAGCGAATCCATTGACAGCAATCTCAAGCGGGTGGAAATGCCATTAGAGATTCTTTTATAAAAACAATGACTATAATTATGATCATGGTGATGATAACAAACATTATAATAATACTAATGAAGACGATAATTATCCTAATACTCTGGAAAGAATTCCTGTTATCATAATCGATGACTGAGATCGTAGTAGGCTGAGATGAATGAACGGATTGAAGGCCTCAATAGTCTTTTGCCATGAGTAATTAAATCTTCGTATTCAACTGTTGTCACGAAGACCCATGGGAAAATAGGAAGAAATGTTTTCGGCATGTGTACCTATTGTAAAATTCAAACGCAGCTTCAAATTATAAAAAATGTTACTGATTGTATTAATGATGGTACAATTTTCAACAAATAAACATTCGGATGATTAAATGTTCGTACCAAAGAATTGTCCGAAATTTTCCCGCCAGGAATTCTTGTGGAAAGATCTGTAAATGATGAATTTTACAAGAGTGTATCCAAAGCACCTGTTAACTTACCCTGGGTACCAGGGCATCATAAAGCGAGAGGCGAGGGGGTTCATTCCTTTTTTTATACTGGTATATTTTCTTCACATGTTCCTTTGCACTTCTTAGAGGCTCTGGCACCCAGAATACAATCAGCTTTTTTCTTCATGTTTGATTCTCTGCTCTAAGAAATGACAAAAGAAAACAAAAATGCCAGTTCTCTCAACACTAATTTTAATTACTCACCACGCGTAAAAGAAATGTCCTGAGCCTAAATCATAAGACTGATCTTGGCAAATTGCCAAATTACCTTCGTAAATATATGATGGATTTCACCAAAAATGCCGAAACATTAGAAACCACGACGTGAGAAATCAAGATCTAGGTAATTTAACGTGACGTCACATAAATGTCTTATGCTCCTCAAAAAACTTGCTAGAAATAATTATATTCTCTGCTTGATATTTTTAAATACCAATAAAACATATCGAATAAGACGATTGGAGAGAAATGCCTTTTCTCTTTATACAAACAATAAAATGGTTAGATAAAAAAAAGAAATACATCAACTTGTTAAATCACGAGTCCATATGCTTTAATGTTAAAAAATGTTTCCACTCGAAATGCCCCTTCTTTCTTTCTAATATCCTATGTATGCTAAAGAAATATACCCTTTACAATACTATAAGAAATACTCCTTTTAAAAAGTAAACGTTTTCCCATATTAATAATTAATTATCCTAAAATATAATCTCAAATGGCAAGGGCTTGAAGAAGCAAGTAACGATTGTCCCTGACAGGGGGGTGATGGCTCTCTAGTTTTTCATGAGCGATCTGCTAAAGACCTGACAGTAAAATCACCTTAAAGAATGTAAAAAAGTTCATTTATATCGTTTACTTTTAATAACCCTCGACCCATTATCCCGATCTGGAAGGTCAAAGTACACTGGAAACAAGGACTTGATTCTAAAATATTAGCCCTCTCTTGTTCTAAGAGATTAGTCAGTGAGATACTGAAAATGCGAAATAGATGCATCTGTTCTTACAGCTCAAGAATACCAATAAATGATCATTGAGAAAAGCAATGTAGCTAAAAACAAACTGCATACACCAACTCAACTTACGGAATCGTTTTGGAAATTTCTCCAAATCTAAATACATAAATTTTTTAAGCTCAGATTAGGTTTCATCACCATAATTTTAGGCCGGATACAGTTTTTTATATTGTTTGTGCTTGTATATTAGATTTTAAGGAGAAATGAAGCTTGAAAACTTGTAAGGGATTTGACCGCAAAAATCTTTCCTGGTGAAACTTCTTTACCCCCACCCCCCACTAGTCGCCAATCACGGTCAAATCTCTTATAAATTTTTTATCTTCTTGTCGTCATAAAATGAAAACTTCCAAGTACACTAAAATCATTGCTCTAAATCCGAATCTAAGGTCAGACATTTTTTACAAACAATTTTAAAGAATTTTTCAAAATGAGGTCGTAAGTCGAATTGGTGTATTCTTTCATTCTTTTGGCCATGATGAAACAAGCATCCACGATTTTAGGAAACTTAAGGGCTTAGCTTTGCCATCGCCTGTTCAACTTTGGTGGAAATCTATGGTTTACTTAAAACACAAAATTTAGCTGTTAAAATCGAAGGAAATTCACATCAATCTAATAAATTATTGATTAGATTTATTTCTGCATTGACACCGTTGTTTAATGGTACTGGAAATGCCCCGGCACTTTCTCTTGACAATGCTGGTTACTTATACGTCTGAATCCGCATAGCTTTGTCTGAAACCGGACATCAGCGAATCCATAGAGCCAGTCTGTTGGAACAAAAAACCCGGATTAGCTGAAAGACTTTGACACAAGCTTTGAAGACAAAACAAAGAAACCAAATCCAATTTCTTTGAAATCAATCAGTTATGTTATCTTTAAAAACAAATGTTATATTACTTGGCCCAAAAGCCAAAAACTTTCTTGAAATTTCATTATCAGTCGATGCAATGTTTGTGTAGTCATTTTATAAATACCGGTAATTTTGGGAATGTAGGAATAAATTTATTTTTCTGAAGGAATCTACAATAGACTCGCATAATTTTTTCGCTAAAATTTCCTATTCTGCCAAAAGAGTACAAGAAGTAAACCGTTAACGAACCATGCCAACAAACAGGGCCAGTTTCTCCTGTAGCATCTCGTATTTGCTTCTAAGGTCGTCTTGGTACATTGTTTGATCCGGTTTAATTAGTGCTGCATTCAGTTCCAGCGCTCGTCCACAAAATGTAACAAAGTCTCTGTGAATAAATGAATCGTTCGTGAAAAGTTGGCAGTCAAAAAGATCGCAACACAACAAACAACAAAACTGGAAGAGACCAAAGCAAGTGACAGCGAATGTAGAAAATACTGGGAAAAGAAAATATGGCCACAAATTATGAAAAGAGTTGATGTCTAGTAGTTCATCAATAATTCCCAAACAAGGTAATTTGGCAGATTCTGAAAGTGTAGTGCTCTCTTTGAGTCTATTTAGTATATTCTAATTTTGATTATAATGTCAGAGTGGGCAAATTGGGAGAAGGAAAGTGAAAATTCCAAAAAGGGTTAAGAAAGACAGCTGCCATTATCTGACTCCTACGAAAATTCTTTTATCTTGCTCGGCCTGTAGAAATAATGATGGAGCAATAAATGATGGGGATTTTTGCATTGCTGTGGCGAAATAGTTGTCACAAACATTTTTGAACTTTGTTTGACAATATCCGTAGAGCATTCCGGTTAAATTCTTCGCGCTAAACCATCGAAAGCTCGGTTCTGTACCTACCAGATTTACTGACGGCCAATTCTCTCTTGCAAAAAGTGCACGAGATTTCCACGAAAACAAAAGGATTTCCAAAAATTTTCAGATAAAACAATAGGATTTCCACGAAATGTATACGATATTTTCAAAGAGTGATTTCTCCTCGCAAATAACAAGCCGTAACGAGTTTTGGTAAAAATAGACGGGTAAGATTCAGAATATAACGAAAACTCAAAGGATGATCAAACTGAAGTCGATAGTTACCGATAAACTGATTTGAGCGTCTCAATATGTTTCGCGGGGTACTCTTTCACGACTGAGCTTGACAAAAATGTTGTAGCGTAGGCCAGAGGACCAGCGTTGACCTTTGCAAAAAATGTAATAATTAGAATACATTATAATCAAACGGTAAATGTACGAGCGAAAGGAATATGATTTCCGTTTCTAGAAACGGAGAATGTAATAACATAAACTTCAGACCAGAAACCCGCTTTTCAGTTCAAAGGATTGCCAAAAACATGGACCATGACTTTGTTTAGCTTTTTCCAGAGTAAAGCTATAAATATTGGAACATTCGTATGTGTATTAATGAGCAAGACCAAACTTAATATGTAAGCAACAAGGGACGCCAAGATCAAACGTATAACATAGAAATGATCAAGGATTCCAATTGGTGAGAACCGCTAAGGAGGGCTTAGAATACTTCAAAATAAACGCCTTTGTAGAGAAGTACGCAAGCAGCCTTTCCACTAGCCCGGGTTAAAACAAAAACGGGTTAAAAGTTATCCGTTTCTTCGTCGCGTTCCCACTAACCCACTTAAAAAACGGATAGGTTCGGAAACGGGTCTCAGAGTGGGTCAGTTTTAAGCCAGGTATCTTTTGATCCACCTGCGAGTTAATGGAAACGCCGAAACTCGGATAACTTCTGACCCACTTGAAACAACAGCAATGTTTAAGAATTGAGATGGCGCCAAAAATCACGTGCTTCCATTGGCCTACAGGGATGGAAATTGAAGGACTGTTGATGCACATACTGATTTCTCTTACAACTCTGCGTACGTATGGGGGTCGAAGAAAATTACCGTTTTCTTTGACTCACTTTAAAAACGGATAACTTTAACCCGGTTTTGTTTTAACCCGGACTAGTGGAAAGGCTGCCTTAATTTGGGAAAAATAGAAAATAGTCGGGAAAAATGTTTCCTTTTTAAAGAGTATATGGTAAAAATGCTTCTTATATCAATGGCAAGAAGATACTCTCTTGAGACCCTTCATTTCAGAAAAGAGAAAAAACAGCACAGGGAAATTGGTTCAGGTCAACGTCCCTTCAGTGTATAAACTGTTTATATATGAAGCAAAATACAGGACCTGGCATTTCCCTTGCGAAAACATGCTCACTCGATCTCTGCCTAAATAAAATATCGCTTAAATTGAACAAGTCACCTAGTTGAAGGCAACCCGCTTATCTCGACCTCGTCAACTGAGCCCAACTTCGCTTTATTTTGGCAACCCAAGGCTTTGCTTCAAATAAAATTCGCAAAGCTAAAAGGAGACATCAAACGAAGCTTTCTAGAACTTGGGAGGCAAACAAAACCTTAATACCTGCACGCTGACACTTCCTTGAAGCTTAAGCTGTAGCTTCTTCATGTCGGGTGGGTTCAAGTTGATCACGTGATCAAGCTCCTTCAAACGAGTCTGCATTTCCTCAATAGCTACCTATAACGGGAATTATGAGAACAGATTGAAAATGCGAAAGAGCAAGCTACAATCCTTGCCAAAGTCTTGGTACACTAACGTCAGTTTACCATGGTAAATTCAGCTATTCTCTTCCTCCCTTTGAACAATGTTAGTTCACTATAGAATGACGATGGAGATTAGGAAGTACGCTTTTTCTGTGAGATCTTTGCTATTTTTCTAAATTATCAACATTGTTTAGGGGGGAAGGGGGTGCAGAAATAGGAGTATCCGGGAAACGAATTGAAAAACATAAAAACACAACGCAAATTGCTAGATGTTCCAAGTACTTTTGGCAATGATTGTGCAAAAACTAAAGAAGATCGCTGTCTACCTGTCTTTAAATACAGTACTCGATGTCCAACAAGTCGAGCTGGGCACGCTTTGATGTGTACTTTGAGCAGGAATTGTCTAAGTTGCAAATCAAAGTTTTAGACTAAATGCGACAATGTCGTAACTGTTTAAGACCATACCAAAAAATATTAGCACCCTAAAAAATTACTCAACACATGGGACTTTCTTTTCTTGTCTTCGCGATGTCTTACTTGGAAAAATGAGATTTGACGTAAATACAATGGAAAAAGATAGAAATTCATCTCACCTCTAAAGGAGACAACTCGTACATTTCTTGCTGAACAACTAAAATTCGTTTCTTGACATAAGGAAAACAGTGAGATGCTAAAAAGACAAAAACGTTTATTGGAAAAAGACCTTAATTCATGCAGCAGAAGTTCCGTTTATACAAAGAATTGCAATTAATTTTGCAGTTAAGTAAACTACTTTTTATTGAGCCTCAGCTAAGCAAAAGATACAATGGAGCAGAAAAACGAAAGATACTATTCGTATCAAAGAGGTTATGCTAAATCGATTTCAGATGTTAGTATCGTTGGGCAAGGGACGATCTGATCAAAAATAATTTTAAAAGTTGGAACCAAGGGAAAATGGTGCTACTTTGCTTGTCCATGGAGAAATAATCAATTCTATGGAGTTTTTGCAATGGATATTTTCAAACTCAAAATATATTCTTTTGACAGTATAGCAAGGACCGAAAACAGCATTCAAAAATATGGAAATCAAGATGAAAACGCCATACTTGTCAGAATTGTCTTGCGCTTATGTTGCTCAGACAGCGCGCCATGGGCTTTTCCTGATAACGTGAATGGGGTTTCGAAAACAAACCGCCGAATATTGTTTTCCCGCTCAAAATCAGTTGGTCGCCTTTGAAGCTCATCCTCGTCAAAATACGGTCTGACAAATGTTAGCTATAAAAGATTCGAAACAAGATCAATAGAAAGAGGCATTACAATAAACTACAAAATTCAAATTAAGAAGAAGTACACTAAAGATGTAAAATATTTAAATTAAAATGGATTTTGCATCCCTATCAATCAGTTTTCGTTTACACCAATTTTAAAAAATGTGAGCAGAAGTTGAGCGTTTTCGAGGATTGAACGACGAAGGATCCAGTTGATAAAAAAAGAATTGGATCAAACAAGGAAATCAAGTTAAAAGTGAAACAACCACCAAAATTACGACGTGCTCAGACCAACGGTGAAATTCTTTGCCGAGCTTAGAAGCTGATTCATTTTTATTACAGGTGAAAATGTTCTCTATTACAGCAAATAAACTTGTCATAAATATACAGAAAGGGCAAAGATCACTATTTAATTTAAAGAGCTGCTGGAAGCAGAATCGTGTCCAGAAAAATTCAATTTTTCACTTGTTTTATATGTATACCGTCAGAAAATTTTGGCAAACGAATTGAACGTCACGTAAAAGCGCTTCAAAAATACCCTACAAAGGGGTTCTAAAATAATGTTGATAAACTTGTAGTGACATGCATTGTAACAAATGACGTCAACGGATTCGCCATGTCAATCAAATGCAAATCATGTGTGTGACTCAACACAGCCTTCTCTCTGAAATTTCAATAATGACAAAATTCAAGGATGAAACTAAATGCAGCAGCAAATTGTGAATACATATTTTCTCATCTTTCAAAACAGTATCTGGCATTTTATCTACCCTTATTCTTCAGTTCCTTTCACTGTATTAAAAACTATCTCACTTTTATGTGCACCTGATGTTTTCATTTCGTGGCACTGTATCTCAGACTTTTTAGGAACTTACATGATACATATTCGACAAATTCACTTTTGTATGAGAACCAGTAAATTGAAGTTCAGGCTGCCTGTTCTTAACTTTTTCGAAAATCTGAGGCTGGATTGTTCCTATTTTGGTTTCAAAATTGTTAAGGTGTAAGCAGTGGAGTTGCTAGCCATTGCGCTCTAGGGGGGTATTCAGGCCTCACTTGCCAACTAAGTGAATGGAACATCTTTTATTTGCCGACAAGTTTGAAAGTCCACCGAAAAAAAACACATGGCTAAAAATCCTCGTTTTTTAAATGTTTTTCAAAAGTGAATTTTACAGTAGTTCAGCCTTAGCTTGTTCTTAAATTGTTCTTAACTTTTGACAAATTTTTAAGCGCGTGCTCTTATAAAATTGCTCTTATAAAAATGAGTGTAACCACACATAACCAAGTGAGACCGCCAGGAGATAATCTAGCATATAACTTACTTGAATGTAGTTGACTGCTGGATTGAGCTCCTCTGCTTTCACCTGTCGGGAGGAAGAATGTGGATGTGCTGGTAATATGTAGGGTAGAGGGGAGTTCAAAAAAGGAGAGGGGAGGGGAGGGGGTTCTCAAAGGCTCACTTATCCAATTTCATTTATTTATCTTTTACTTATCTATATTTATTTATTTATCTATATTTTGATGTACAATAATGACGTTTGTATGTCTTTGCTACTGTTTCACGGTGCAGGTGGAGTTAAAGAACTAGGGGGGGGGATTTTATTCTTGATTCTTTTCAAAACCAAAAATTCGAAGCTCTTAAGAAAGGGATGAGAAAAGTGTCCAAATATATTGTCTCCTACATATACGGCAATAACTGCACAATTCTTCTGTCGCACAAAACCAATTTGCATGTGCTGTAAAGAGCTTGAATATTTTACAAATGCACATAAGATTGATAAGAAGAGAGTCCAGTTGAAAATGTAAGTGTTGTGAAACGTCTTGACAAGAAGTGGCCTTGATCAACTGCGATTCTCCGTTGCTAGGACAAAGATAAAACGGAACAGGCATTTCAAATAACAATAATTGAAGGCACCTCACCTTCGAAGAGTCTTGTAATATTTTAACATTTCCGTATTTATTTTGATATTTAGTTTCCAAACGCTCGCTTATTTCCGGAAGTGAAGTAAGTTTTGGCTCTTTGTAAATGTATTCTTTGCCGTCATCATCCTTGAATGCCTTCAAAGAACGAAAAAGACGTCATTTTCACTGGGATAGCCATGTGCATGCTTTTTCTAAAAGCAGTACTAAAATACCAATAATTTTGCACAAATCCAGTATGAATTGCATTTAAAAATATTTCTTGCACTTTAACAAAGGACCTAATGAACTATTCTACAGCTAGACAAGGAATCATAGAAAACGAGCAATTCAATAACCAACGCCTCAGGGCGGAGCTAGCACGCCTGTGTTAGATTCAGCTCGTCTGAGTTTTGCAAATGTAAACAAGGTGATAGAAACAGACCCTTCCAAAAAAGGCCACGCGATAAAATCTTCCTAATAGTCGCTTTCCAGATGCCATTACTTCGACGATTTTCTCGTAAGCACACTTTAGAGAGTCGTAAGCCAAAGCAAGGCGCTGCAAAGTATAACATATAATTATTTCAAGAAAAACACATGGAAAATAAAATCATAAGCAAATACAATCGCTAATATTCTTAACTGAAAAATAACTTAAACAATGACGTAACATAGTTTATAAACATATTATTTCATATACAATGTAGTTCAATCATTGAGTTGCTGGGTAACGTAAACGAACCATTTGTTCCACAAACGAATCATTTGTTCCATAAACGAAACATTTATTCCATAAACGAACCATCTATTCCATAAACGAAATGTTTGTTCCATAAACGAAACATTTATTCCATAAACGAATCATTTATTCCATAAACGAATCATCTGTTCAATAAACAAAACATTTATTCCATAAACGAAACATTTATTCCATAAACGAACCATTTATTCCATAAACGAAATGTTTGTTCCATAAACGAAACATTTATTCCATAAACGAATCATTTATTCCATAAACGAATCATCTGTTCAATAAACAAAACATTTATTCCATAAACGAAACATTTATTCCATAAACGAACCATCTATTCCATAAACGAAATGTTTGTTCCATAAACGAAACATTTATTCCATAAACGAATCATTTATTTCATAAACGAACCATTTATTCCATAAACGAACCATCTATTTCATAAACAAACCATTTGTTCCATAAACGAACCATTTATTCCATAAACGAACCACTCACTTCTAAGACACAATATTTACTCCATACACGAATCATTTATCCTTTAAACAATTATTTACACTTTTAATTAACTAGTCACTTCTAATTACGAGACAGGATCTCTACTAACCGTAAAATCTCTCTCCTCCTCGTAAAGTGGGATGGCGATTTTATAAACAATGCCCATCACTTCATAGCGCTCGGCCCTTTTCAAACGCTCGATTCCATTCTCCAATAAGCTGATCAAATTTTCCTGAAAAATTCAAAATTGATACTTATTCAAAAATATTTTTTTCATATCTTGAAAATAAAATCCTGAGCTTCCACGTAAACGTAGATGGATATCTGTTCCTTATTGTGCCTGGGATTCTGTAAAAGTTCGTTTTTGAAATTTTCCTGTCACGGCAAACTGAGGTGAAATTCTGGTTAATTCTCAAAGAAAAAAGAACAGCAAAAGAACAATTTAAACAGCATAACCATTGATTAATTTTTGAGTTTTAGTATTTATGATGTAAGACGGCTGCTGCGAAAATTTTCCCTTTAAAATATCGCCATTCAGCTTTCTTCAAGAACGCAATGTGCTTGACTTTTAATTGAAAAAACCCTCAAGTTACGTCTCTACCCTTACGTGACAAAATAATTAGGACTATGAATAACAAAATGGCGGCTCCAATATTAGCATTCTAACATTGATTGACCAAATCTTACTGTTTTGGGGGGATTCTAGAAATGGTGTCAGCAAAAACGCGATTCCTAACAAATTCAATTTATTTCCTTCCTTTCTATGATGTGACGAAATGTCAGAATAAAATGGAAAATATCAATGTTTTAATTTCAATGTCGAAAACACAAAAACGACCAGGAAGAGTACGAGAAGCAATAAAATATTTGGGTCTAGCGAGTCATTTGTTTGCTAAAACTGCAAGAAAGTTTGGTTGTAGCACGTCTACAATGTTATTTACAAAAACAATAAGTTAACAATGCCAACTAAAATTAAAAGAATGGTAGGCCAGGGCAGGCCGACAATTTGTTGGGCCTAATGGCATCTGCAAGATGGCGTTGTGTGCGAAGTCAATCAATGATGAATATTTTGTCCAATTATTTCTGGAAGGTCCCCAGGCAAGTATAGAAACAAGTAATGATTATTTTCAAAGACCATTTATTTTTAAGTAGGACAATAAACCTAGCTATGTTGCAATTGTGACAAAAATTTTCAAAAATAATAACATCATGGTCTTTCAATAACCCCGTCAAAGTCAAAGCCTTGATGTAATTGAAAACAAAACTAGTTTTCATAAAAAATCCAAGAAAAGAAGTCTTCTAAGACCAAAAATAAACTCTTTTAGAATTTTCTTAAGATTTCCTACTGTATCGGAAGATATTTCTTTGCAAAATTAATTTATTGAGTTCCAGTGCAAATGGCGGCTGCCAGATTCCTGGAGGAAATCCGACAAAATATAAGATAAAGCAAATTGTACTTGTCTAAAAAAAGTTTTCTTTTACAGCTATAAATATATCTTTATTTTTACAATTGGGTAAAATTGCAATTGAAAATCTCAAACAGCAATCTCGTTATGTTCCACCGATTTTCTATGTTGTTTTTTGAGCAAAGGGTTAACCACATTTGCTTTGAGGCGATCGTCCTAATACTTTTGTCACGTAAGTGAACATATCTACTAATGTATATCCCTCTTATTCCTTTATTGCTCTTCTGAGATTGTGGTAGCTTTTCAGCTCTACGTGATACACAGGTAGGGAAAAATACAAAGTCATCGAGCCAGAATCAAGTCTAGTTTTGCGTTCTTATTTGCTCGTTTACAGTTTCGAAAATTCAGAAAAAATTCTGATTATCCCTACCTTGCTGTACCTGACTTCATCAGAATTGCCTTCATCGTCGTTTTTCATCGCACATTCATCAGGAACGAGGTTAGGGGAGATTGCCCTGAAGGCAGAGCACCCATCCACGTATGAGCCTTAAAAAATTTTGAAGACGGCCATAAAAATCAGAGACATTCCATCCATAAAATGTTCCTTATACTAATTGAACTTGACTGTTTTTGTATCTTCTATTTATTTATGAATAAAATGTTGACTTTCTAAAAAGATTTGATATCAAAAATGTAGCTAATACAATATTCGAATATTCAAGAATTGCCTGATAGAAAACAAATGAATGTATTTCTTTGCATTGTAATAGGGTAACTTATAAGGCATTGTTAAATCTGCAAAAAGATATGATGAAATCAAAAATGAAGATCCGTTTAAGGATACCATAGAGTATCAAAGAAATGTTTTTAAATGTTGCAAAACATACTTAATTATTATAATTACCTTTTCTTTTCAGGTACTCTGCAACTAAGGCAGCAGCGTGTACAAAGCACATTGCAGCCTATCAATGCAACAAATTAAATATTCATTTATAAAAGAAAATGAAAGAGGATTTATCTGATTACAGGGGTCGAAGATTGAAGCAAGTTGCGAGGAAAAGAAATGGTACTTGTAAAGCAAAGTTTTGATAAATACACTTTCTATCATTTGAGAAAATATACGTTTAGATCAAACATTGGGAAAGAGACTTGAGAAACTACATTGGCATCAAGTACTTAAAAGAAATGCAGGGAAAGTTAATGATGCTTTCATGGGAAAATGTAGGGTGTCGGTTCAAACTGAAAGTCTGTTTAGACCAAAGACTGTAGACAGAAAAGGCACAAAAAGACATAAAACGGAAAAAGGTATAGAACCAAAAAAACTATGTTTGTACAAGATGTTGATTAATTTTGTAAATGCTGAGGTACCTCTGAATAATCTCCATTCTTCTCGTGTAATTCTGCCATGCTTTGAAGCCATGTTTGTCGCAGCTCAGGAGTGCTTGAATACGATTTTGCCAAACTGTATTCCAAGTCAACAAGCACTTCCATATCATCTTCATGTTCCTAAGATAAATTTTTTATCAAATTAAAAATAATTCCAAAACGTCAAAGATGCTTGCGCTCACGCTAGAAAATGTGAAGAAACTAAAAAACTGCTAAAGATTATAAAGCTACCTTGAAATCTGAAGATATCCTCAGCATTAATTAACATCAGTATGAGGTATGAGCATGCATGGGTGACTTCAAAAAGAGGCTGATCATTCATATTTTTACAGTAAATAAAGTAATGTTTGAAGCAATCTTAGGTTAAATGAATTGAAAAGGGAAATAAATGATACGAACCTTCATTTTTTCTGTAGCTTGAAGAACTGTGTGCACTTTCTTTATCAAATCTCTGACTTCAGCAGGAAATTCTGTGCTCTGATTTAAACAACAAGAGATTAAGAGAGCTTTTAAAAAGACATTGTTACTACATTCATTATGAGGAATATCTTAAGTCATTAGCAGTTGTCACTTTAAGCAGGTCTGCATGAAGTCTTAATAAAATAAAACTCAAAGTCACAAGTATATGCATAATGCTTGCAATTTTTTTATTTATTAAGCAGCCGAATCAAAGAAGTTCATCTATATTCAAATAGGCCTTATCGAAATCTAATATATCTTAGAAACAAGGTTCGTGAAATTCACGAAACACCTTTTCGACCAAAGTTGAAAGGTGTTAACAAAGCAGGTTTGACTAACCCACACAGAAAATTATTTCCTGCTTTAGAGAAAGCATAAATAAAAGCTTTTTGAGTACAATGCAAAAATGAAGTTCATTTATCAGGATTATTTGCAGAGGAGCTGGGGGACTGACTGACGCAACTAGACTACACTTCACAACTATGGGACATCATCTTGTTAAACAAATACTTTATACTTGCTTAGAACTGATCAAAACATTCGAAATTTTGTCATACCTTCATGCCTTTGTCATCAACGGCGTAATTCTTGACGATATTGAGTGAGCTATTCATTGCCGAGCGGTTCATCCCAGATGCGATGAGCTTGGATACAGCGACAATCACCTGTGAAAGCACACATGTTGATTCAATCATTAATGACATATTCAAATTGTTATTGATGGTGCCTGATTGAGACAACGGACATAGACACAGAAACGATCTGCATGGAAAGGAGTATTAGTATACTATACCGAAATAATAATTGAAATCTAACGCAAATGATATCGTCGCGTCAATACGCCAACAATAACTGTATATTGACATCAATATTAACTGTATAAATAGCTAGCTTAAAATCACTCATACATGTTCCGCTTTACTAACCTAGAGCAAATGCAGACCTAAAAGTTTTTTTAAAAAATTTGGTTCAGCTCATAGATACGTTTCTAACAATTCTTGCTTACTCGATTCAATGTTTTTATTTTTTTAACAAACTTCCAACAAAAGGCATATTTATTAAAAAAACAAGTTCACATAAAAAAAATTATTTAACCAATCTCAGTTTGTTCCTTCTTTAGTGGTTTTCTTTCGAGATAAAAGAGAGTTTGTGAGCACCATCTTTATGGTAGAATCGATCAACTGATCTTACGTAGGATAGATTCAACTGTTTTGACGAATTTGGCTTCTCTTATTAGCTACAACTCACATTTACTCAAAGATTCAGTTACAGATTTATTATCTTCATTGAAAAAGGAAAGTAAAGTCTTGCAAACTCGGTGACATACCTGCAAATGCACTCGAACACAGCCAGTGCCACTGAATTCATAATTATACCTCATCAACAAATACATGAAGCAGCAGGCCTAAGGGGAAAATTTTCGTTAGCAAGCTGGAAGAGACAAAAGTTTTTACGAACGTGTAATATCAAACTAAACCTAAAATTTGTTATACAGAGGAAATTAACAGAATTGAATGTATTTGGAACTACGTTGAGTTTGGAGTTGAGCATCGTAATTTTTTCTGGAAGTCAAAAACTTTTGTAAATCTGTATGTTGTAGCTGCCAAAACATCCTATGGGTTCTGCGTGAAGCTACTGTTGCATTAAAAAGCCTTAAATCGCACAACATACAAGAAAGAAACAAAAGGGGGGGGGTATATTCGTGATTTATTGAAGAGAGACTCCCGACAAAGTGATACCTACCTGGGTGCGAACTGTCTCGATCTTTGAGTTGCACATCTTGAGAATCTGTCAAATCGAATATAGGGTTATAATTTTAAACTGCTTATAGATGGCATTGTGATAATAGCTTAAAATGACACCAAATCTTGATTATATGGCAGGCCTGCATGTATCTTTATTCTAAACATTAACTTCTGTTGCTTCTTAACGTAGTCAGGCGCAAATACAAATCTGTTTTTCCTTGCCATCTTGACTATTGATTGTCTAATGAATACACATATCAATTTTATTTGAAACTGCACTGCCATACGCAATTCAAGAGCTTCATTTATATGCTGACAACGGCTAATCAGTTATCCGAGACACAACATTGGAGGCAAAAACCTAAACACAAAGGGTGTAGCACGCACACGTACGACAACGTGCAACCCCCACTTTGCTTCCATTAAATATGGAGCAAATATATTGACACAATAGAGATATCAATGCTAAACTGGGAAGGGGAGGGAAGGCAAAACCACAACACCGTCTATTGAGTACTGTGTAATGTATTGAGGTTGTTGTAAAATGCAGTTGAGTGATATCTCTTTATAAGCAGTCGAAAAAAACTGATAATGTTTTGGAAGGATGATGAGCACATACTTCGTAGCAAAGGACTCCACACAGGTTGGCACTTCCTTTAAACAATGCGCTGGGGAACTATTGAAAGAGAAGATTCAAACGATGAAAACTCAAAAGTACTAAATGATGAAAATAACTGTTTATCTACAAAATCATCTAACTTAAATTCGCAGTCGAGTTGAAACTGAATATAAATAAGGATTTACGAAAGGTTAGCAGGTTAGCTGTGTAGAAAGTGGTAGAACTAGCTGAATCATTGGCAATGTTAGCTTAAGAAAATTAAAAAACGTTTTATTTCCTTTGGAAACAAAACTTTGTGGCTGACACCGGCGTATTTTGGTTAACTGAAACGGTTCTACAACATTTTTAATTACTTGCATTAAATAAATTAAAATAACTTTTTTAATAGTCTGCATGCATCAACTGAAATGAGAAATCGTCAACGACGTGTGAACCGTACCATATGAAGATCATTTAAAAAAACATAAAGCCGTTCGTACACAACAATTTTAAGACAGAGAATTTCTGTCGTTTCATGCAGTTTAACGATTTGCAAATCATGACTTGCCTTGTGAATAAAACTTCGCAATGACGCGAACACGTGTTTGAGGACGTACTCTGATTGGTTTGTTCTCAGGAAACCCATGAGTACATTGAAAATCTAAACAAAACAATGGTTGACATTGAGTCAAAAATCTTTTAAAATATTTCGTAATAAGGATACACTTAAAAATCAGAGGAGCAGAAAAATATATTAATGAAATATATCGAGGCAGCGTAGGCAGAGGTACATCATGTAGAGAAAATTGTGACTGAGGGAAAAATTAAGGCCGCGAGAGCACGGGAAAAATTACCTTTTTCATAAGAATGTTATCACCAGCATCTTGTTCAAGATGAAACTGGAAAAATAAATAGTTTTCTTTTTACTGGTCAATGCAAGATGGTCTAAGAAATATCGCTAAAAAAGAATTTCACTTAATAGTAAAACAAAATGAACGTGATACATTCCATACCAGCATTGAACTTCAGGCTCTTGTCGATCTTCTTAAGACACATTGAGTTAAAAAACAAATGGTAAGAAGTGCAAAGAGCTTGTTATATATTCTCCGGCAGTATTAAAGCTGCTGTGCTCCTCACACTCGACTTTAATTGTATGTATATTGGGATGGCCGCACGAGAAAACATTATCATAATCTAACAAAGATAAAGCAACAAACAAATGTAGGCAAATCCAAGATATTTAAATTAGTTTGGGTCAATTACAGAAAATTTGTAAGTTTAGGGACGACATCGCCTGTGATTCAGAGTTTAAATTGACCCTAAAATGCGGCACTTCCCCACACACACAAGTCTGCCCCAACTCCATTCTGAGTTAGCTCAAGTAACCTTAGATTAATAAAACTTCCCCCACAACTGTGATTCGTGTAATCACTGTCATCCAATGTAGATATTTGCAATTCACAAACATTTATCAGTATACCTTACCTTGAAATTTGCACAAAACAGCTCAACTGTGTCAAGAACGACCAAAGCAACTTCGTTGGCAAAGTTTGCATCGAGCATAATCCTCCTCTCGTGGTCATTCTCCGAGTATTCTCTAGCTAGAGCTAAAACCACGATAAATGCCATTATATATTTTAGCTAGGTCTACATACATGGTAACACGGAAACATGTGGTAAAGGAAGAGATATCACGGAGGCGAGGAGATATACTTCAACGATATGAAACTCCAGAAGATATTTCTTCAAAAAACAAATTGTTTTTGGAGTTCAAAACGCTCAAGTTTTAAAACAGATGCGTAATACAAGAAAACCGGAACAAAAATTTACTTACATTTCAAGCCATTCAATTCAATTCTTCCTTCGCTGGCAGATTTTGTGTGGCCTGGAGAAATCACTTGGTGGATACTTGTAACCGTTCGGTATTTACTTTCAAGAAAGTGCTTGGTACTTTCCGGGGAAGTGCTGCAACACGAAATTGCAAAGTTGGTGGAAAAAGTTTAACAAGGAACCAAAGCAAGCAACAGCCAAATGACTATATGTTTGTAACAGTTTTTTGCCTAAACATACAACTGTTTTTTCGTCGTTTCACTTTCAGGGGATCTGCAGAGAGTCCTTACCTTTTTTCTTGCTAAAATAATAGAATCGCCATTTAATGACTTCCATTATTCAACGCCCATTTTGGGAGCACGAGCTTAATTGATGCTAGAGGCGTAAACTAGAAGATTTACCTTAAGCATTCGTGCCCTTTTACACCTTCTAGAGAATAACTAAGGTTTCCAGTGAATGCCTTAAAACGAAGTTATTTTATGAAACATGTGCAAGCTTGTTAGCAAACAATTGCAACGAGTCATACCTTGTATCTGATATTGCCTTTCGCCCTTGATATGAAAATGATTGTAGGCAGCATCTGAAAGGACAAAACCAAACTTTAACCCTGATCCTTAATGAAAAGATACCTTCAAAGCAATAAAACTGCTGAAGGAATCAAAGTTGGATTTGCTCAGCTAGATATAATCTATTTTCAAAGACAAGATGGACAAACATTTGGTACAAATCAACTACAGACTAATAAAACATTTAGATGACATAGAAGAAGGATATAGGAACGTGTTGTCTGTATAAACTTCTACAGTATTTCATTCTGATTAGTATGTAATCAACTTCTGAGATAAACAACGCAAAAAAATGAAACAGAAGAGACAAGTCACTAGCTACATAGCAACCTTATCACCTTGTCTAGTTTTCGTTCTATTTATTTGAAATGCTACAAATTCTCACTCTTTCTAAGTTTAGCTTCTTTTCAAAAACGAAAGTGATGAAACAGACCGACATCTTTTCACGGTTGGAGGGGTAGATTTGATCTGCGGATGTGCAAATCCGTCAAATTTAATCTAGCCTTATTGAAGCAGGCCTTCACATGCTGGAGCTTTGAAAAGCAGCAAACGAGTAAGAATCACCATCAGATGGAGAAAAGATTTGAATATTTTGAATAACAGAGAAAACTCACTCTATGACATCGAAAAAGTCAATGACTGCTAAAAATTTGGCGAAGCTTTTATCATGTACATAATACAGTGCAGTAGGTGTCCAGTGGGCTCTTTTCACAACTGTGGTTAGAATATCCCGCCACCAATCAACAACCATGCCTAAAACCAAAATATTCAATAAACTAGCAAAACTCTGAAACACTTACATAGGAGGAGCACTGCAATAAGAGGGAAGACATTTCTAGATCAGAGCCATTTCGAAAACTTTAAAAAAACTTCGAAGAAACGCATGCACGAATATTCAGCTTCTTCTGTTAAGCCAGAAGGGCGAAGTCTAAAATCAAATGTGGAGAAAAGGTTTTACGCATATGAAAAAGAATCATAAAACACAAGTTACAATACCTGGACTCAACTTCTTCAGCAAAAATATCATGCACAGAAGGAGCTCTCTTTTCTCATCCTCATCAAAAGGCAAAAAGTTGTGGTTTTTACCCCCTGAATCATAAGAGTTTCCAGCTTGATTGACGGGCGTGCCCATCATTGAGTTTCTAGATGGAGCAGGTGAAGCTCTGCCTCCACTGGGGCTGACAACGTGTTGACGTGTGGATAGGAGGCCATCGTCAATAAATGGACGATCAAGATTTTTATGGAACCGAAATGCATGCTCAAGGATAGTCGTCAAGAAAGGGATGTAAAGTGCAGCGATTCTTGCTTGTTTTTCCTAGAAAAGTATAACAGTGACAGTAAATATTTGAAGGCAAAAAATTACAGCATTCATTTGGCCGTTGGCAAGCCTTATCATTTGGTGAAGGACATTAGCAAAATTGTTTTAGAGGAAAATATATTCTTTCTTATGACAATCCTCTTACTAAAATTATAAATATGATAAACCTGTGTTTGGAAGTAGAAAGGGAATAATTTTTAGAAACAAAACGAAATACAATAATATCGAAACATCGAATGCTAAAAGTCTCTCACCCCAACTTGATATCTGTCGTCTAGCTCATGTTTGGCTAACAAGTTTCTGATCAGCCTGATTGCATATCCTCGCACTGTTTTTCCTTCATTCAGGGCTGATGCAATCTGTTATCAACAGCATAACGTATTAGACATACAACTTGCATTAAAAATAGTGTGTGTTGCTCTTACAGTTGTTTATGATATAATTTCAGCTGGGCAAAGCCCATAACATTTACAAGTTTTCAGGTTCAGGAAACCTTGCAAATACTTGAAGCCTGCTTATTTTTACAGGTTTTTAAATAGGAGAAAAACGAATAAACATTTTGACAGCACAGTAACATATTCACGTAGTAAAAACAAAAGTAATTAGAAGTTCAGATATTTCAAACCAAGAAAGGGCGAATACCTCTTTCAATATTAAGCCGACAACAAAGTGCTTCTTGCAGTAGGTGTCATTAATTGTGCTTTCGTGTACTCCACCAAGAGCTAAAAAGGATAAGAAAAACAAATTTGTATAATGACACCTTAGAAAACGTCGCTACTATAAACATGGCTATTCAGTCTGGTTGATGATACTTTCATCAACTTAGTAAAGCAAAAACTGAATTTCAAGTATTAAGCATCCTGGATTGTCAATCAACGAGAAAAATACTTGCGATGAGAATCAAGGACGAAAGAGATTCAGCCTTTATTAACCTTAAATTTAGCAATTTTCACTACTGTAGTGAAATCTTTCTGACCACCAAAAGTATCTATTCTAAAGGCAGCCTTTTTCCTATTGTACTCAGTTTTATCTTCACTTGAGTAAAGTCTATACTCATTTGACCTTGTAGCTAATCATATGTGAGAGTATTTGATAAGAATAAGAGGGAAATAAGAATTGGAATATTAGATAGAGTTTAAGGACTGTCTCACTTAGCGACGTGCGTGGATTACCGTACGTCAAAAGCCCTTTGTTTAACAGTGAAATCTCACCCAAGCACCACAAGACTACGTGCTAGGTACATTCTTATTTAATTTAAACATTGATGGCATTCTGATGCATCACACGATCACACTGTGAATCAAAAAACCAATCTAGCTTGGACCAGAGTACGCAAATCTAAATGAACGATACCAAAATTACCTAAATGCAAGAAAAAATGTAATACCTCTAATGTCAAGTGGCATGTTCAATGCCACATAGTGCTCATGCTCTGAAATTGCTCGCAGGAAATCGAATTTTAGCTCAAACATCTGTAGAAAAAGACGATACAGGGCTGTATTATTTTTTACACAAAAATATGATAACCAGTTTATTAAGTAATAAGAATAACCCTCTCATACTGTAAACCTGAATTCTAAACTACAAATAATCGAATATAATAAACTGAATCAACATTTAATAGGTTAAATCAATTTTAAATCTTCCAGTACCTGAGGATCAGGAGACTTGAACTGTTCTTTTACATAATTCACCATGTTAAAAACGAACCCTCTGTCCATGTGAGTGAAGCATTTCTAAAAAGAAATAAAAAAGTGAATTACTGCAAAGAGGCAACTGCTAAAAATTCTGTAAAAAAATTCCCACATAGTTTAGAGTATTTTTCAGAAGAAGCAAAGAAACTTGTCATTACCACAGCGCAACAGGGCTTGTGAAGGGAGTGTTTCCTTCGTTTTTTATCAATAAACATATGTAGCCAGGGAGATTCACAAGGATATATTCAAACGACAGGTTACTTGGAAGTAAATGCTTGAAAGGTATTTCATGGTGACATCATTGCACTCGTTACTAGATCTTCTTTAGTCTTTGCAGATAAATCAAAATTTAAACTTTAAATCTATGTCTTTGCCTGATCTTGAAGTACGTTGATGCGGAATTACAGTTTAAGATACTGAATGCCTCGCTTACAGAACTTAACTATTTTCAAAACAAATAGATAAACAGGGTCATTGGAGTGTCTCCAAATTAGACACAATATAACGCAGGTTTTAGATATGAATCCTTTAAAACAAGATAGAAAAACGTGAAACTTACTTTGATAAACCTAGCCAAACTCGAATTTGCGTCCTGAAACGAGATTTCTTAAAAGTATTATCAAATGTAAAATTCAAACTAAAAACTTTCAGCTTCTTGGTAATGCTTAATGATACAAATATTTACAGTTGTCTTATATTTGCATGTTGAAGCCATCAGAATTTCAAAGCTTTGAACGTTCTAGTGAAAATATTTTTGTAACAAGTGTCTTGTACAAGTATCTTCCAATAGAAAACAGGTTTCCCATCTCAAATCATTATCTGAATGCATGTAAAACTATATTGAATCATTTAATAAGCAAGATGTTAGCTCACTGCAAAAAAATATGGCTAACATGAGTTTACTTATAAAACATATGACTGAAGTAAAGTAGTAAATTTATTTTTTGAAGTAAAAAAAACAGCGGAATGAAATAAAAAGTAGAATTGATGGATGCACATGGTGTGTTACCTTTGAGACTTGAAATTTGTCTTGTCTTTTTTTGACGAGTTGGACAACAAAAAGTTGAAGAAGGTTCTCCAAACTCGTATGATACTCAGCAGAGTACCTTCCCTCTCTGACGTCAAAGATCTGTAACAAAAAAACTATTAACACATCTTTTTCGTTGCTAACAACAATTACAAATCGCATGATTAATAGCTGTCAAATAATATAAGGGGCTGCAAAATAAAAACTTTTAACGTACTGTGAAGAAACAATATTCATACAATTCCAAACAAGTTTATAATATCTCCACGTTTCAACAAACTTAAGAATGGTTGCCTTTTTGCTGCTAAAAATTTTGTTCCAGCTCAACTTTTTACTTCTGTAACTCAATTTATAGAATGGAAAACAACGTTTTATGTGTAGAACAAGACAATTCTGAGTTTGATGTTTGATGCAATCACCAGCATATCTTTCGGCAGCCTTGAGAACAAACATAGTTATTTGGCACTTCAAGCAATGATAAATCGTTGACAAAACAATGAACCTAGTTAATACCAATAATTTCCCATCAAGCACAGAATCATTAAAGTAAGTGATACATGGGTTGATGAAAGTGGATCATTCGACCCTGAAGAAAACGACATCTATACCTGTTTTCGTCTGTTGCCGTTTTGCTCACCATTCATGAGGTGGGCCTGAGCCATACTCTTAACAATAACATCGAAAAAGAACCATCCACGCTGAAAAATATTATATCTGTAAGCAAATAAACTTATAACCAGATGTTTGAAATAAACCAAAAAGTAACGAGCAGCTACTAGAAAAAACCTATTGTGTAAAAATTGGTTTTCGAACTTGGGAAAGTCAGAAAACGAATAAAATCTGGTCCAGCATCATAATGGGTGTTCCAACAACTTATGGCAGGGATGGTACTACCCGTTGGCAGCTTATAGAGAAATATAGAGACAACAAAAAAGCTGTCTAAGTACCTGCAAAATACAGTCGATAATAGCAGGATCACTCCCAGGCTTCAAATAGAACCTCAAATGCTTCGCCATTTCTTCGTGAATGGTTTTCTGCCGGTCGTCCCTGGATCTAAATGAATACTAAAACAAACAAAAAAAACAGAACATTAATTCTCTCATGAAAAACAATTACGAATTAGCTGTAACAATTTTGGCTCAAGAAGCATTGACACTATAAACACTCCCATCAAATTACTGAAGTTTGGCAAAATTGGAACAGCCCAAAGGAGATTAGAGAATATTCTAATACAACTAATAAAGCTGATACTTTTTCATTTTTTATTTTACCAAAAGCTAGCCTTGCAAGTTTCTTCTTTGCCCACTAACTTAACATCATTGTCAAATACCTCTAGCCAAGTATATAACACGAAATTCAACTTTACTTTATATTTTGCTGGTGTGGACAGGAGATTAAATATGCGCTGCATACAAAAAGTTCTTAATTTTCCAGAAGAAATTCCAATGTAATTTTATCTCATAAAATATTTGCTTTTACTAAAGCGCCAATCACAAAAACATTATATGACAAAATTCCCAGATTACCTTTACATATGATTTAAGCAAAGATTCTTTGTCAACCTCGTGGATTTGAGAAATCAACCTTATCAGGGTCCTTTAGAGAGAAAAATAATACATCGTTAAATGCACAGAAAACAGTTTTTAATGGTTGAGTTTTCGCCAACTTCTAACAACACGTGGGTAAATATATCTATCTAGATTCCTAGCCCTGTCCAGAAGTAAACGAGACATAAAGAATTGTCCCCTAACAAAACCTTCTTAACAGGGAAACTAAAGCAAGACAAATTTGATCTTGAAAATTGGATGCCTTAACTTTGTAAAATTGAGTAGGCAATGGAAAACAACTTAATCAACGTTAAAAAAACCGTGAAGAGCCTGTTGTTTCCAGGTTTAAAACAAGATCCCTCGTACAACGTAACAGTACCCATGATGTTTATAAATTGATCAAAAAGGATGATATTTAGATTATATAGTGATTTTTTCGCCACGCTGTACGCCATGTGCTCAGCCTAATAAGTGATCTGGTTGTTGAGCTTGGCAGTGTCTTCATGCGATGTTTACTGTTTTGTGTCCACCTCAATACTGGGTGATTTCCACTTATACTCTGAGCACACCTCGCCCCACAGACGCGCAGCTCTCAAGCGGACGACAAAACTAGCATTTTCGCCTATAACATGCAATATTTTTTCTGTTACTTCTTATGATAACTAAAGCATCACACTCATTTGTACACTTACCGGATAACATTGACTGAGACATCGTCATTCCTGACACTAAGCAATACGTCAAAGAGCTGATTGAGAATGACCGGTAAAAATCGAACAACAGTAGTGACATCTATTGCATGCATTAACTGTCAAAGAAAAAAATTTGCTTTCATCTGGCCACACAAAAATACTTCAATACAAAATCACTCATTCTGACCAAACTTCTAATTGAAACTGACTCTGAAAATATCTGAAAATCGATTACTTCATATATAAAACAATACGGAACAGGGCACATTTAGGCACTCCAATATAGTTTTTTTTGCCTAAATAGTCAGAGCAAAATCTTCCCAAACACCAAAAGAAAACCCGGATAAACCCAGTTAATATGTAGACATTACAACTTTCACGATTTCTAACCTTTTTACCATTCGATATAAATATATTTTGACTGCTCTTCTTCTATGAAAACGTAATGGACAAAGAGATAACGCATAAGTACTCAAAAAACCTTCAATAGCCTTGAAGTTTCCGTTTCTGATCCAGGGCGATCGTGAGACAGCTGCCAGTGAGCAAAGAAATTGTTGATGTGTTGATCCTTAAGAAAAATACAAATTTTGATGCTCAATGTTCTGCATTAAAAAAACCAGACAATTCCAGGCATTTCTGCCAAATTCCAGGTATAAATACCTTTTGGACATTGAAGGACAATGCTGTTCAGCAATGTGATCACAACCTGTTATTACTACATCACTAAGTGAAAGGGACTCTGCCCATTTAAACTGAAAGTTTAGTCATGGCTGAGTTTTATCCCTTAGTTTCAAAATTTTTCTTCAAACAAGTAGTTGTTTGAAGAAAAATCTAACTAAAATAAAATGATATAAAAATACAAATATGGCGCTAAGTTTCAATGACGTGGAAATCTCAACAATATAAGAAGCCCTAAAGAAGGGATCAATGAAAAAGCGAAAGAGTCTTTTCAGGATTTTGGTAAGGCCAAAATTTTGGTACCTGTGTGTACACGGTCGAAACCAGCCTTGTGTTGATTTTGAACACTTGCGAACCTTTGCCATCTACCCATTTGATTTCTGTACCTCCATTCTGAAATAAAAGTATGAATGTTTTTATTGTTCATCAATGTGCATATCCTAAATCAGCGACGTTCTGACAGAATGCATAGAACATTCAAAGGAGTCTTATTAAAGACGATTTACGTTTTTTTTGACAAAGTAAATTTATAAAGCCTAAGACTGCGATGAAAACATGGAAGATATATTGATAAAATGCCACATCTAACCTTTTCGACTGACAAATAGTTCTCGGGTAAGAACGAAGCAACGGCCAATTCTGTCCGATCACCTCGAACGCTAGAAAATAAACATATTTTTTGCTACAAAAAGTCAGCAAAAGGGTTTTCTACGACAGAAGTTTAAGTCACCATTAGTACCTTTCTAAATCAAACAAGATATCTTGGGAGAAATGCCCAGTTTCTAATCTTAATTGAAATAAACTCAAAAACATAAATCAAGCAGAACAGATGAGTTTCAATTTTGTTCTGATAATTAATTACCACTTACATGCCGTTCTCAAGGACTTTCATCCATGCATAACCAGCTAAAAATAAATGGGCTTATGATAAATAATGGCAAATTGCGAATAAAATGATTATCAAAAATAAACTTAATATCGTGGTAAGGATAAAGGATTTAGCTAGATAATATAAAAAAACTACCATCTTCACCCAACGCTTACAAAGGAAACAACCCTTACACTTTGAATAATTGAAAACAGAAATATGTCTAACTCCCCAGTTGATCGTTCAAATAGATAAACAACAAAAATCTTCAGCGGATAAAACTTCGGATAATAAACTTCGGCGAAAATATTTTCCGACTAAAGTTGACCAGTTTTTTGGATTTTTCACACCAAACCACATCAGGTTATTGATTCATAATTTTCAATATTGTTATTGAGCTTTCAAGAAACTTGGAAGACTCTCTGACTGCTGAAAATGAGACAATGTTAAGAAACATTTCTTGCTGAAGTGGCTCAAATTCTGCGAACGACGATATCATTTATTTAAACTTGTGGTCCTATTAGCCTGGAAGAACGAATTTTCCAAAATTTTTCATGCTCTCATGCTTAAAGATTGTAGCGTTTGCTTCAGTCAATATACAATGCGCGCGCGTGGTTTATACACAAATTTTCGGCGTGGAAAACTTTCGGATAAAACTAAATTTCGTACAAATAAATTTTCGGACAAATATTTGTCCGAAAGTTTGTCACGATGAAAATTTTTTGTATTTAATGTAGCTTTGTCCCTATTTAAAAGAGACCAGTACTTTAAATGTTTGCCGTTACCTGAATTGATAGTTCGCAAATATCATGTACAGCACAAAATTTCACTGTGTAAATCCACAAACTGCCAAATTATGGCGAAAATTACGATTTGAAAGATTTAATAGACAAAGCAACGGACCTGGGGTTTCAACATCTTGCTTTTTCTTCATGTGTGAATCATGTTTTGGTTGTTCGACACTCACGTGGTAAATTGTAAACAAAATGTGATGCTTGTTGTGTATGTGTGTTGGAAGGAGAATTTTTGCCTGTGAAGGAAACAACATGTTATAATTTCATTATTCTAATATTCATTAGATCATACACATTTTACCAAAACCTTAATAAAAACTAAAACGAGTCACTCAAACGCTTGAACACGTGCTACAGAAGAAATCTATAAATTTATGCTTAAATCATAACAGGGCTAGAACCTGAGAAACCAAACAAAAAAGCCCAAATTCATCAAAAGAGCAAGGAGCACCAAGACTCGATTTATTATAAGAAACACTTTGCTATTTTTATTTCAGAATAACACAGTTCTCTAGCAAATTTGGAGATCACCTTGCCATGCAAAGTCAATGCGACTCAATAGAACAAACAGATTGAAAGAGAGGCAAATAAGGTTAAGGCTAGTTAAATCGCGTCATATAATTCTATGAAATACCGCTCAGTCATGACCTGTGAAATATATAATGATTTCCTACCGTTACTCTCTACGTTATTAGCGCACTATAATGGAAAAGAAGCAAATAGCATACCAAACAAATTTTAGTCTAATAATCCCCAGAGTAGTGACATCGGAAAATTGCCAAAAAGTAGCGGAAATCTATTTCTAGATGCAGATCAAAAGTAACGTGACAGGATGAATTCGATAATCGGTTACGTGTTTTTCACCAATCGGAAAACCGCAAGCTATATACAACTATATTGTAAATCTTTTTCTATTCTTAAATATTGAGCTCAGAAGAAAACAAAGTATCGTTCAGTGAGGTATGGAGTCTTTGCGCAGGTACTAACCTCTTCATAGAACGTAGGTGTCGTGTTGTGATAAAGAATCGGAGTTATTAAAGACGTTGTCATTGTGCAGGAACCATCCTTGTTGTAAATGCTTTTCAAGGGCTTTGCGATCAGTTCATCGGATTCTTTAAATTCTATTTTTATGGCCAGGTTTCGAGCCTATGAATAAAATATTGGCAAACACCATTAAACGAAAAACATGAGCAAATGTTTATAAAACTATCATGTGATTAACGTCTTCCCATAGGAATTGGCCTTTCATTGCGATTGACAAAGGGCCAAAACAATACCTGGTTTCTGTGCGAGAATGGGTTTCTGGTATATGTAACTCAGATGTCACTATTTATCCCATTCATATCACTCAGATGTCACTATTTATTCCATTCATATCACTCAGATGTCACTATTTATCCCATTCATATCACTCTGATGTCATTATTTATCCCATTCACATCACTCTGATGTCATTATTTATCCCATTCATTTCACTCTGATGTCATTATTTATCCCATTCACATCACTCTGATGTCATTATTTATCCCATTCATTTCACTCTGATGTCACTATTTATCCCATTCATATCACTCAGATGTCACTATTTATCCCATTCATATCACTCAGATGTCACTATTTATCCCATTCATATCACTCAGATGTCATTATTTATCCCATTCATATCACTCTGATGTCATTATTTATTCCATTCATATCACTCTGATGTCACTATTTATCCCATTCATATCACTCTGATGTCATTATTTATCCCATTCATAGCACTTAGACGTCACTATTTATTCAATTCATATCACTCAGATGTCACTATTTATCCCATTCATATCACTCTGATGTCATTATTTATCCCATTCATATCACTCTGATGTCACTATTTATTCAATTCATATCACTCAGATGTCACTATTTATCCCATTCATATCACTCTGATGTCATTATTTATCCCATTCATAGCACTTAGACGTCACTATTTATCCCATTCATATCACTCTGATGTCATTATTTATCCCATTCATATCACTCTGATGTCACTATTTATTCAATTCATATCACTCAGATGTCACTATTTATCCCATTCATATCACCCAGATGTCACTATTTATCCCATTCATATCACCCAGATGTCACTATTTATTCCATTCATAGTGGACTCATACTTTATAATCTTATAAATCTAATATAAAGCAAGATGGCTGCTTCTGGAAGAATACTTTAAAAAAGAAATGCTTCACGCAAATCGTAATATTTTGCTGTTCCTTTTAATCATGAAGATAAAAATTAACAATCAAATTTCAGTCCTTTATACTGATGTTATTTTAACTAGATAAAAATTTAACGGGCTCCCAAATGGAAATAATATGATACATTTTGTGATATCTGTATTAAGTATTGTGAAAATTATAACTTCAACAATGATCACATCAAGCCTGTGAGATGACGATATCTTACCCATTTTATCTCTAATGAAGCCTACCTTTGAGAAGGTCTTTTGGTTGCTGTAATTCAATGAGACTGGATACACGTAAAAATGATTGAGGTATGTCGTGAACGGGCTGGCAACATCAGGTCTGTCTGAGATGATTTCCTGCACCTCCAAACTGCTAGGAATGTCGTTGGATCGAGAGAACGGTTTCAAAGGAACGTGTGATGGTGTGAAGCAGTCTTAAAGAAAGACAGCGAGATTTCAGTGTACTGCTACTAACAAGGTCTATAAACAAGTCAAAGTGTTCCAAAAAATATGAATTAGTAGGAAAAAAGCCTACAACAAGCACAAAGCAGTTGATGCCCTAACTTGTATACCGTCATGCCAACAACAAACACATCACAAATATGAAGACAGTTGAAAAAATGTGGTTAATTATTAGAAATTTTGTAAATCCTAAATTTTTAGACTTATAAGAAATCATACAATTTTCCTAAGAAAAGGGTTTCATTTCAGTGACGTTAAAAGCAACTGGGTTCTTTCTAGTAACCCTTCCAGAAATGCAGCATAGTAGCGCCGGTGTCTCAGATCTCGTTCCACAGTACTCCTACATATCAAAGAACAAAATGTGCCAGTCGAGCTACGCATGCTCAGGTGTACTTTGCACCCAATATTGTCAAACTCAAACACGCACGGATCAGCATCATGATTAGATGACCGTGTTCAGGAAATCAATGAAATGTCATGATTGGAACAACGTAGAATTGGGGTAGTCAAATTCACGAGTCTTACTTGGTTGGTTGACATTCTGTTGACTAACAGCACACTTAATTTGGCCTGGGATAATTTGCTGTTTCGTCTTGTCCCTAAAAAATAATCCAGATTTTAATTTAAGATCAATGACCGGAGTAATATCAATGTCTTGCACAATCAATTTTTAGCTTTTCATATGGAAGCTACCGAAAGAATTGGCGAATTTCATTTATTGAAAAGTGATAACTTACAATAATGGTAGTAAAATTGAAGCTGGCATAAGCTAAAAACAACTTTACTAAGAACGAGCAATTGGCAAGATGACTCTTTATGGAATCCTCGTGACAAAGAACTAATAAACTATAATACTAGAAATAGCTCTTGCTAGTACTGCCCGCAAACAGTTAGTTCCTTGATAACGATTGTTTTGAAAATTTAGGTCAGGATATTCGAAGAAGACACCATCTTGGGTTTTCACAATTTTATAAAAACAGCTGCTCTAGTTGATGCTAAACTATTCTTTTTATCAAGAATTTTTGGTGTTCAGTTTGCCTTTGATTTAAGTCCAACGCCCTTTTGAAAATCATGAAGTTTTTCTAGGGTTTGACATTTATTTTGCGTTTTCGTGAAGCAAAGACGTATGAAAATGGACACGTGATAGAACGGGTACAGCTAAAATCGATTGCGATAAAGGATTCGTACAGCGATGTACAGGCTATAATCACGACAATCATAACTTTTGCTCGTACGGTGTCGAGTTTTTGGGAGAAAGGTGTGGCATTCGACTGGTTTTGATTCCCAAAACTTCGAATCAAAACTTCCATCCATTGCGGAGAACCGAGCTGTGATGCAGAACCGTTTTCGTGCCAAAAAAACCGAAGGCCTTTAACAGAGTCTTGGCAGAGCAACTCTCCGAAGATAATTCCCTTCCGCACAAAGAGGTGGCGGTTAACGACCTCCTCGACAAAGCCGATTGATTGACAATGAAATTGATTGACAGTTGTCATGGCAGCAGAAAAGTGACAAAATCTGCTGACAAAGTGCTGACAACATGAACTGAAGCTTCCATATGCTACTTATACGCGGGGCAGACTATAAGCCCTTCACTCGCGCGCTATCGCGCGCGAGTTGCGGGCAATAAACAATCAAAAACGACAGGAGAGAATTTGCTATTTGGATTTTAATCTTCGCCAATCATATTAATAAAATGAAAGAAATACAGTGTTTAGTAGAAGTTAGCGAAGTGTGTGAATGCAAAATTGTGATAAAGTAACATACGCTTTGACGTCTGTTATAAGCTTCATAAAGTCCTCATCGGCGAGTTTTGTCGTCTCCTGACAAAGACATTCGTAAAACGTTAATACAAAGAAGGAAAGAGAAGCTATTGTGGAGAAAAAACGAAATTAGCGCACATCCTGCCAAATACAACATAACAAGATGCAACAACCATTAGAAAAATAAGGTCACTCTCGTCTGAAAATGAAATTGTTTTTTTGATCTGAAAAATTATGTTATTCTTTGCACCATAATTTAGATGGTATTTGTTACCATCAATCCGTAGCTGTATCTAAATAATGCTTGGCGAAACCTAGAAGCAATGCTTAGATCAAAAAATGCACTGGTCCATCCTTTTCAAGCGATACTACCCTGTACTCCCTACGGTAGCTTGCAAATCTAATAACATGGCGAAGTTTAAGGAGAGCAGCGGTTCGAACAGCAAGTCCCATGATCTGAAACCAACCACCCTTGCTACCGTCCGGTCGTTGAGTTGTCCCGGACCATAATAAACCCGAAAACACCTTTAGAGCTTACCTGCTTATATATTGCAGAGAATTCAGCAGCGGTATCGATATCTCCCTCCCTGTTTTTGAACAGAGGCCTGAAACAACGAAACATTTGAGAATGCATCATTCATATTCATATTTATAGTAAATTATTTATCCAGAAAAAAATTCCTTTAGCATATCAAAAAACTAATTAAATTAAGTTTACAACCTAAATACAATAAATTGTTAGGGCCTATCTGCTGCTCATCCAGGGAGTCTTGAAATATGATTTTAACTTTCTTTTGAACTGCGGGAGTGAAGGCAGTTCCCTGATTGAAATAGGGATGCTGTTCCCCGCAGTAAGAGCTGAATAGTGGAAGCCTTTTTATATCTTGGAATTTGGATGTCCTTGCAGTTTCTTGTTCAATAGTTTAAGTGCGAGGATATCAGGGGAAATTTATCCCAAAGGCTCTCAGAATAATGTACACCAACACGGCAGCTGAGGCGTGAAAATCAGGTGGAGGGTATTACAAGGGAAAAACGGAGGTTGAGATCTACGAGTGTAAGAAGAGACCTCGCGACTGTAAACCAAGTCTTCTTTCGCATTTGCTCCTCAATCGATAACTGGTACCTCCCACTGGATCTGGCAGCAATGTATCTACACTCAGTGATATTAGTAAATTTAAAGACTTTATCTAATAGATCTTTTGAGCACTGTTGATATTCGAGAAACCGTAATCCTTTATGACAAGTAAGGTAGACAAGCGGTCGTAGGTACACCTAAAGATCGACGACAGCGTTATTTTGAAACAGGTGTATTGAAATAGATCATATTGTATTTGCTACTACCAAGCTTCCGAATGTAGTTTTAGGACACTGAAAAGCTGTGTTTATCGAGAAGTGCCCTGGTCCTTCTTTCGATGTGATTATACCTCGTGATTCCTATGCGTGGAAAAACAGAGAGCTGATGACACTCCTTACCCTAAGTGAAGATCATGTGAAAAGCAGGCTCACCACGCGAAAAAGCCACTACATCAACCAACTTAGTGGTATCCTATACAAACCTCATCGCCCATCCAAACGGCATCATATACTTGCCAAGTCTCTTACAACTAGCAGCTGCATGTCGCTGTATCTTCAATGCAGCTTTGTTGTTGTCAGTCGTTTTCATATAGGGTTCTACACACTGGCTAATTCCTCCTTGCAAAATCTTTGTTATCCTCACGATAAGGTAAACTTCTGAGTGCGGTGACGTCACGGAGTATATGGCCTACAAGAAACAAACAATCAATAAGAAATTCGTGACACATCACTGCTTCCTTGCATTCAGAGTTGTGAATGGGTCAGAATTTTTTTAGTGACATGAGGTGGGGGAGAAGAATTAGCCAAATAAACAGTCATGGGAAGAGATTCACTGTACTAGGATGGCGAGGGAGGCGCAGTTATATCGGGGGAGGTGATACAATGGTGCACAGGAAATGACCGAAATACCTTTGAAATATTTTCCCTATAGCTTTCATCCAAGCTTGTGTTGCAAAAACATATTAAATCGTGACAATGTCAATAGCTAAATCTAAGACTTATATCAATATATAGATTACTCTCTTATATCTAAATGATTAGTTGCCATTTAGGAAATTACCTGTTTAGGGAACATGACTTTGGAATCTTCCTTCAGCAGTTCATTTGGTGAGCCTCCTATCGGAGTCAACATCTCTTTCAGAAATGGATCATTCAAATCACAGCAAAAATCCTCGGAAAGTTTTCTCCCTTCCCTAACATCGAACAAACACCATGTTGTAAAGAACGGTTCACACTCGATGCTGCGCCCGTCTTCATGTAAAATTGCCAGTCGAAATTGTAGGCTTTGGCAATTTACGATGAAGCGTGTGGTAGTGCAATCTTTGAAAGGATGCGCTGCTTCTTCAATGTTGTCGTTAACGTCAAACTTCCCGCCCAAATCAGAGTAAATCGGGAACAATTTATTTCGAATCTCTTTTCTTCGTTTCGCATTTGAGTTATCCGATTCATGAGCGTATTCGAGTAGCAACGGATGATTACTTTGTCGTAGGCTCTCTTTGAAATTAGAATGCTTCGCTTGCACCTTTCTACCGCCGAAAAACGACCTGAGCGCCTTCTCTTGGCCGATGTCTATACCTGTGGCTTTACACAGGGCTGCCACCCACGAGTTCATCTCCGCACTGCTGTCTGCCGCCAACCCGTAGACCTTGTCCTGAATGTGTAGCTCAAATCCATGCATTCTGCCTTTGAGGCCCTGCGGAGGGGAATTAATGGAGGGTAATTACGCTATAATGAATAACAAACAAAAACAGAAATTCAAAAAAATTTAGCACATTTACTGGGAATTTTGGTGGATTTGTAGACAGCAGATTTTTGTAACGAATGAAAAGGGTATGCATTTTCCGCTTGGCAAAAAAGGCTTATTTTTCTCCCCAGTTAAAGAAAATATAAATAGCCAACTCTGGGACCTGGGTTATTGCCCAGGGAGACGTCACAAGCTATTTTCACAAGGCGTTCAATGCAGAGAACAGATTTTGCATGACAACACTCGTTATTTGCTTAATACAGAGAATCATGAAAGCTTTGTAAAACTCGAGGCAGTGGCATCTGTACAATGCTGAGCACTGGTCAGCAGACAGAAAAAAGACAAGCAATTTCTACTAGCTGAAATGATAGACAGAAAATAACCTGACTTGCATCACTATACTTTTAAGCTAAATATTGGCAAGAATTACCTTCGCAGGATATAAATTAAGCATAGGTATAACTTTCATAAGATCGTAAAATTTTTTCCCCTAATTTCAAAGTGACTAATTCATTCAAGAGGTCAAAATGAATTAAAGAGGTCTTTACTTTGGTTATGTGGCTGCATGAATCCAAGTAGAGCGTTCCTTTAGCCATAGTGCTTGCTTCGTCCTACAAAAAAGTTGATCAAGTGTTATGAAAGCAGTCCTGTGCAGCGAAAATAACAAAATAATATAGCAAATCATGGGTAGACTTACTCTGTAAGCCTCTGTTTCGCTACTGCCTCACTTTACGAACGCAACAACAGTTGAGCGAGGCAGTAGCGAAACAAAGGCTCATGGAGTAAGGCTAACTAGGTACAAAGTTTATGAAAATTCAAAAATCATTAGTTGCTCGAAAAGAGAAAAGCAAAAAGCACCTTTTTGTATTCAAGGAGATATGAGCCATCACTGGAAACTTGCTTGAGGGTAAACCAACGTCTTTTGTAGGTCTAGGAAAATTCAAAGATTTATAATTCAAAACTAGGAAAGCAAAATAAAGCATATCAGGTCGGTGGTGAAAATGTATTCAGTTCCAGGTCGAATGTGAGATGTTTCTGTGATATCAAAATATAGATAAAAACAAGATATAAAAATATCACTTACTTTGGATCCATACATGGAATTGCCCTCGGTGTGGAAAGGCGCCTTTGTCAGGTATCCTTCTTTGAAAATTCCTTTCTCCCTTTGAGAAACTAGGTTTGAGTCCTATAAAAAATATTGATGATTTAATTATATTTTCATTCGAAGAAAAAATCTCCAGGAAAGTTGATAGACTCATTTATCATTCACTCACTTCTATAGGATCATTATTTGCCCTTATTCTATGAAACAGCATTCTTCGTTTTAAAAAGAATAACATTTCTAAGATTGAAAAGCGTAAATATCTGGTTTCCAAATTCAGTCTTCAATTTGAAAGAAAGCTAAGAGGTAAAACTACCTGAGCCCCATCAACTTCTGATTCTTCGATGTCGATCTCAAATATCTGGCTGTTTAAGATCTTCATGACATCTTGTTTGCTGCGGGTAGAAAAAAAGATACAGTGATTGGGCACGAGCAGAGAAGAAAGGAGGAAATTGACCGATGAATAACAGAGAAAACTCGAAACCAAGTTTCTCATAATCAGCCATAGAGAAATCATTTACTTATTGAAGTGCAACAAAATCATACCTTTAAAAGTGTTTTTAATGAGCTCAATTTTTAACTGTGAGAATTTGTCATCATTATAAGGGTCTAGACGACAATCTCAAGATGAACAACAGTTTTAACAATATTTGAAAGAACTAAGACGGTGGATACTTTGAGATTCAAAAGAAGCAATCTCAAAACTCTTGTAGGAGCACTTCATCTCTTAGACATCACGACTCATACTGTGGGTGGTATAATAAAAAGTTCATCTTACCATGGCAGCTGGTGATAGCTCCCAGAGTACTGTTCGTATTGACTTTCAATAACAAACCAATCCTGTGTATAGGCTTTGATACACTGGAAGAAAAGAAAAATTTCTCATCAAAAATCAGGGCAAAGACACGGTTTTTCTTTATCACTTTCTTGAACTAATATGCACATATCTCTCTTTTCCTTACATCCTTAATTTCAAGCTGATGAGATACTTGGTGCTTTATTATCCTTGTCGTTGCTTTGAAATTATCTCTTTCTTGCTTTAGATTCGATAAATCTTAATTCTCTTTAAAAAAAATAGTTTTCCAATATTAAAAAACGTTTTGTTTTGATGAATCTTTCAAGAAGTAAATCTCAGGCTCAGGCCAAACTTTTTTGGGGCCTGGGTAGAACACATTCGCAGACGATGTCGATGCCAGCCCATAGCTTGATAGCAGATAAAGCTTTCCGACATTTAAATTCTTGGGTATGAAAATATTAGAGCATTCATTTCTAGCTAATTGGCAGCAGAACGTAAAATTGTATTCAAATTTCATATGAGCCGCTTTAATTCACCACCTGGTGCAACCCCCCTCCCCCCTCCCCCTGTCCCTTAACCTCTCCTATGACTGGCTTGGTCGCCACAATATCAAGCGTGTATAGAGGAAATTAATGACTAAACTACTCATTATATAATCAACGACTGATGCAAACATAACAGATTGTGAAATAGATTTTTCAAACAACGCAGAAAATCTACGAAGATTTGATTTTCAAATAAATTCATGATTTCCTTTGAAGATCACGTCTGTTTTTCCGATACAAAATATTCAAAACCGACAATTGAAAATGTGTGATTTGCAGCAAAAAGTCTATTATAGCATTAGGCCAAACGAAAGATCCGGCATTTTGATATCAAAGCATTCAACAAAAGAAATATTAACATCGTCAAATCTGTAGGTATCTAAAGTACTAGGTATTGAGCCAACGGTAAACAAGATCTGTTCTATCCTGATCGTCATAGAGGATTTGCTTAAAGAATCATCTACAATGGCCTCATTCATCGAACAAACGAACTGCTTCTGAGGACAACAGAGATTTTTTGCATGCTTTGATTTGTTGAACAGAACGTTTCAGAGCTGAAATTCCGAGTTTCAAGCGAGTCACGCTTAGTTTTTAAAATAAATTTGACCTTCCTAGTTCCGTAATAAATCCAAGTTGGTTTGAGAGGGATTTCAAGAAGGTCACAATCACACCCAGTCAACTATATCCTGGCAGCATTAGCCATCGATTTACGGTTACATTAATATCAGTGACCCAATCTGTTTCTCAGTTTTTCATTTCTGCCTTCGGTAATTCAAGACCAAACTGATTGATACAGTAATTAATATCCATTGTCTGACTTGACTGATATTGTGGTCAATTCATCATATGCTATCAAATTCCCTTATCAACGTTATTATGACTTTTACCAATACCCATTTGATTATTATCAATACCAAGACACACCCCCTTTCAAAACTATAGAGTAAAGATCGCTTACAACTATACTTAGTTTTATACTCAAGATAAACCTTTAGGCCATACCATATTAATACACTACTCACTAAACTACACTACTGAAACACATTATACGCAATGAGCTCAGAATATTCATTGCCTTTGAAGCACGGCCTAGCAATTCTCTATATATGAGACCAAAAAAACCAAAGATCCAGAACCTTGTGGCAACTTTTATAAATCGATATGGAGTTAGTAATCTATCCATCTCCGATAGGTTGCCATATTGGAGTTAGCAATCTAAAACTTAAGAAGGGACAGTTATAAATGCTATTGAAAACCACACTATTTTTCACGAAAACGCTGTTTACCAATTTATTCAAATATTTGATCAAGGAAATCGCGTTACACCTGGACCAGTAGGACTTCCTAGTCAAAGAAAAGAACATCTATTTTTCTGCCATAAATGAACAAATATATGACTAATTTAAGGCTAGTTCCCGAATAACATACCTCAAAAAAAGGCACCTACCTCTTTAACAAAGAGACTGTTCGATTCATTTCTGGCTTGCGATGAAACGGTGGAATACTCTGTTCGTAACTCTCGTGGAATTTCATAAACCTTTGAAAAAGAAATATCAACCATTTCATCTTAGCAGACTGCTTAAATCAGCAAGAAAAACTAAAATACGATTCACTGTAAAGAAACAAGCAAACGAAGATCATACATTTGGTGCATCCGAGGTATACTTTGCGAAGTCGTTTAGGAAAAAGCAGGCAACATTCGGGGGACAGTCTTGGATTAATGGCATCTTCTCCAATCTCTTTCGTTGTGTATAATTTGCTTTATGATTCCAGCTGCGGTATTACTCTTGCACAGAATTCAAAGCAAAACAAATATATTACAAGACTCCAACGTACAACCACTATTTTGGATGGTCCAGGAGCAATGACATTTCCGGAATTCTATCTGCTTCCGTAAATCGTAGACAAGTATTGAAATTAACTGGTTGAGGGTATGCCAATGAAACCTCAATTCACAAGGATGCATTTGTTGGAAACAAAGACAAGATCGCACTTCATATGCTGAATTCAAGAATTTCCCGCAAAATATTCACAAAATAATAAAAACTGAATTCATGGGGACAATAAGAATGCAGTCCAGAAGTAAGTGGGCATTTTAAATCCAAACTTTTGGAATCTAAATTGTACGAATTTTCAGCTAAATGGGCCCATGTACGAAAGGGAATGTCCCAAAAGTATTCAGTGATGGACCCTAAATAAACTTTACTGGCAATATAGGATAAGGAGAGGCGTGCACAGGGGCGCATCGTGCGGGGGGTGTGGGGGGTGTACACCTCCCAACTTTCAGAGAACTCGTCGGTAGAATTAAATCAAACAAAATATTAATGTAACAAAAGAATTTCTGTCGGTAAAATATGGTTTTGCATCTCTTACAACCCCCCCCCCCCCAGCGAGAATGGTCACGCGACGCCACTGAAAACGCACAAAGCATAGCTGTGTCATTACAAACGAAACATTTCCGCTGCAGCTCACTGGGCATGTAGAACAAGATAATTTCAGGTTGCTACTATCAGTTTTAACATCAAAATATTCCGTTGTCAGCCGCTGCGGTTTTTCTAAATCTTTAAAAACGGTTAAAACGAAATTTAATGTCTTCAATAGGTTTCTAAGTAGGATATAACCTTGATTAACGGAAAACTTTAAACTACAGACAAAAGGTCTGTCTCAACATTTCTTTCCCTTGGTCACGGTCCTGCAATCTATAAGAGCCTCGACAGGTCCCTACAATGGACAGCTCCCTACAATGGACATCTCACTGCGACAGTGGCCTCCCTCAAAAAGATATCTCCATGCAATGGAACCTCACTATGACGAAAGCCTCCCATAAATTGACGTCTCACTGTAAGATGTTTCCTACCAAAAGAAACCTCACTACAGACACCTTCCTCCCATGGGCACCTTCCTACAATATAATTCTGGTCTAACATATGCGTGATATAGCGTAAAAGCTATTTTAAGCCCCCTCGCTCTATTAAGCCCCCTCGCTCTATCAAGCCTCCTCTCTCTATTAAGCCCCTCCTTATCAGGCAAAAAATTAAAATAAGTCCCCACTCTCTATCAAGCCCCCCCCCCCTTAGCCTTTATTGTCAAACAAGGAAAACACGCGCCTTTAGTGGCTACTTGTGCGCCTGACAAGTCAGTTGAAATTTGTTTAGAAGATGTCCCAAGGTTATCAATTGATCCTGGTGATTCTGATGAAGATGAGGGCCTTATAATTCATTAATTAGACTTTCAAAGCAGCTAGCGAAATTTTCTGAGAACATTTGTATGACGTTTCCATTACAGAAAAATAGACAAGGGCATTTTTAAAACATTTTTTACTTCAAATTTGTAATAAGCCCCCTTTCTCTTATAAGTCCCCTCTCTTTTAAGCCCCCCCCCCATCTAGGACTGAAAAAATAAATAAGCCCCCAGGGGCTTAATAGAGCTTTTACGGTATGTAGATTGCATTGTATTTCACAAACTGAAAAATTCTATTAGAAACTTACGATGACGTCATCTTCTGGGAACAAGAGCATGTCACTGTGTTTGTCCCTTTGGATTTCGGCTTTTTTCTGAACCAGCTCATCTTCATAGCTGTTTGGTTGGATGCCAGAGACTATTTCCTATTGTAGAATTAAATTGCATGCAATGTGAATATAGACAGATTTTATAAGATGGCGTTAGGAACAGGCGTTGCATGGCATTGTTTTCCAACAGTCAATTGGGAAGAAATAGATTGATGAACACTTACAGACACAGTATCAACAATCCTATCATTTTATTAAGTTCACTTTGGATTTTGCACTTTCAGGGGGTATTTATTTATACTCTTTCAGCTTATGGGATCCAAATACAAAATTCTAAAAACAGATTTTTGTGATGCAAACACCTCTCTTATACACATAGCAAGAAATTGCTGTTTAAATCAATTATGTAAAATTATGACAAACTGCAGTTTAATGCCATGTGAGGGGCTTTTCTCCCATTATGCCAATCCATCTTATATATACACTAGTCATATCCAGCTTAACTATACTAAAAGTATCTCATGTTTACCTTGCATGAAAAGTTACAATTCAAATTGCAAAAGGATATAAAATACAAAAAGAGCAGTGGTGTACTGATGTTATTGGATTAAAATAGATTATTTATACTAGGCAGTAAAGCTTTTTTCATGATGAAAAGCACAGACATATCTATGCATATGATAAGATATTGCCTTGACACACATGGCAGGAAACCAATATCACCACAAGATGATGGGGGATAAGTCTGGTGATTAGGTAAGCAGACCAGAGCACTGTCGCATTCATCCATCCAGCATTTTCCAATTATGTGTGATTAGAACAGAAACTTGTATTCTCTTTGCACAAACAATTTTGTTTGCTTATGTTTTAGGACATTAGCATCAAAGATCAATATTTGCATCATACAATATTGATGAGCAAGCAATGCATCTGTGAAGAATAAGTAAAAGGGTAGACTTAGAAACAAACATTGACTTGTTTAAGCATAATGCCTTGTTTATATAAAACTTTTATAGCAAACAAAGTTGAACTTATTTCAAAATCAAAAACTATGCACTGTCTTGATGATGATAGATGTTCATGACTATGATTATAATGAGCATCATTAACAAAAATGATAACTATTTGATTTCTGGATTTCTAGATTTTAAAAGAGATTTCTAAAATAATGATGGCATATCTTGAGAAAAACCGTAAATTTTCATGTGAATAGGTGTGCACAATCAACATTTTGGTTTTGGTGTGGAAAAAGCACTTACTGTCATGGAGTAAAACTATGGGCTGGCATGGTAAAAACGAGTCTAAGAGGTGCTCAAAACAATGAGTCCACACCCACACCCTTTTCGACTCATCTTAGGTGAGGCCTACTATAGGTTTGAGGCTGCATGACTTGACCCTATTTCTTTGTGCAGCCTATGGATTTGGCATGGGTTCTCTGCAGATTGTGGCTTCAGCATAAGATGTGTCTTGTATCTTTGGCTGTAAATTCCCAAAGGTTTTAGGATATGCGTGCATTTCCAATCAATTATACAATGAAGGTTTGGACCAACGCAACAGATTGTTCTGTGAATCAAAGTGGGAACCATAAAAACTTGCCATACACAGTTACTCCCTTTTACTTGTAATTGAGCATTTCGCTTTTATGCCATGGCACTTACTGCCATTGTGACCGCATCTTTGTCCTTCATTTCACTGTGTATTACAGCGTTTGGCAGCCGTCTTGCAAGGTTTTGCTGCTTCTGCACCCCTTATAATAGGCAACACACTTAGGAAGTATCCGAACCAGGAATGGCACTACCTTTCTGTCTGGTGCTAGTCAATATTTTGGGATTAGAAGATTTATAAATAAATATATAACTTGGGTCTATTGACAACAAAATGAAGAGCATTCAATTTATTTCCTAATTTTTAAACCTTAATCTGATAGCAACACATTTTCAAAAATTTATTTGCTGATAGGGGTGAAACTTGCCCTTTACTGGAAGGAAGAGTGCTTGCCATGGCTGCACTAAATGACCCATCCTTTTCCTTCATGAATAAGACAGTGATAAATTATTTTGTTGGGCATTTAAATTATTCTCTGTTGATAAAAGTCATTCACATTGAATATTTAATTTAATTCAATTTAGTAGTTCAACTTCATTTTTTTATATTTCATAAGTATATATATATATAAAAACTTAAATACCCAAAATATCATTACAGTATTATTATACCTCAACTTCATAAAGCTTGAATGAATGTTGAATTATAAGCTAAATTTTATTTTGAGGGGATATATAATTGTTTTTGTGAGAAAACATTATTAAGTTTCAAAAGTTAATTTATTTTTCACTAAACAAATTTAATACAAAAACATTCTAGTGGATAACTAAGAACTGACTATAGCAGGTCAGTGTCATCCGACTCTGATTTAAACGAAGTACTAAATCCTAGTGACTTGGCAGCAACACATTGATATGTGCCTAAATTTATTAAAACGTCATTACGGGTTGTCGGAAATGATCGTTTTAGAAACCAAAAGAATTGCCGGTGCGCTGTGAATACCACTATGAGAAAAAACTGATAGACCCTGGACTAAGGAAGGAACGTCTGGCAAGTAAAATGAACCCGCACCTTTATCAACAAAATTTTGGAAAAATGAGGCCCGCCCTAAAGTTATATATTCACACCTCTAGCTCTCTTGTGCAAATATTGAAAGTAGGCCGCTCGGCAAAAATGTCTTGTACTCTAGGTAACATAAAATACAAATAACTCTCCCGGCAGTAACCGTTTACAGGCCTACATTGATAATTGAAAACAACATGGAAATCGATGTCGTTGTCACTCAAGGCACTAGGTAGTTTTCATAATAACTTCAAATCAATCTACACGAAAATACAAACACATGGAAATTATGTACCTTGAGCGGCTTGGTCTCAACTTCGGTAGAGCTATCATCAATAAGGATGCACACATTACTGAGAGTCCCCTCCCGCTTCGACCTTTTCTCTTTCTTTTCAGACATGATTCAATGTGAGACCATTGTTACTTCGAAGACTTTACCGTGAACTACTCCATTTTACTGGTCGTGTGTAACCCTTGATCAACTTATTTACATGCAGACAATGTGTACCGAGACTCGGTCACAAGGGGACCGAACCAATTGGCATAGGGTGCCTCACAGTGGTGTCATATGAGATACACGATGCAGGCAGAATGTCTGTACGGCATAAAGATGCTGCCGCGCTGCAATCATTCTTGCCTGGTTGTACCATTAGTATTTATTTTAATTCGAACATTTCACGCTTTATGAATTTTTGTAATATTTGTTGAATTCATAATCAAACTTTTTTTACTTTATTCCAGTTTTGGTGGCGATTACAGAGTATGTAGATGATAATAGGTAAATGGTGTGACTAAATTAGCTTTGAACTTTTCCCGAAATCCGAAAATATGGTATCTTGCCCCCCCCCCTCATTCTCTCTAATAACTGCCACTGCTAGTCTTCAAAGCATAAGGGCATAGCATCTGATGGCCATATACCTCCAATAATTTCCTACAATGCGAAACTTCTAACAGACTTGCCAAATCTTTTGGGATATAAATACAGTTATATTCAAGATCATTGAATCAGACGTTTTCAATTTATAACCTTAAGCAAACCAAATTGTTCAATGAAAAGGTACGACCTTGGAACAACACACCTCTACTTGATATCTATTGACATCATTGCTTGTATAAATTGTTTAATGACGTGGGTCTTCTTATTTTCACATTCAAGCTTGTAGTGTGTCAAATTGGAGAAAGAATTTGAAAGGTTCTACTTTAAGCAATTAAAATAGGTTTTTGCAACCCTGATTTCACTAGATTCCACTCAAACAAAATGTGCACATTAAGCTATATCTAGACTTTTGAGTTGAACTTAAAAGTTCAAATTTGGCAAATATTCAACTTATTTGCCATCCAGTTATTTTATTGGCTTGAACATTCAATGAAGAGATAAGTGGTAAAAAGTAACACAGAGTATACCTTTAATTAAAATACATTACAAAAAAAATAAACCAAAATAATATACAGAGTATGCACATAAACAACAAATCACTCAATACAGAATACTTCTATATACAATCTAACTACTTATTTCTGACAATTCTATCTTTTGCTACCGGTTAAGAAGCCCCCTCTCCAACATTGAAGTCCTTTCTGTGTGCTGAATGAAATCCCCTCCCTCAATCATGCAGTAAGGTTTTGAAGAAAAGAAACCAACTTATTACAATAATTGTAGTTAGTAGTTTCAATGATAACATTGTTGTTTCTTTTGTTCCATTTAGAAGTTCATTTGGGTCTTATTTGAATTACTCAAAGCAAAAGGTTCTACCTTGAGACAATTGTCTGAAGTGACTTCAGACTAAGCCACAGATGCTTAAAACAGTGTACTTTCAAGGGAAGCACTGATGAAAAATACTAACAGCAGGGAATCGATTATCTCAAATTAAAACTTATAAATCAGTTATAGCAAAAAAAATCATATGCAGCAAGTATAGCAATTATATGATGATGATCTAAAGAAATAGCATTCAGATCTAATTTGCAAATTTTTTGTGAATTTCACTTGAAAACTCCATCTAACTAAATAGCTTGCACTTTAAAGGCAATCTGTCTCCCCATGAATTGGCCAATTAATTGAGCTTAATTTGGGACACGAATGCTTTTAAAGGAGCAAACTATCAATACATAAATGTCAAACTTAGCAAATTGTGTTCACTGTTAAAGAAAATGCATTCTGGATACAAAGATTATGTTTTAGCTATACCAGCTATGTGAATAAATCTGTTGCCACATTGGCAGATACTCTTGCAGTGGTTGGGCAATCATTTTCATTCCAGGAATTAATTCTCCTAGAACTCTAAGACACTTTAAGATCTTTGCCTTGGAATATTTGTCATAAAAAGGAGATCGAAGAATATACATCAATAATGCTGCTTTCCTTCTAAAAATTTCATCTTTTTCAATATCTTTTATAACTTTCTTTGAGTTTAAATGATGTATACTACTCAAATCAACTGCCATTGACAACAACCATGGTTTCCATGACTTTTCGCCACACACAAACATACTTGACAGATGACAAAGTGGCCTTAAAATATAAGCAAGCTCTGCTAACTTCTCAGTGTATGTCAGCTTGCTTTCTGCTTTGTAGTAATCAACACTTTCACTCTCTTTTTCTATTTTCTTTGGGACTTTCCAATCTCTAAACCCTTTAGGGGGTGATGACTTCAAGGACCTGATTGTTCTTCCTGATCTTTTTCCTCTCCAGACATCGCATTTACTGTCCTCTGTGTCTGTTTTGGCATCTTGCCATGCCTTTTCCATATCCCTATCTTGCTGAGGCATATTCTCATTAACAGCTGTGAGCTTTTTATCTATTTCTTTCTGGTCTATTTTAATTTTTTCTTTAATAAATAATAAAGATGGCGAATGCTGGATACCAGTGTCATAAACAAACAATAAAATTGTCTTCAAAGCAGCTTTTAGTGTCTGGAAACAGAATACAACCAACCACTTCCCAGATTCACCCCACAAGCGCCCAGCCCCTAACTCAAGAAATGGAGCCATGTATTCCAAAACAGTTAGGACCGACTCTAAGTACGTTTTCTCAGTCCAAAGAAACTTGTGCATGACACTCAGCTCCCGCCTGTAAATAATATCGTGAATTAGTGCCAACATCTTTGTAGCAAAATAAACCAGCTCTGATACAATATCTGATGACCGAATGTTACCCGGGAGGACGAATGAAATCAAATTAAGTGTCGACTCAAACGTGGCAACCTTTGCCGGGTCTTCCACAACCATACGTTTATAGCTTTCCGAAAAATCGTTAAGTTTCTTCTTCAAAAGCTCGTAGGTTGATATTATGGCAGGTTGTGCCTTGGCTAAAGTCTTCATCACTACAGCAATGCCTTTATCTCCACCTTGCGACGCCATCTTCCAGAGTTTTGGCGGCACAATCACAGATTCTGTCGCACAAGCATTGTGCATGAGAAGCCATGAGATCATCGTTCTGTTGCAACCAAAACGAGGTTTTCGACTGCGACATCAACAGGGTGTGTTGTACAAAACAATTACATTCCCTTTATTTTATAAGAATATTTATTACAAGAATATTTAGGCTAAGAATCATCCAGTTATATAGAATATTACAAGAATATTGATCAGCCTCAGCTAGCATATTTGTATCACATTTCTCAGCATTTGACTGTTTGAAATATCGCACGACATACCTATATTTTTCAAAATTTCCCTGAACCATATCAGGTTTGAAAAAGTGAAGAATATATTCAAGCTCAATAAAAATGCTGGACATCTTATAGAAAGCAAATGTAACCTGCTAGTCCTATATTTTGATCATTTCTTACTAGAGTCGCCATCTATTCTTTTCACAGCAATGCACCAATTTTTATATGAAGTAAATGATCTCTTGTTGAACGTTTTTTGAACTGCAAGTTTCCTTCCTCTTGTTATAAAATCTATTGAAATAGCCACTATGATTATTAAAATAGGTGCTACAATAGCTACTATAAACATGCTTTGTGTAGATATTTTATAAGAAACAATGGTCGACATTTTAAAACACTTTACAAATTCGATTTCTCGTTGCTTCAATTCACTGTTTCTTCTTTTTAAAATCATAACTTTAGAAGAAGTCGTTACTTCAACTTATACATTTACGACCAAAAGTTCTAAACCTCCTTCGTAATTTCGAAGACATTCTATGCAATGAGCTATGAAAGACTTCTGTTGAACATTTCATTATTACATTCGAGAGATGCAAGTTGCAGAAGCTGATTTAATTTAAATGGGAGGAACAAAAGAGAGAGACAAAAGGGGTCCGGGACCACGCCCTTTTCTCGTGAGAAATATTTTCTTCCTTAGGAAACATCCCTTGAGCCCAAAGATCTGTCATTTAATTGCCCGTTGGTAATGAACGCTATTGCCTGAAACTTAATTCCAGAGTTTTGAATTTAGAAATTTTACGTGTGTAAAAATCATGAAAAGATCTTTAAACGAGTGCTACTAGTAAAAACTTTCAAAAGCAACACTTTCACAAAATCTAATGCAACGACCTGTTTAAGGAACAACTAGTTCACAAAAGCTTTTGAGGGGATGCAAAGTTCTAATCGATAAACCAAGTTTTTTACATCTACATCTACATCGATACTGAGCAGGACCGAGTATCGGTATAATGCTCAGAGTGCAAGAAATAATGAAACAGAAGTTTAATGGATAAAACGTGCTAGAAGATGCCACTGACAGGACCGTCGAGAGGGGGGGGGTAACCAGGGTAGTTACCAGGAGGCCCGGGGCCTTGAGGGGCCTGTAGAAAGTAAGATATATATTTTTGGCTATGAGCAGCATTGGCAGGGCGAGCCCATGACTCGATTGATATTCGAAATTTAATCTTTCAACATTCGATCAACACAGAGGTGGCGCCAGAAATCTTCCGACAGAGGGGCTGGAGCTTCCGACAGGAGGGCTAAAATGACTAAATTAAGCAGTTTTCGTACGTTATTTTGTCAAATTTGCTTCGACAATAGCCTAAAATTTCCTCCGATGGGGGGCTAGATGCTTCCGACGGAGGGGCTGTAGCCCCCCTAGCCCTCCCCTGGCGCCACCACTGGATCAACAAGCTGGTCGATGATGAGGGCCTTTTCTTGTTATGGTTTATAATTAAAACATTGACGATACGATCATAATATACTTCTCCCGAAGCCGAAAAATTCGATTGCACTTACATATATCTACTTTTAGGTCAAATTTTTTAGTTATTCCTTGTGTGGACTTCCTATAAACGTAAAAGTAAATCTTCCATTCACGGCGTACACCAGAGAAAAAGCACATGCGCAGAACCAAGACAAATCCAAACGCTATAAAAGGCTTTATCAAAATCACTAAGCGGGATCACGATCCAACCAACCCCTGCGATGTCATCTTACAGACACAGGTCTGGTGCTCAGAAAAGGCAGGAAAAAAAGATACGAGAAAAAGAAGCAAAGATGGCCTCTCGCACATTGTTTGAGGTAGGTGCTTACAAAAGAGACAAGGAAGGTGATTTCAACTTTAAATAAACCTGGCGAAAGCTCTGTTCAAAGCACTGCTGAAGAAGAAGAAGACACAAACGGCTTGGCTCCTTCGGTAGACCATGACACCACAGAAAGTAGAGAAAGCACTACTGATTCATCATTAAATCAAGATACTGTTCATAGTGGATCATCTAGTTTTGATGTCGGCACATTGACCGGATTTCCAACGACAAAGGAGTTAGAAAAGGTTGTTAGAACTGGTCATTTGCCTCATCCTTCAGAGTTTCCCAAAGATTGCGACGGCCACAAATTTCCAACAACGGTCCTAAATGTGAAGCAGCAAAATGGGGAGGTAGTAAGAAGCTGGCTTGTTTTCAGTCCTACAAAGGCTGCACTCTATTGTTTGCCATGCAGGTTGTTTGGGCACACTATTGATAATGGTTCAAAATCAAAATTGGCTTCTCCTGATGGTTGGGGAGCGAACGACAGCTGGAAAAGATTGTGGGAAAAGGTTAAGGATTTCGCCATGAGGAAAGCAAGAAAAACAGTTTTTTAAACATTGAATTAACTCTTATTTGTTTCAATGATTTGTTTTATATAGTCACTAATTACATGTTCTGTTAAAGACCTTAAAATACAAATTCAAGTGTTTCAGAGGCGTTGATTTCAAAATTCATGCCTTTTACAGTCCATCTAACTGCATTGCTAAGGGCGTAACCCAAGAAAGGTTTTTGCAGCCTTCAACGGTGGGGCCCCATGACAGTCCCAGCCCTGGGGCCCGGCCTGTCTCTCGACGGCCCTGGCCACTGATCAATGATTAGATTGATTTTAGTGTAATATTATTGAATATAAGATCAGCTTCCTCGATTTGATGGCAGATTGTTTTCGAGAAATTGATAAATCAATTTTGTTGGAAATATCTCTCTTGCTGCTTATTTAAAGAAGGCAAAGGACGGTAATCTACGAAATTGCTGACAAGATGACAATTGTACATGGAAAATAATGTTATGGCTTCACACCAAAATCAGCTTCTGGAGATCTAGATAATGTACATACCACTCCCCCCACTAGATAATGTACATACCACGCACACAATGACAAACTTTCGTGGGGAGGCTAGTCCAGAAAACCAAACTATTTTATAAGTGATGTCTTCATAAAATCTTTCTCGAGAATTGTTGAATTTTGATTCCATTACCTAAGAAAGATTGAAAGTGCATCGTGAAATACCTTAAAGGTGTTACGAATTGGCAGATATATGGCAAGATAAGGACAAATGTACTGTTGGAGGTAATATTGCTTTTCATAACTGACGTCAAACAAAGAGCGCTCGATTCAGTCTTCCTGTGAGCGTCAAATGTTGTTGATGTATGCAGTTGTTGTTATGGCTACTCCTAGGCCTAGTTGGACACGATACTTTACGAGAATAAAAGCACGACTACTATGTGATCATACCGAGTAAGTTAATCAACGATTTTAGGCTAATCTGTATTTCTGCTGCATTTTATGCTAGTGAATTTTAGCTTGTTTGAGACATATCTAAGCTGACATAATTTTCTTCAGCGCCCATATCGATTTTGCAAACCAGTTAGGCCAATCTAGTCTACGAAAGATTTGACTATTTCTGCCATGGTCTTGGACACAAGGAGATCTCCTATGGTGCACCTGAAGAAATAGTACTACGAAATATCAAAGCCACCTCTGCATAAATTCTCTTGTCAAGTTTCATTGTTTGACCAGGGTCATCGATATAAAATTGATTTATTCTATTATATTATCCTATATAAAGTTTTACATATAGGTATGGCTATTATAGTTACATCGCTGAATTCCAAAATAATTAATAAAGTTAGCATTTCTTGACAAGTAACATGCTATAGCCCCTTGTATGTGCAATTTGAAATGGAAACAATTCAAATTTATATTGATTTAAACAAGAATTTTCGATAATAATGTCTTTAGCACAGGCATGGAGTATTAGGAGCATTTAATCCTGTCCACTAGCCACTAGCTCCAGGATAAATTACATTATTCAAACTCAGACCTAGTGTCATCAGTCAGTCTCTATTTTTTACCTTCTGATATTACTTTATCCGCACAATTCATTTATTTTCATTCAGCTTGTGAGAGGTAAGATGGACTACAAACTTTCAGCTTTGGACACAATTCATGTGTCTGCAGTTCTGGAAGACTGTGTTGACCAGTTGGCTATCCTTGGGAGCATAATACCAGTCTCTTCAGAAAATCACAGAGGACAGGTAATTTATATCTAAGTATCATGACTGCAATCAAGGTACATTGGGGTGTCTATGACCATTCCTTGATCTGCACAAGTTTGTATATTGTATGTTAATATCTTTAACAATATGATTTGATATTAATTTCAAGTAAAAATGTATTTCTTTGGGATAAAATGGTACACACTAGGATTTAAATTTTGGAGGGCTAGAGGAATGTGACAATTTCTCAATTTATTTTGTTATTGTTCAATATTTCATCAATTCTGCATATATAAATGAACCTTTGGGCAAAAATTGTACTTCTGCTAACATGCAGTTAACAGCAATATTAAAAATTCTATTCTTGAGGGTATTTGCATGAATTATTATTTCATTAGTTATTTATATGATCATGTATTATTGTTTTTCAGCTTGTTAGCAATGATATACTTGGGCTAATTGAAGGCCAAGAAGAGCTTGAAAGAAAGTATGAGACTGTAAGTATTGCTTAACTATTTAAAATGGCTCATCATCATTGATGACTTTCTTGCAATTGGTAAACATTTTTGTTGATATCTTAATGGTTGTTTATCTTTGAAATCGTTATTAATTATGCTTGTTAATCATTTTTCCCAGTTGGTTTCAAGTAAAGCCCCAAAATCACAAGAACTGGAAAATGTTTCAAAGGCTTTGCAAAATCACACTAAAGGTATGCAGTATTTTATCATGATAAGAAATGTTAAACCTTCATTGATAGTTTTGTGTCTCAATTCTTATTATCATATGAGAGCATCAAATTTTATGAAATTTCCAGCCTTTGCATCAAAAGTTTCTTTTGTTTTCTTAAAAACATCTTATCCTTTTTTTGAATAGCTCTGAGCAGAAGTTTTCGCCAGGCCACTGGTGCAAATGACACACTGCAGAAAATACAGTCTGATAGGTAATGCTTTTTAAGACTCCTTTAAACAAACATGGGGTGATGCCCCTGGCCAGGGGTATACCAAGGGTACATGCCCCTTCAACTTTGGCATAACGCCTTTTCCTGAGAAGTAAATCTTTTGTAATACTGTCCCCTTTTGGTAACATGGTGCCCCTCCCACCCTATGTCCCTCAAGCCTTGAAATGCTTCTGACCTCCCTGGTGACACAACAAAGCCCATACAATAAAATATCATTTTTACATTTGAAAATTTTCAAGGTATTACCTTAACAAACTTTGTTTTGTTTGAGAGTGAAATAGCTAACAATTTCCAGATATATGTGGTAGAATTCCAGATAGGATTTTCATTTTAAATGTAATTCTTTACTTTTTATTTTGATCTCTATTAATATTTGCCTGTAGAAAATTTCTTCTTGACATTTTGAATGAAACCCTCAACGAAATAAAGGAAGAGCAGACTTTCTCCACTCTTGTTAATGCTGTCAGTGAAGAAAAGAGGAAGAAAACAGAGTTGCAAGATATTATCATTAAGTGAGTGTTTAAAAATTTAAAAACAGCATGTGTCTAAAAACTTTATGTGTTATCTACACATAATAAAGTCTTGCTCTTATCCACCCCTTAATAATCTGTACAAAGTCTGGGAATATGATTCTCAGTTGAAAAAGCATTTAATTTTCTAGAGGAATTGTCTTTAACTTATTCATCTAAGCAAATAAACTGGTGACTTTTCTCTTTAGCTATGCATAGCACAACAAATTAACTCACTTATATGAAGTTGTATTTTCAATCTGCCAAGATTGTTGCAGTGTGACTATCTGATTGCCAGCTGCTTTGACTTTGCAGGGAAGAGCAAAGTCGAAAGAAAGTTAGAAATTTGCAAAAGCAACTTTTGGAAGTCAAAAAAGAAAAAGAAATTGAAGTTCAGGTAACTGGGTTATATTTAAAATGACAGTTTTAGATTAGGCCTTAAGTTCCTGTGAGACACTGTGGTAATAAACCGGTGGATTCATATTTAAAAGAGAAGTACATATTCCTGGTTGCATAATGGATTTTTGATGAATCTGCAACAATGCTGTCAAAACATGACAAAATCTTGATGATTTAATTGGGAATGGTTATCTAAATCTATCATATGAAAATAATTTCATTATAAAGCCATGTCTTGGTTTCAGCTGACAGAGTTAGATAAAACCTAAAAAAAATATAAAACCAGGCTATTTGATGATGTTAAAAACATATCACCTTGTGGTATTCCTTTGGGCAAGACAGTCTCGTGAATGGTGGTTATAAATAATGATTTATAAATATATGAATAATGAATAAATAAATAGTTTAGGGCACCTCTACCCAAATTCTACATCTACCCAAATCCTGTGTAACATTAGGGCTTTGTGTAAAAATAGTTCCCCAAAAATGTACAGCCAAGGTCCTCCATACCTTGATGATGATGATGATAATGATGATAATAATGAAGAAATGTCTTGAGCTAAGACCTGTCTTAAAGACTTGCAAGCTGCATTAGTAAGATTTATAAATTTGCTCTCTCTATAGAGTCCTATATGCAGTGCTTTCTGGTTAATTTTGCTATTACTCTTTACTAGCATTGTAGATTTCTATGACGTTTTTTTACCATTTTCTCTATTGTATTTCTTTACCATGTTTTTGCTATTTCTTAAAATTTAGCACACTATTATGTGGATTTTCTTTGTAAAACCATTTTTATTACTCTGTCATTTTAGAAGCGCAAAGAAATGATTGCACACCTGAAAGATCAGCTGCAGGAAACTAAAGCAAAGACAAGCATGGAAACAAAATATATAAAGAAGGATGCAGAGGTTTGACTTTTTGCTCTTTGAAATCGCTCACTTTTTGGAATTTAACATTGATCCAAAGTCAATGGCATTTGCTGGTAGTTCATGCTGTCTATACCCAATTACTAGCCTTACTATGGCTGGGGGCTTATTTGGTAACAACATACCAAAGTTTGGTTTTGGTAAAGGTGTAGTAAAATTGAGGCTTTAAATGATCTTGGAACTTTGCAAGGTTGCTGGCGACTGACTCACATCACACTTATGATTCAATGCATGTTTTGGTTTCTTATTAAACACAATACAGTACTGCTGTAAAGGTATTATCATAAGAACTTCGTTATTTTCTTTGAATCTGTCCCAAAGCTCTTTTGCTTATGTTTGGAGTAATTTTCTGTGCTATTTTTTAGAGATATTCATCATTAAGTGCTTTTTTATGAGTTTTCTATTTGATGTTTATATAGGTTCGGGTGAGCTGTGCACAAAAGCAGTGTCAGAAAACTGAATCTGAGTTAAAAGAAGAGATAGAGGTATGTTGCTGTAAGAAATTCATTATTTTCGGCTGATCATCCTTACTCAATGGTGTTTTACTGTTAGATTTGGTAAAAAATCTCAGGCTAAGCGTAACATCTTTTGCCTTTCGTTTGCTTGAATTTCGTTATGATCAACTACATTTAAGTCTCGATAATCATATTATTAATCATATTCCTTTTCAATTTGTAAACGTTAAATATGACAAATTACTATGCTCCTTGACTTACGTATCAGAGCTGATTACTTCTAAGATTGTATTATTTTTTGCGGTTTTTTATTCTATTTTTTCCATTTTTCAGACAGCTAATCCACATAAACATGATTTCATTTTGCAGGTCTTAAAGCAAAAAGTGGATGAAGAAGCACGTGTGAACAACGAAATCGAATCATTTTTAAGACAGCATTATGCGGTAAACTGGATAAGAAATTACGTTAATTTCATTTTTTTGAACGCATTTTGTGTGAAAAGAAGATCTTGTGGTCCAGCTGTATTAGATGGAAGTTGCCAGTGAAAAAAGAAAGCTAATTGATCTCATTATTGGCGATTTTATAAAATAAGTCGACTTCAGAAAATACAATCTTTTTCGATCCTTAATGTGATCCTTATGCCCGTTTTCAAAATTATTTTTCTTGCAGAAATTTGAATAAGCTCATTTTCTGTACTTGTGCATAATTTGATGTCATGACTCTTTACTTCATTAGCTGTATCGTGGTACCTCAAGTCTGCTATGTAGTGTTAGCCTTTGATAACTCTCTTCTTTGTGTCACCAAAAGCGCTCTGTACATCTTACTTCCTCCCTCGCCGTTAACGCCCAAAGTGTATCTTATATTAATGCCCAGCTCAAACCATGGTGTTATCCCGACCTTGTCCCGTGTTTTATCTGTTTATTTGGGAGTGTAACGAAAGCTTTGTTTTAAAAAATTTCAAACGGGAGGAATAAGAGTTCGGTAGCTTGATAACCAGCTCATTATTCTAAAGGCCGTGGCGAATTTAAGGGGGGCGGGGCAACTAGTAGCCTGCGCCGCAGACCCAATTCTCTTTGGAGGATTGGGTCTGCGGCGCAGGCTAGGCAACTAGGGGCAGTTATCCCTTCATTACCGAGCTAAAGCAAGTCTAGTGCCCCTTTTTGGAAGCTGTTTGGCACAATTATTGTGAAAATTTTCTTTAGAACGTGACTAGAGAGCCTTCCGTCAGTAGTTAGGGTCTGGAATTGTTGTGTACAGCGTAGCCTCGTTACCAATTTTTGAACATTTTTCAGCGCCCCCACTACCAACTGCCCCTCCTTCAAATGTCCTCTGGATCCGCCCCAGCTAGAGGCTGGTTCAGTGACCTCCTTGTGACTCATTTGGCTTTTAAAATTCAGCGCGAATCTTGCCTGTGTTTGTGACAAAGCTGTAATGAAAATCAACAGTAGTTGGAAAGTTTAAGTTTACAATCTCGTTGGAAAAGACACAAAAGGGACTCTTTAAAATAGTGTTAGTGAAGTCTGTTAGCTTTTTAATTGCTCAAAATGAATTTAATAATATTCAGACATAAATTAGACTATTTTTTTTCGTTTGCAGATGCTAGAAGAAAAATTGGAATATTGGATGGAAAAATATGACAAAGATGTAGAAGCAAAACAGCACGAGCTTGATGTTCTTAAAGTATGTACACAAAAATTTATGAAATGACTGGTTAATTTAGACTGAAAGTGTATTCATAAAACATTTACGCACAAGAATTTAGGACGATAGGTTAAACATAGCATTGTACTAGAATTTTTCACATTTTGAGATGTTTTTTCTCGACTTGCTGTTTGCTATAGTGTACACCAGATTGTACCTGATAGTAAATTGCACCTGTTCTTGTTTCTCCTTTAGGCCAACAAATCTCACGATCTGGCACGTTTACAAGAGCTCACTTTGAAGGTCAGCACAGCAAGATAATTATGATTTATCTTTTGCATCCTACTTTTTCATTTCAACAATCAAAGTCAATTGCTTTTTCTAAGAGCTCTACTATGCAAGCTATCAAGTTTTATTAGATTCTTCGATCCTAAAAAAGATCTTCATAACATGGGATCCGACGCAGGTTGGGAAGTGAGGGACCAAGGGAAAATTTAACAATTATAACAAAAGATTTTGAGAAAAGCTCCCGGCCCCATCCTTTGTGAGCAGTCCGGCATATATGTTGGCAATTTTGCCTATTTCGCTTGCTTTATCATTCTTAAGTTGACTGGAAAGTAAATTTTCTGCACATAGTTGCTGACTTCTTACCTTACTTGGGTAGCTAATTGTTATAAATGAAAATATTTTGATAACTGGGCTTCATGTTAAAACATTTTTAAATTGTTAATGAATCATTGCAATCTCAACAATTGACGAGTAAATGCATCCAAAAAATATCGACTGCTAGAAGAATTATTGTTTGCACTTTCTTGAATGGAGAGAATGTGCTGCCTATTTGTTTCCCAAAAATCTGTTTTGCGTAAAAAAGCTGGCAAAGATGGGTAAGCCCCTCTAAGAAATACCCATACGTCGGTGCTTCTGCGAAACGGTAACGTAAATTGAGTTTCCTAAACTAAATTTTTTTCACTAACAGTATAATGAGTACGACAAAGTTGTCATGGAAGATAGACGGGAAAAGGAAATTGAAAGAAAAAAGGCTGAGCAAGAACTGGAAGAGCAAAGAGCTTGTACAAAGGTAAAAACAATTTAATTTCTCAGGTTCTGGAAACCGTTGACAATTTCTCCTTGGTGGGTTTATTTTATTATCAGATAAACTCGGATGATCCGAATGCCAGTTGATTCAATTATCCCTAATTTGAACAAATAATGTTCTTTTTAGGCCAGGTATTAATAATGCACTGCCTGATAATTTGAACAAGTTGTGTCCAGGGCCATCGCTAGAGCTCCTGAACAAGAAGTGCGATATGTAAATTTGCGAGTAATGGTGTTTCCCCTAAAATTCCCGATAAAATAAACGACATTCGGTTTTTTGAATGACTCCTCTAGGTGAGTAAATTGCATTTTATTTAAGCACGCAACTGAGCTAGTGTATGACCTGCATCAAAATTGTGAAAAAGAACATCTCCTTGCAGATACAGTCATGGTGGCGTGGTGTTATGGTGCGTCGTCAGCTCGGCCCATACAGCAAAAAGAAGAAAAAGAAAGGAAAAAAGGGAAAGAAATCCGGTAAAAAAGGTGGAAAGAAGAAAAAGAAGTAATCAAACGAATCGACGCTAATTTGTACATATATTTTTAATTAAAACTTCCGTTATTATTTGTGATATTGTTTCTTCAAGAATTTATGCTGGAAATTAAAACCAATGGCTAGACTGATTTACATTCATGGCCTATTTCTTTCTTTCTCACGCAGTCATCTTTTCTTTCAATAACCGCGTTGACTTCATAATTTTACAAATCATAGTTTCGAAACAAATAATTTTTTTTAATTCCTTACATGGCTTAGTTGTTTAGTATAGAAAAACGATTTTACGTTTAAACGACATTCAAACATTAAACATCTCGAATGTCCAAAGGCCACGTAAAAAGCGCAGGGTGATAGAATTTCCGGATCCAGTTTAGCATAAATTTAAAGTCATTTGCTGGCCCAGGTTTAAAACTTGACTTTCTTGCCACCCGATGCTCGAAAATGCGTCATAATTGTTTCGAGTCAATCTACAACTTTGTAGTGTCCTTTTGAATATTTCTTTAATATTGACAGTGACAATCCCCCTAGACTCATATTTTAAGTCGTAGCTGTTCAATACCTTGAAAGCGTTTGCTGGTTGCTCCAACTTAAATTTTATGCTGAAGATAGACATAAAGCACACCTTACAATACCACACGACTTTATCAATCAATCTTTCAATGATGGCAAATTTAGGGTATGAGGATATACCTGATTGTGAATTCAACAACTAAAATGCATGTTCTCACCATCTTATGAAAACTAGGACATACACGAATATAAGGGGTCATTTCCTGTTCATAATCAAACCATAGTCAATTGACTTTGATCAAACAGATATAGCTCTAAGGGCTTCTGTATACTTCTGTATAAAGGTTGAAAACAATGAATCGAATTTCGATTGCAGAATTCTAAACAGAGCTTCTTGTTAAACACACAGACAGTCCTGATGAAAGTACAGATTTAAAACAACACAGAGACAATTAAGTTACAAGAACAACTAAACACTTCTACAAGAAATTACCAAAAGATACACATTCTAAACTGCAAAATGGTTTTCACAGATACATATTGTCTCGATACAACACTGCTACAGGAGCGCAATGGCGGGGGCAGGGGCTATACCCCCTAAGGCACCAGATTGGTTTGAAATTCTAATCTGGAAATTCGCAGAAAAATTTAGATCCAACTACGCCCCTGGGTCGTTAATTTCTACCGAGATAATTACTATTAAGCTTCTTTGAGGGCCAAAGAAATGGAAAATGTACAAAAACGATTCTGAAAGACTAACAGAAAGTAAGGGGAAAAGATACATTGGCGCAAGATTAAGATACACGGTCTTGATAATCCAAATTAAATTTTGCAGCCAGATGGGGTATTAACAAATATCGTCAATAGTTATTGAAATTAACAGTAGAATCACTCTTTAAACAAATCATTAGAACGAAGATAAGGGGATTCTAGATTGACTGACTGGGTGGCAGCATTTAACAAATAACAAGCCAATGATTACTGAAATGACTGCTTAACGTGTTATCATAGTTAAGCCAACAAGCTAGCCTGGAAAAATTCACAAAGACCTAAGACATTTCAGTAAATTTTTACATGAAATACAGTCGTATTTTTCTCAATTGGGAATACTATAGCTAGATTTGAATCACATCCTGCCATTTGATTTACATAATAAAACGGCCCTACCCTTTTCTAGACTTATAGTATCATCGTATATCGAAGCCAATCTAAAGGTCTATTCTGTTGCTTCTGAACATTAAGAGCGATTCTATAAGCCAATATATTTTCTAAAAGCGTTGCCAGCCGTTTCTACCTTGAAATAACATTTTCCAATTGCAAGTGTATTTATAGCTGTTTTATCAAGCTTTTTCTATCATCCGGCTTTAATAATACGCATATTCGAAACGCAGTCAGATATGAATAGGGTTGAGACATAACTTGATGCCAGACAATCTTTGACAGGACCCAGACAATAGCTCGTTTTCATGTTAGGCTTTTGCTACCAGTTTTGCTCGTTGCTATGCTTAAAATAAACAATGAGTTAGACCATTGATAATTCTTACACATTCATCCGAAGAAGTAAACACCATCTTTGAAACAGAAGCTTCACAGCCACAGGCCGTTAATTGTAGTGTCCACGTGCCATAGTTCACATGAAGGGGTTGGTTGATTTTTGCTGGTTCATACTTGGCTGAAGATGGAAAAGTTGAAAGGAATAAAATGAAATGAAAAGTTAGAATACCGAACGTTTAACGTTCTAGAAAGGGAACTAAAGACTCATTCTGCCGTGGCATTCAATTCCAAAAAGCGTTTGATGAGATTACCCAAAATCGTACACATATGTTAAAGAGATTGAAATATGAATAAGAGATATATTTAAATATAGAAATTCGTCTGCTGAGAGTTCCGTAGCACAGTGCACAATACATTTGCACGTAGAGCGTAATATAGCATAGAGTTGGAGAAAATAAAACTACATGTTTTATCTCTACAAGCCTGTTTCGTGAATAACTCATTCTTCAGGAGAAGAGTAAATTATGCACGATTTGAATAACTCACTCTCCTGAAGAGTGGGCTATTCACGAAACAGGCTTTGTTATTATTTCATTTTGGATATTACGAGCAACTCTATAAATCTTCTCAAATTTGCATCTTCCATATACTAGATTTCAAATCGTGCTTCCAACCAACAAAACTAACATTTCTTCAACACAAAAATACGTCACAAGATACAAAACCGCCTAATTGCTTGTGCTCTTATTCCATTCAGAGCGCCACAATTTCAACAGTACCAAGATATTAAATTTAACGAGTGATGTGAGAAATGTGAGAAAACAAAAGAAGGCGTCTGACTGACAACACAATTTACATAATACTGCTAAGAGCTTTTCTCACCATTCCAAATGAGCCTGCGCCTGCATTACTTGACGGGTTCCAAGTTCCAAATTGCTTTTGCTGAGGCTGTTGCACCCCAAATAAACCAGCACTGTCACCACCAAACTGCTGTTGATTACCAAAAGCTTGTTGTTGGCCCCCAAACCCTTGTTGTTGGCCCCCAAACCCTTGTTGTTGGCCCCCAAACGCTTGTTGTTGGCCCCCAAACGCCTGTTGTGGGCCTCCAAACGCTTGCTGCTGAGCTCCGAATCCTTGCGACTGGCCCCCAAATGGTTGTTGCCCTACAAATGTTTGCTGTCCTCCGCCCGCAGCCGGGCGCCCTTGAACTTGCTGTCCTTGGTTTGACCCAAAAGGGCCTCCTTGCTGTCCGCTAAAAGCTTGCTGGCCGCTAAAACCTTGTTGTCCGCTAAAACCTTGTCCACCAAAACCTTGTTGTCCACCAAAACCCTGTTGTCCACCAAAACCTTGTTGTGCGCCAAAGAACTGTGCTCCACCTTGTTGCCCGCTTAAAGATTGTCCTGTGCTGTAAGGTGTTTGTTGTTGCTGTTGTACACCAAAGGGACCTTGCTGCTTGCCTCCAAATGCATTTTGTTGTCCCCCTCCAAAGGGTTGCTGTTGAGCATTTCCGAACGCATTCTGTTGGGGCCTCCCAAATGCTTGCGTTTTGTCCCTGAAGGTATTTTGCTGACCTCCAAAGCCTTGCGACTGTCCGGCCACGTTCTGCTGTTGCCCCTGAGGGGTTCCTTGTTGCACAGCTCCAAACATACTCTGTTGGTTAGTCATGAATTGACCTGATGCTGTTCCAAATCCTGACTGAGTGTTACTAAAGCCGGTATTTGTTCCACCAAATCCACCCTGACTGCTGGAAAACGCCATACTGCCGCTACCCACAGGCATTTCTGACACAGGAAACCCCCCTTGTTTTGCCTGTTGCGTTGAAAGGGGTGTACCCCAACCACCCGACTGGTTTTGCGAATTGGCACCTTTTGTATCGAAGGGATTTTGGGCCATTTGCTGCTGCTGTTGAAACATGGCTATACCACTGGTTCCAGTAGCCGGGCTCATGAAGGGATTGGGGTGCTGGTTAGCAGTGATTCCCAGTGCATTCTGACCGGTCGTCGATGAGCTGAAGACGCTTTGAGTGTTGCTCGTTCGAAAAACGTCATCAAGTTCTGACAATGCTTTGTAGGGATCTGAGGCAGATTGTCCACCTAAAAATCAAAGTTATTGCAGTGAATTTTATTAACCTAAAACGAGGATTGAACATTTATGCAATTAAATAGATTGTCCGGCAACTGGATCCATAACTGGCAATGCATTGTGAGACTGAAATTCAGACATTGTGATCTGGTATAAAACATCGTAGATAAATGCCTACAAAATACTTTCTTCAAAATACAGAACACTAAAATCTATAAGAAACTCTGATTACCAAAGAAAATCAGACTTCATCTGTTCAAAACGCTTATATACATGGCCGTAATTCCATGTGAATGCATTCACATGTTTCATGTGATAGACATCCCATAGTGTAAAGAAAATGGGTTTAAAAAAAGACGGTTCAAAATTGCTTTACATGGCAAGAGTCTACAGCTCTGCCATCGCAGAATCAAGCACTCTGCAACAACCAGCCCATAGTAATCCGCATTATATGACAGTCAATCTAGTGAGCCCATGTTTGCTGGGACGAAATATTTTTATCATTTAATTCTACTTTTAAAAAATTCGTGAAGCGTTCCAAATATAGGCAAAAATGGCAATTTAAGATTTTTGTCGTTGCGTTGCACAGTTTATACAAACTCTTTATCACAAATTATATATTGTCTTTCTTTTGGGCAAGTATTTACAAATTACCTTTAGAAAAATCTGGAAAACCATTAGATGCTTTTGTGGATTGTTGTGTCGAGCTTTGACCAAATGCATCAAAAGACAAAGAGGAGGAGGCAGCTGCTGGCGGTCCGAATGGGTCTGTCGCTGGGGTGGCTCCAGGAGGCTGCGAAAAATTGGCGAACGAAGATGACTGTGATCCAAAGGGCTCCTGTGAAGGCGCTTGGTCGAAAGCTGCGAAGCCTTGAGTAGAATCTGGCAAATTGGTGAAAAATTAATATTAGATTACAAATCAGATTACTAATCAATATTTTGACTATTCTCTAACAATGGTTATAATTTTGATCAGCACTGGGTCATTTTTCAGTGTTTTGTAATCCAATAAGTGTCGGAAATAGAGCTTCATATGCACCAAAACTCATCTTTTTAAAGACCTAGTGCACCTTTATCTAAATAATAACATAGTATATTAATTATAAGCAAATAGCTAGGCTTTTTCAGGAGCTTATGCTCTAGTAGTGAGGTCGTGGAGCGTTCAATTCAAGGTCAACCGGGAAAAAAATGGTAGAAAAGAGAATTTTCCACCATCCAGTGCAGAATGTTTTCCTCTATAACATACTCAAAATCGCCGAAAATCGACCGTTGGGAAAAAGTTTTAAAGAGGTTTATATGATATACGAGGCCACATTTGATAATCAAATACTTGTAGCACAACTGAGGGCATCTGTTCAGAAAAGCAAAAAATCCGTTTTTCTTTTAAAATTGTAGATTTACGTAAGGAAAAATTCTCCTATTCTAGGCCTGAAAAAAAGAGGGCTAATAAAGGAAGAAATCAGTTATTTTCTGATTTCCTTAAAAACATGGGCGGAAATTTTATAACCGGGCAGGCAGTTTTTGAATGCCAAAATATTAAATTCATTAATGCACCATAAGCGAGGGACACTTTATTTATTTTACTCGCAATTTACTCGTGGGAGGGGCTATTTTGGGTATTTGGGGACATGTCAGCAAAAAATGTAATGTCCTTTTGTGACTTCGATATCAACACAGATCATTATTTCCAGATAATTGGAACAAATGAACGGCTCACTTTCTAGAAACGGGTACTCTCTGGATCAAATATGGCAGCCTATACTCAGGGCCCACGTCACGAATTTTGATTGAAGGGCCCAGTGGCCAAGCTCTTAACATTGAACTTGAATTTAGGGCTTCAAAACAGGACATGGAAATATTTTTGCTTACCAAAAAAGTAGGGGGCCATGGCCTCTCCGGCCCCTTCGGCATCTCCGTGGTGCAGGCCCCCTCAATTTTTTCTCAATTGTCCACTCGAATATGTGTTTAGCTTCCAAATTCAGTATCGATGCCTTGAATTGTTACAAGCTTTTCATATTTTGCAGAATCTCTTGGCAGATGATATTGTGCATATGTTCAAAAAGCTCATGTTTTTAAAAGTTCTAGAAAATTTTTTCTCAAATTGGATATTAGGCGATTTTGGATACGTTATATAGAGGAAAAAATTCTACGTAAAATGATGTACGTTTTGCTTTTCTACTAATTTGTTCCTAGTTTATCATTTCTACGACTGCACTATAGGCAAACATATCTGATGCAGCGAGGACTATGAATGGAAAGGGTCAATGTGGTGTGGTTGTAGAGATAAAAGCCATTTTAGAAAACAGCAAGAACAAGCTTAGCCCCTTCATTTGCATTTATCCTTGGCTGCTATACAAGAATGTGGGACAGCTTCCAAACTACAAAAATGTTTCTTCTGTAATCAGGGCAGGCCCTACCTGAGTTGCATCACAATAAATGGAACAGTGGCGCTTGGTCAAAATTTGAGACAAAGCGAGCAACGACCAGATTTGGTAAAAGTAATGATTTTGGTGACTGGTGGCTGAAACTCTGAAATTCCACAAAGATTTTTCACGTTCAACACGGTGCTGAAGAATGTTCTGTTATTGTGACTATTGTCCTTCCCATGTGTTTTGTCTGACGTTTTAAAGTTTATAAACATTTTCAACATTGTAAGAGAGGAGGTGGAAAGAATCTAGCAGCATCATTGATAATTTAGGCAGGTAGTTAAATCATGGGGTTGCCAACTTTTGAACTTGAATACTATGATTTTGCAACTATAGTTGGTAATGATTTTCATGTATGCGAAGGTCTTATAAGAAATTGCAGAAAAATGAAAGTGTCCTCTTGTTATCTTAAGAAATTATCTAGACATACTTTGAGAACCTGTACTTGTTCCAAATGGGTCACTACCGAGATCTCCAAGAAGATCAAATCCTGAAGTTGGAACACTTTTCTTTGGTGGATCACGAGGTATTGCAATAGGTGGTTGATGACTCTGATGAGTTGGCTAGAAAATAAAATTTTAAAGTGTTTACTCTTGCAGTTTATTAATCTGACTATCATCACTGGCATAAGGTCACAAAATTATGATCGTATAACTAGGCAGGACTTTCATGTCTATTTTCAATTTCTTTTATGTCTAAACGTTTATGTCATTCATTCCAATTTCGTTGATTGCTGACTTCCCATATCATTTACCTACCAAAACTGTTTACAAATAGATGCCTTTTTGTTACAGCTAAAATTACTGCATAAAGATCGTCAGCTGTCAGATCATGTCAGATGGAAGAGCATATCAAAATTACCACGTTTAAACTATAAAAATCTAGGCCTGGCCGTTTGAAGCGAGCGACAGCTCACGCTCCCCTCGCAATCTAAGGCGAGCGGTGAATTACACTCCTAAACAGAACATGAAGGAAAAATCGCTCCGCAAAAATTTCCATTCATTTGCCCTTTCCATAGTCACAGAACCCTGTAAACCTTACGAGAGTTAATTGGTTTATTTTCGTATAAGCGATTTCTCCTGTCACTGCATTTTTTGTAATTGTTGTGATAGCCACGAACTTCAATCAATTTAGAAAATAATAGTGAAGTGAAAGGTAAATTTGCAGAGCTTACAACCTTTCAAATTTATGAAAACAGGCATATTCTTGGTAGGAAGGTCGCAGAAATTGCTAAGAATTGTCGATTGGGGGATAGAAATAAAACAGCAGGTCCCTTCCAGCAACAAAACTCTCCCTTAAAGAGAATCGCCTACTCGGTCTTGCAGATCAAGAAGACAACTAAAACATGCAATTCCACTATCGATCTGCACTTACTGGAAAACCCAGTTGCACAAAAAACTATAATGGCGACATGTTTCAGATTATTGGTAAAGCCCTATCGTCATTCTATCTAGCAGTTTTGGTATCCATGAAAAGGCCGGTATTATCTAGACAGAAGGAGTTCGTTTTCACTATATACTCTTGACGCTTTACACTCTGAAAAGTGACAAAAAGCTTGTTTGGTAAGAAAATTGTTATTTTTGTGTTGTGCAAGCTTTACACGAAACTGAAAGAATCCGTTTTATTTTGAATCCTTTAAGCAAAGGGGTGCCCGAGCTACGGTTTAAGCATATATAAATTGAAGAAGTAAAACAGGATACTCCTTGATATCAAGGCTTTTTAAAGGCAATCAACAGATACTAAAGGGACTTAAGCCATCTGCCGACTGCCTTTGAAGTACATTCTATGTGTTACTGATTTAGCTGGCCTAAGCAGATAAGGGAGCAATTAACATCTCACTAACAAAATTACAAACGGCCAGGCCTGTTTTAAAACCCCTCCTTCAATACATACAGTTCCAATAGATGTGCTAACAGGAATATCATCAACTTTCTCTCCAACCAGGTTCTTTAATGGTTTCACTTCTGGAAGGCTCTGTGGTGCAGCTTTTTGTTTTGGTTGGCTACTGTACCAAACTTTTCTTTCATATTTTTTGACAAGATAATCCTTCACTTTTTGTTCATCTTTAGATTCTGGTTCTGCATGATGAGTTGAATCACAAAGTGCTAGCCATTTACTTCTACAGACCTGTCAATCAGTAATAAAACTTTTAAGGTGAAGTTAAAAATTATCACCAAAATATGTTTTGACAGACAATAAACAATAAAAAGCACAAAAGTTTGCGTAAAACAAAGTTCATGTTGTGCTTGGCTGAAGCAAGCAAAAGCAAAATAAGAACTAATACTGTTGGACAATTAGATGCTGGACAATTAGATGCATCACCAGTGGTCAAATAGGCACAACAGGATAGACATTATGACAACTTTCCTAAACATTGTTTAAAATTAAAAAATTAACACTTAGAAATGTAATTTTAAAATTCAAAACTATAATTAACTAGAAAAATTCTGATATTTCTCATCCTGATGAGTACAACAGTTTGCAAGTTAAAGGAAACAACAGTATTCTACAGTATATAATCTTTATATTTCTTTTACTCTTTTCAGATTACCAAAATATTACAAAATCAAGCAAGTTTGAAAGAAAACATGAACAAAACATAGATCATTGATTCATGTCAGGAAATGATTACCAAATATGGCATGCTTTGAACCATGCATGCAAAATGTTTCCCAGATTTGGAAAATTGAAAAAACAGTAACACCAACAGACCTCATTGCCATGCATTTGAAGAAATTCTATTTCAGTGGCAGAAAAAGTAGCCATCGATATTGATTTTATTCTATGCGGTGGATTAAGCCCTCTCCTAAAATGTAAAAATTCACAGTTAACTTTAATTTAACTTTAATTTAACCCTACTTTTGAATGGGCTTATTTTCAAAGTATTTTCTGAAAAGAGAAAAAAATATTTGAACAAATTTTTCAAACAATTTGCCAGTAAATTTAAATCATTTGACTCAAACGTATGTTTGACTGTCTTAAAGGAGTGTGTCTTAAAGGAATGCAATGGCTTCACTGTGTCTTGGCTCATTTTCAAGGTCGGCCTATTTTTCCTGTATTTTCTAACATTTTTTGCTCATTTTCGAATCAGCTTATTTTCGAAGGTCAGCAAATTTTCAAGGAAATACAGCAATTAACTGAAAGATTCCAGTGTAAAAACTCCTGAGAATCAAAACATCAATCAAATCATTAGCTTAATGTCATTTTAAATGCTTTGGACCAAGGTGGTCCAACTAAATTTCTGAGCCAAAGACAAAACCTTATGTCACAGGTGGGCAAAATGGATAACCATGTAAATTACTGGCAAATTTTTTGTGAACAGTAAATGGATTACATGAAAAATCAAATGAAAAGTTACATAAACAATTGTAAGAAAAAATCATCAATATAAATGTTACATCTTCTGTTTTCAGAAGTTTATTCACATCACACATTAAACTGGTGGTTGAGTTGTAAAGAATGTCATGTAAATGTTTGTCTGTAAGTTTCTATTGCGGTTGTGACTAGTTTAGCTTCATAAGAGAAAACATCTGAGTTTCAGATTAAATCAGTTAGCTAATGATGAGAAAGTATGCCTAATAATTATAAAGGTATGACTAATGAGATATTATATAAAATCATTATAGTAAATGGCACTCAATAGGCATAGCAAAGAGGGCAAATTATTAAAAAGTTATGGTCTTAACAAAGGTCATAGAATGTGCCCTTGCAGGCCATATGTTGGACACCCCTGCTTTAAACTGAGAAACATTGAACAATTAACTAATCAATCAATTCATTTGTAGAATAAAGCTCACAAACAGTCAAAAGGTTGTCAAGATTTATCAAGATTTGTCACTGTTACATTAAAATTTATCACATAATAATCTGACTTAATTATCCTGACAATCAGGAAGTTATTTTTACCCCCTAACCCTAGCAACTGGCCTTGCCAAGATGCAAATCCTGCAACCAAATAAAATCTGCAAGCACATTTTAAAAAATCAACATCAAATCTCTGAAAAACATTATTCATTGATATTCAATTTAACATAGCCACCCTCTTCCTACACTTTATTAAAGGGAAAACTGTATCAAAAATTATACACAATGCTGGGAATTTGTCCTGTTTGCAACAAAGTGCACAAATTTCTTCTTGCAAGCATATCAGGTCAAGCAAGGAAGCTCTACGTATCAGGTGAGGATTCTCTAAGCACAAAATCTGTCATTTCAAAATTTTAAGCAAATATCTAAAAATAATAAACTGCATTCAAATACTTGAAACTAAGTCAATTTCCCTAGGGGCAAAATCTGAAAAACTCTTGACAAGCGTTTCAGTACCTAACTATTAAAGATTCAAGCATTTCAGCATATTAGTATTTATTTATGTTATCAAGAATGTCTAAAGAATGTGAAGGAACTGAGAAACACTCCTAATAGTGACACACAAAGCTCCTCCGCAAGCAGAAAATTTTTGTGACAACAACCATAAGATAAGCATAAAATACATTTCAGAATATTCACTGCAGTTGTTTTCTCGCGATTGTTCAAAACATTTTACCTTTCTCTGAAAATATCACCCCCTCCCCCTCCTGAGGTACTAATTTTATTGCAGATTTGCACTTTTTTCAGATACAAACTTTCTGAGCACTGAGCAGCTGCCCCCCCCCCTTGACTTCCTTCCTATGCTACTGTTCCTACTCATTGTCCAGTGCAATATGACGAGATGTTTCAAATGTTGTTGCCAAACCAATTAAATTTTGAAAGACTTATCTTTCATCAGGCTTGCTATTCGCTACCCTGGAAATAAAAAGGGTATAGTGGAACTGGGAACTAGTCCTCAAAACTGACATTTGAAACTCCTCGTACAAGTTTTCACAAGTCCTTAATTTATCAAACATTTTTCTTTAATTTGGCCTTTGTATTTATAAAACCAATGACAATTTTATTGGTGAAATATTTGTGCGAAATACCATCACCTTGGTTATTTGGTTCATGCGTTCAGTCATATTGCAAAGATTCAATGAAAAGAACTATGCTCTTTAACCTTGACAATCTATAATCTCATTTACTGGCACAAATTTGGCGTAGGCCTCTCAAAACTCTGCTAGAATTAACAAAAAAATGAAGATCACGCAACAACTGGAAAAATTATTGCATATATCTACTTTCGAATACCTTCGATATTGTCGAATATTGGTGTAACAGATGCCCTCACAAATTCAAACCTAGTATTTCTACTATGATGACGAAATCTGGGAATCTTCCTTTAGCGCTTCAAAAAAGGCAGCCGGGGCCTTTTTTTAAAGATACCATTGCACAAAATACTTGTTCAACGCCACCTGACAATAACAACCAGAAAATTTTACTCTGGGTGACAAAACAATTTAGCCCGAAAATGGCCTAGCCCCGGGAAGAAATGATTTAGGAAGTGAGTGAGTCAAAGGTTGTTAGGTATTTGACAAGTATTTGTACTGTACTTACAGCAACCCGCTACATGAAGTGCAAACAAAAGCTCCTATAGTCATATTAACATAGGTAGGCCCTCGTTGACCACAATCGAAACATTTTTTATTTGGAGGCTGTCCTACAAGTTCCCGTAGTATCTTGAGATGTTTATCCTCCTGCTTTTTCCTGTTCGCCATTTTGCATCTGTGTGACGAGCCCACAAAGTTAGACATTGGAACTTCACTGCCTGCGTGGGAGCACAAGATTGCGCAAATTAGCCGAATACGAGGCACAGTGACGTCGGGTCAGCTAAGTTGTATGCAGCTGTGGCCTAAGAAAAGATTCTCATAACAGTCAAAATCGACCACGTTTTAAAAGTCTTAAAAAATGACGTTGTTTCACTTTGGAAACTGCTTGGCACTTAGCTGTGGACCATATTTCATTTTGTACTGGTCATCAGGATTGTAAGTATGACTTGCAAAGAGCATAAAGATGTGGTGATATGATAATCTTAATATAATACTCTTCAAAAATTTTGCCTTTTTCACAAAGTCAATTAAGAAGTCATCTCAAAATCTGCATCTATCTACATCTATCAAATACTGACAGATAGACCAGACCAGAGTGGGAGGTCATCAACATGTATGCAAAAGAGAGCCAATTGAGAACTAGATGATTCGAACCCAGGCCAAGGCAAACCATTTTAGTCCCCTCCAGGTTTCTTACCCATATATCACATTGTGTCTGGTCAGAGGGTATGCATGTAAATAATGTGTGCGCCAGTCTCCAAGCATCTTTTTATCAATCATCTATTCCCTGACAGAATTTGACAAATTAAGGTTAGAAAATAATTTTATCTACCCATAGCAGCAACAACAGCACATTATCAGCTGCCACCTCTAAGCGATGGCTTTTGAGCTATGAGCAATGTTGCTCATGCTCCTCCTATGTGCACATGACTTAAGTATATTTGTTAATGACATCGTGACTGAAGAGTATGGCAGGTGCACATGGGCAGATTTAAGCAACAATGATTGGGGGTGTTAGACACTAATTGTGATGCCACACTCTTCAGGTCACTGGTAAATGATGGAAACGCCCATTTTTAGAATTTGGTTTTTAACTGTGGCGTAGCCAGGTTTGGAGGATTGGTAGTCCAAAGAGGAAAATATTTTTGCTGATCACAACCCTAAGAGTTTGGGAAAACACCCATTTTGTAGATATGTTTGAAAAAGCCATGGCATTTTTACGTGACAATTTCCCTTTATTCAGCGTCATAGGTGGTTTACCATATTCTACAACTGACTATTTCCTTCACAATTCCACTAACGTTTATATCCTGAAGTGTTTAAGGCGAGGAATCTTTACTTCTAGGTTGATGTCCTTGAACTCTAGAATAGCTTTGTTCTCTAGTGTGCATAATTGAAGTGTATACTTGTATGAAAGTGCACACTTGATCTTGCACACAGAGATCTTGTTGAATCTGCTGTACTCTGCAGACATAGTGGGTTAGGTAGGAGCCCAAGCGATCCAGAATGTGACATATTGCTGTCTGATTTGAGAATATGCAAGTTTTCCATCCTGGACAATAACCTTGTTTTTTTAGAAAGATGCCAGTAAATTATTCATAATATTATGAATAGGTAAACTATACATATAAGTTTGATTAACAAGAAATTTATGTTAATGTACTATTCTCAAATTAGCAGTTCTTTATAATTAAATAAATTCATTAAGATACAATGTTTCTATTAGCAATTTTAGATTTAGTTTAGCCCTTTATGAATATGGCGGACAGAGTTGCCAGAAAAGAAAATTAATAAGAATAAGAAAAGAACAAAAAGGAATTGGCATAGTATATGGCAGATTGCACCACAGTGATGATTTCCATGATTTTACATGCATTCATAGAGAGATGTGTCATTTTTAAGCCATTTGGGAGTCACAAGTTGTGAAGTGTGATTGTTTGACTAATTTTTTATTGTCAGAGAATAACTGTAGGTAAAGCAATTTTCTATACACTCAAATTTTCTTTTGATTTAATGCCATAGCATCGATTCTCCATTTTAGATCAGAATATAGCTCTTTCTGGAAATGTATGAAGGCAGGAGGAGCATATTTTATCACACAACTTTGCAAGGTCAATTATCTTTTAATTTTATTGCATTTATCCGTCTGTTAAGATTGTAGAAAATGTGATTTTATAAGTTAAACATGAATTCTTTAGGTTAGCTATGAATGTTTTTAGATATTGAATTTTTACATTTTGAAGGTGTATGCCATGTATGGTTCACTTTCATTGAAATAAGATTGCATAAATTTCTTAAAATTTGATGCACCAAATTGTTTAATAAGAAGATGCTGATCATCGTGTTGGTTTTGAAGTTTTCCATTTCATTATATTTTTAGATGTTAGTTCTTGCAAGTTTCTTTCCCATGTCAGATGTGCCTGTGGATCAAATTGATATCATTGGTGTAAGTATTTCAAAATCTTTTTTAAGGGCCTGTTTATATGGGAGGTAATTTTTTCTTGTTAACATTCAAATAATATCCCACCTCCCAGCTTTTGGCTTCTTTTTACTCCACATCTCAGGTTTACCAGATAACAAAACAGATCATTTTCATTACAAAGTGTAAATGCATGCACATTGATAAAAGTTTCATCCAACCTTCCAGCCAGTTTTATGTTTTCAGGAAAATTTCATCTCAAGAGGTGAGATCTAGCAAGCTAAGAACAGGAGATTGTTTGTGCCGCATTGAGCATTTTTCATATAAACACATGATGGAAATTGTGATCCTTTGTATTGGAAGGTCGGATCACCTGTCAGCTTATAGGCTGAAAGTTGTGATAGGTTTGCACATATCAACAGGCCATTGAAGCTGTATATCCTTTTGTTTCCTGCCTGTCTGTGAAAGTGCCATGTTACTTAATCAGTCCTGGTAATATTAAATTTGGCAGCATGCTGGTAATTGCACGCCTTGAGAAGTTTAGGCGTGCGATGACATGCGATCAATAAAATTGAGACCTTATGATTTTGATACCAAACTGAAGTTATTCAAAAACGCTGTTCAAAGTGAAGTTATCCGAAAATGGAATCATATGAATACGCATCATTTTATTGGGAACAGCGAAGACAGAGGCATTCAAAAACGAAGTCATTCAATCTCAGTTTCACAAAGAACTCAAGCTAAGGATATGATAACGGACAAATATGGAGAAATGGAAACACCCACGTTATCGTTTTAATAACGGAGTAACAGAATATTGGAGTAATGGAAACCGCATGTGCGATCGCATGCCTAATATTACAAGGACTGCTTAATGGCATTGGTGATCATGGTCTTCCAATGTATTTTTTCTTTCCTAGCTGTCATCAAGGCTTGTACCATCACCTGTGCTTTCTTTCCGGCATTTGCTTGACTATCCAACTACTTAGACTGTTCATGGAGTAATTTGTTGATGCCCTCTGCTACTCTTGCCTTCTATCTTTACGGTGATAATAAGATATTCTAGGTTTTCATTTCTCATGACATGACCAAATAATTCAAGCTGTCTTTTTTCTTATCTTCTTTATCAGTGTGCTTTTTTTCAAACTCTCTTTAAAACTTCTTCATTTGTGACTCTATTCCATGACATTCTTAACATTTTCCTATAGTACCACATCACCTTATCATAAATTTTGTTTCCTAGGAATCACTAAAAACTCCTTTTGAGAGTTCATTGCTCTTTTTAACTATAATTAGACAAAATTTAAAAAAACTTGGAAATTTGAAATTTAAAAAAACATTGTCTTTTGTTTACACTTTTTTGCTGTGCGTTCTGAATGACACATAAAATTTCAAAGCTATCTGATTGTGGACAACAGTGGGGCCAAAATTATTTTCCGTTGCAGGGAATCCTTGGCTGAAGATGTTTCTGCAAACTGTTTCTATTTTTCTCTGTTTTTGTCTGTTAATGGATGTTTTACTTTATTCATGCTTATCACAGGAAACAATGAAGTCAACAATGGATCTTGCTGATCTTGTTGGTTTCCATATGATAATGAGCAAAATTCCAGGAAGAGGAGAGTTGAAAGTTCTTGTAGCTGGTTTAGGTATATATAACTATTTTTCAACCTTCAAACAAGTCAAAATTCATAAATTATCAAAAGCAAAGTATTTTGTATTAATCTTTTTTTATGAATGCAAACAATTAATTTATTTTACATTATCAACTTTGCCTGGATAATTTGCTGAGATGTATTATTTGCCATAATGTGAAACTTTATTTTTCTAGGATGGGCAAGTGCTGAATTCTTGACTACAAAATTAGTTCCACTTTGGGTTGGTGCTAAAGGAATTGAATTTGATTGGAAATATACACAGATGAGTTTAGAATGCAATGTTAATCTGGTATGAATATAAATTTTGTATTTGATTGTCATCTTCCTCTACAATTCATTTCCTGTAGTTGTGGTGTTTCTCCTTGAACATTAACAATTTGCTAGTTTGGTGTTTTGTTGTAATAATTGTGTTCAAGATTACTTCTTAAATGAAACAATTTCTTAAATGATAACCGTTGAGTCAGAGTAGGAATCTAAAACTTGTGATTCATATTTTAAACTGGGTGAAACTATTTTGATTTCAATGTTTTAATCACATATTTCCATCACCAGTGTTTCTTCTTTGCAGAACTCTTTTTTGTTTAAATATGTCTTATAAAAAGTAACATATAAAGTATAACACATGGGTTGAACTTAGGATAAGATAATGAAGCTAAACACTAGTGTATTGATATGGGTCGCAGTTGATTTGTATAAGCATAGTTCAACTATTAATCATTTTGGTGCTATTCACATACATATTTCCAAACCTCTTAAAATCACAAATAAAAAACCAGCAAAAGTAGATATTATTATATTAAAGTGAACTTCATTTTCTGGTTATTATGAAGGCTTTTTTGAAGTTACTTTCTAATATTTTCCATTTCTATTCATAATTAATTTGGTTATTATTAGTTATTATTCAATATATCTTGTGATTGTAACCATTTCCAGCAATTTTGTTTGCTCTGCTATCTTTATGAATATCCGATGTGATGATGTGATATTCATTTTTAAGGTACACTACATTGGTATTGCAACACTCATTTGGCTGCTCAATAGAACAGACCTACAAAAAGCCTACTTGCCTATTGTGTTTTTATTGCTTGGTCTTGCATCTTACAGGCCATTAGTTTTGGAGTGAGTAAATTTATATTCTTGTTTTTGGCAATATAATGTTATAAGTAAAGGCTACATAGCGTCAGAAATCACTGCTCATATGGAAAATTCACGCATTTGAAATTATTTAGCTGATATTAAGCAACAGAATGCATTGTTTATTTAATGCTAAAGTCATTCATTTTTGATTATGTAAACTTTTTTCAAGCACATTTCTAGTGATTTCTATCATTGTTCATTAACTCTCAAAGTTAATAAAGTTTCAAATAGGTTTTTTCTCTGTTTTGGAGCTTACAAAAAATGCTTTAAAACCCCTTTTACATTAGCATCTAGAAATGAACTTTGCATTGATTAAAAGTGTACTTATCACAAAAGGGGGTCCTGTGCTATGATTTAGCTCTCTAGAAATTTTGAATTTGATATTTTCTTACGGTTAAACTGAAATTCCCCTGAATTGGTTACTTTATTTAATTGATTTCGCGTCATGAATGTCCCCACTTCATAAATCTTGTCGGTCATTTTAGTTTGCTAGGACTCATGTTTCAATAAGTTTAAAGCCATCGTAAACCTGACAGTTGTGACCCTCTAGTTATTAAAAGTCAAGCCACTGCAAATACCTGGTCTTGATTCATCATTCTATTGTGTTACTGCAAGTTAATAGAATTTTGGTGATATACATAGCAAGCAATGGACGGTAAACCTAATGGATCATTTACTTGGAATGAAATTTTTTACGTTAAAGAAAGTGACTGATCTCAAACTGAAACTTAATTAGATCATGTGACTTTAACCTGCGTTCTGTAGCTTTGAGAATTAAAGCCTAATTTGGCACTGGTGTTGTAACCTTGAAGTTTGATTAATTCTGTGTTTCGATCGATTTTTTACATAATTGTGGACACGACTAAATCTATCACAATTAAACTACGTACGCAAAAGTGGAAGCCTATCAAATATTAATTTGCAGCCTAGTAAGCGGTAATGATAAAGTGTTCAAGTGCTTCATATTTAGGAATCGATAGTGGCTTCAAAATACGACGTTCCTTGCTTTTGACCAGATTTTAAGAAATGTGGCGATCACCAAAGTTGGAGAATCGATGTTTTCTTGAAATTAGTCGCCGCAAAACGAATTTGATTCAATCAGAAGTACCAGTCGCCTAAGCTATACATTTTAGTTGCTTTTTGTATTTAGATATGACGTCAGTTATGCAGTCTATCTTCAGTGTTGAGTGTAGAGTCACACTCTGATTGGTACGGTGATTTTGATATAAAAAGCACACATTTTCCCAGAGTTTACGAATATTCCTGTGACTCAATAAGGCTCTTCACCTCCGCCATCTACCAAGCTTTTTTAAGAATTAACTGAAAATCTCTTAAGGATGGCCTAGGTGCTAAAAGCAACTGATAGGATTAAATTTTTGGGACTGTTTATTGCCGGAAATCAGCCCCCCCCTCCCTTATCCTTCTAAGAGTAGACCCAGCGTGGGACTGAATTTGAAAGCTCTCATAAAGTCACTTTGTCATTTTTGGATATTTTTTTTCAGATTGGTCAGCTATCTTTTCGGCATTACATCCTGGACATTGCTAGCTCTCAAGGCAGTTTATACAGGAGTAGTGGGTACTTTGGCATTGCAGTTGTACCTGGGTCTCGTCAAGACATTTAAGACATACTAATACGACTATTTTGGTCTGCAAGCCTCGACAAACTGCTATTCACTGAAGACTGGGAATATCCTGCCTGACAAAATCTACATTTACAGTGAAAAAGGGCATGGAGAAGAGCCACGTAATCACAATTACTTGCGGTTTTAGATTGAAGCTACCTTCTGGTAATCAAGAACATTGAAAAACATTTTTCTCTCTAGTGTTTTGTATTCTCTCGCAACTAACAGTCTTGAAATGCGTCATATGAAAAGGTTCTGGTTGAAGCATGTAGTATTCTATGCGCGTGCATTTCTCAAGAGATTCATCTGACCAATTAAAAACTCTCAACTCTCTGCTACATCTATAGGATGTCCGATTACTGTCTTACTTTATATACAAATTAAACATCCTCATATAATTTCTTCATGACTATTGCCCTGTCATTATTTTATGTCCATAAGAATTTACTTTATAAACATTCGAGTACTCCATTATTGTGTTCAATCCCTTGTTATACTGTTGCTGATTTTGTCCATTGCTTAATTTCTTCAACTTGGCTGCCTACGAGCAAAGCCGCATTACAATCTGTCTTAGATTCTTTTCTAAAATAGTTTGATTATTTTGTCTTTTCCACTCGTTTCATCAGGTTTGGGAGCTTTTATCTTGATCTCAGGTTTTGCCATGCTTTTGAACTCTACAAAAATAAAAAAATGTTTTTTAATATATCATTAGTTCTATCTTTGAGTATATTTTGATCTCTAAGTGATGTATATATTTCTTTGGAATATCGTGGTAAAAAAACTCGGGTAAAGGCAAGGTATCTTCTTTTCTGAGAATAGATAAATGTTTTATTTAGTTTTAATAACGATGGCTTTTTGGGCTTTTTGCAAGCTGAATCTTCTCGTTGACTTGATTACATAAACAATACGGTTTTCATGTTATGTTATCTTGCACAATCCCCCAGTAACCTTCAAAGTGTTTACTGAACCTAACTGGGACGCAACACTCCATGGCGGCAAATTATGACCTCCACGCCCCTTGTTAGCAAATTTACGTCATACATTCAACCTAATTAGCGATGTCCCTGATTGTTATAAAGAGTTTTCTGCCTTGATTTACTTTATTTCTAAGAATATGACCTTTCCACACAATCCCTACTATCTTCTATCTCACACCTCTTGTTATTTGAACCTTTAATACCCAAGGAAACATACTCAATTACCGCAGATTTTCAAACACTTCATTCAGTCACCCTCGCTCTCTGAATGCCACATGAGGTAACTTTTTATCAGACAACTGCTTGCCATACGATGTGGATAGACAGCTACCGTGCACTTACCCTTGAATGTAATTTTTCGGTTAATATTCAAGCCTGTATCTGCAAGCATTTCTTTGATATCTTCGTCAGTAACCGTTGGATCATCCATTCGCATGAGTACATACTTTAACTCCGCTGCATGCATGAATCCCTTGTCATCAGAATCAAATGTCCTAAAAGCCTCCTTCAAGTCCTTTTCTTTCCATGCCATCTGATCCCCTTGCAATACCATCATATTAACAAACTCTGGGAAATCTATCTTACCATTTCCTGTAAAAACGTGTCCATTTATGAGCCAAAGAATTCAACAACAGTCCTATGTGCTGTCCCCAGTTATTCATGGATTTAATTCGTTGAGCAATGTTCTATATCTAGCCGCCCCAAAACCTATCTATCAAGGTCTGAGTTCATAGGAACTGGGGAGAAGTTGTGTTCCTTTTAGTTGAATTTTCATTGTCACCGTGACAGCTCTAATTGGTGACAGGGGATGAAGATAAGTGCCTTGCGATAAGTCGTGTCCCTCCAAGATTTGATTGTCTCTACGTATTGTCTATATTTCTACACAAGTCGAAGCTGTTTCTTGCATTTCTGTTACTTGCAGCTGATTTCATTTGTTTATGCCTATTCGTGTTGGCCTTGTTTGAGATTTCAGTCTTTTATTTATCCAAAACTATCTTATCGTTTAAACCGTCAATTTCTAAAGATTCAGTCTTTTCTTTTTTCATCTATTTTCGATTCTTGTTATAGTTTAAAGGAATTTTTAAATTTCTATATAAAAGAGATCATTGTGGTTTCGTGTAGTTAATCATCTGTTTAACTCAAGTTAAAAAAAGATGATATTATATTTTATTTTTATGCAATTTGTGCCTCATAAATATATGTGCAGGATAATGCTTCCAGACAACATTTATGGTAACAAACCAATATATTAGATAGCCTCTTTTAATAATCCACGTTGCCAATAATAGTGCTGGCCTTTCGCGAGTTTCTCGAGTTTCTCGAGTCTATGGACATAAAAATGCTTATACACATTCTTTACAACTACTACATTAGAAATTCATTGTTCTATTGGTTAAGATATTTGTATAATTGCATTTTATCATATTGATAGAAACAGCATTTTACCACTTTTAATGTTTACTTTATGAACGTACCGTCAAAATCAACTTCATTGATTATTGAACAAAGCTCGTGTTCTGTTGGATTTAGACCTAATGACCGCAGAATTGCTGCCAGTTCCTTTGTTGTAATATATCCATTTCCGTCTTTATCGAAGGACGAGAATGCATCTCGAAATTCTGTGTGAAGAATGGTCATACTCAAAAATAATTTTTTTGTTGATTAAGTTTAAAACATCAAAGCAGCGAATTAGTTTTGTTTATAAAATACAGTATGATTGGGTCTTGCTAATGTAAAGATGAAAATACGAAACTAAAAAGCCTGCAACTGAGTTTAAGAAAAGTTTCGCTTTTCCCGTAGAATGCTTTAAATACATTTTAAGATTAACGCCACATAACAATCCCATCAAGGTAACAATTTGAAAATTTGGGGAGGGCATAAAAAGGGTACGGGGATCCGTTATTTTCTGCTTAATGCTATGAAAAGATGAAACAGTGCTAGAAAATTATAAACCTAGCCTTCCCAAACCTCCCCTGTTTCGAAAGCACTGGCAATGTCGTATTAAAGTGATTTCTTGCAAAATACCCTTATGTCAATTAACACATCTACTGCACCCCAACCCCGTAAGGCAGTTCTCGAGACAATCTGAGTGCAGTCCAATTATCTTTGCCCAAAACGATCGAATGCTAGTATATTCTAAAGTAAGTGGGGAAAGACATTTGGTTATTCGTTACTAACAATTTATCAATGACCGTGGGGTCCATGGGGTTTCCTTAACTGTCTGATACCTTATCTTGAGTATCAGAGCCTCATAAAACAAAAAAGGTTGGATAAGATTGCATCAATGCCAATGGTATCAATTACCCTTTCCCCCTCTACTTTTGCTTCTTTTGAAGCTCTGGTACCAAGGGTAACAGTACTCTACCCGACTCCATACTTCCAACTTTACATCACACATTCCAATTGTCCTTTAATAATTCCTTTGTTAAAAATTTAATACTGTACTCACCCTCAATCTGTTCATCAGCTAGCTTTTCCTAACAAAAAATAATAAAATTGGAAATTAATCCGTTCATTAATAAAATAAATATAACGCAAGAAATAAAATATGAGACATGATAGCAACTGCCAACCTGAATAAATATCATTGAATCTTAAAACAAAATATTATCAAAAGAACACCATTCAAAGTGTGCTTTCATGAGGCAAACATGATATAATGCTTATATATAAAAAACATTCATTAAATATTTGATATAATCAAAAACATCAACATTGTATAGCTAATTAGGGTGAACTCAGTTTTCTTTCCTTTTTAAAAATAATAATGATAATAATAATAAGAAAAACAGTCAAAGCTGCATCATTAATAATGAAAATACTACCATTTTATTCTCGTCAAATATTTTTCACCCTCAATTCTGACTGGAACCAGAATTCCCTCGCTGTGTAGTAAAAGCATCCGTGATTTAAGAAGTGACTTCTTTAGAAAGAAATTCTTAAGTGTTGATCGAAAACCAGCTGTTGAAAGCGTAAAGATTACCTAAGCATCCTTTCTATGCATTATTCATTACAAATTGTGCTAATTCTAAATAGAACGATGAGTTCTTATTGATCTACAAACACCGGTGGGTTGAAAAACATCTACAACAAATCGATGTTATTAATTGTGGTCAAGAGCAAACAGCATTTTAAGACAGTCTCCTAATTCTCTCAATATCAACAAAATTTTTGAAAAGATTTAAATCAAAGTTCCCAAGATTTGAAAAGCTCAGTTCTTGTTAGAATTCAATTACTTGGAGAATACATAATTAAAGATATATGCAACTTTGTTAGTTTTTGCTATGTGACATCTTTTCATTAATTTTGCCTAATACCACACACTGCACAAGAAAACCAAATAAAAATCATTTTTGTTGAGAGCATAATCAATATCGAGACTGGATGTAATAATCCAAAGGGTTGGGATTCATTAGAATCAAGTCAAATGCAAAATGGAAAGACGGTTTTTTAAGTCCCTGGTTTAAAAGTTGTAACCTTGTTTTTCCATCGTTTGGCGATTGACTGGCTGAGATACAATATTTTTAATGCTAAAGGTTGACAAAGTCAAAAGCATTAGCTTTTGAAGGCTTTTAAAGGCTTTTGAAGGCATCCGAAAGGGCTTTTGAAGGACCCACAGTTATGTGGCTATCTCCCTTCAATAAGAGAACGTACCAGTTTTTCAAAAGAGGCGATCACATAGGTGAAGAACGTTGCTAAACGGGACATGTACGGAGGGAAAGGTTACATATCAAAAACCTGAAAATATTATAACCAAAAGATAAAAACTAAATCATCTATTTAATTGCCTCCAGACCCTGACAGTACTGTCCAAGCCATTTTACAAGTACCGTAATGCCTCGAACAAGCGCCCCCCTCAGATAAGCGCCCCCCTAGAATAAGCGCCCACCCTAGAGGTGAAATTATTGAAGAAGCGCCACCCTTGAATAAGCGCCCATCCTTCAACCTTCAGGAACGGGCGCTTATCTGAGGCCGTTATTGGAATTTTCGAATTTTCTTATTTGAATTCGAATTTTCGACGACAACATAATTGGAATGCAATTCACCAAGAAAGATTGAATGACCGACACAGTTTGTTGTAGTTTTCATTCTCATTTTTTGCCTTTCCATCATAATAACATGCTTCAATAGAAAACACATTCATTTTTTTAGTCTATTCCAAATCTATTTTTTAAATAAGCGCCCCCTCGATTAAGCGCCCCCTCAAATAAGCGCCCATCCTGGAGCCTCAAGATATAAATAAGCGCCCGGGCGCTTATTCGAGGCATTACGGTATATCATCAGATTTCCTATTGGTTGACTTCAATGGAAAAGCGCGCTTGAATATTGTTGAGGAATAAATATTGATAAGATATGTCAGTTCGCCGGACAACAAATCCGGCCACCATGTTTACGTCAGAACGTAACATTAAGCAAAGAAACGTACCGTCAGCACAAGCGACGCTAGTTCAGCAATATAACCAGTGGCGAAGCAACAAGTCCTGCTTGTCCTGCTGGGCAGGACCACAGATTTCCAAAGATAACAATTCTTAAAATATCAAAAATTGATTCGTTTTATGAAATCATTATATGCCTGATTCAAAGGCATTTCTTTTCAAAGGTCTGTTTCAAAGGTCTTATTCTAGACTTATATTTCGTGGCTGTGCTCCTTTTCAATTTTGAGACACAGGGTGACTGGAATGGAATTTCGAGTATCCCGTTCGTAAGTTGATATCGTCGAAAATATAGCCCTGTGGTCAGCCCTGCCCAATACTCGTAGGCAGGACTAAATCCTATGTTTGGTCCTGCCCAACAACGTAGCCCATTTTTTGGTCCTGCCTCACAATAGAAGAAAACAATGGCAGTACACTCTTTTTTTTATAAGAACACGAGCCTCAAAACTGGTCAAAAGTTAAGAACAAATTAAGAACAAGCTGAGGCTGAGCTTCTGCAAAATGCAATTTCGAACAACGTTTTTTCTCAAAATCGAGGATTTTTAGCGATGTGTGGGTGCTTTTTCGGTGAATATTCAAATTTGTCAGCAACTTAAGTCTGTCTCACTCACTCTGTTGGCAAATGAGGCCTGGACACCTTCTTAGAGCGAAAAAGCTAGCAATATCACTGCTTACACCCTGTTAATTCAAGAACAAATTAAGAACAATCCAGCCTCAGATTTTCGAAAAAATTAAGAACAGTCAACCTGAACTTAAATTTACTGGTTCTTATAATAAAAAGAGTGTACTGGCTTTCAGAAATGACAGGACCTCAGGTCTACTGATCTCAAAAAGGAGTGGATCGAATAACCTATTGTTCTCCTATATCAACATTAGGAAGCTGATCGAGTCTCTCCATCTTGAGACCTCTCGCGCCTAAAGCTTTGGACTGCCATTTGTTAAAACGGCGCACACACAGTGCTGCGCCTTAAATTACGCATTAATCATTAAAATCTTAAATATTCTAAGATACAACAGGCCTAGAAAAATAAGTGAACAATGGATTCTTCGTTACATACGCTTAATACCACGGCAAAAATGTTTAACGTCACTTATGAATGATGCAAGTTTTTGTTTCAACGGTTACTTTGAATTTTGCTATGAAAAAGCAAGTTGAACTGAAACCAACATGATTGCTCTCTAGTCTCATATAACACGGCGAGGTCTCAAGATGGACGCTGCAATGTGGAATCAACGCTGGGCTGGAGAAGCTCAATGAGCTCAATCCAGTCAATCCACGCTTTATGATCATGATTGTCTAAAACACAATAGAAGACGTCCCACAATTCATCGCTTTTACTTCAACACAATTTATTGTCCCACAATTCATCGCTCTGCGATCAAGCATTGGTTTGGTGATAAGTGTAATTGCAGGATTTGTAAATAAACAGAACTGTAAATTTGTTTCATTGTTGGTAAAGTTATTTTTGTAAATAGTTGGTGTAAATTAGTTATTACATTACTATCGTAAATAGACCAACTTTGAATAAGATTATTATCATTACCAACACTTCAAACTGAATTTTTCTGTGTGCGAATTCTCCGTTCCGGGCCCACTCAGCCTGGGCTGACTCAACCTGGGCCCACTTAGCCCGGGCTGACTCAGACCAGGCCCACTCAGCCCGGGCTGACACAAACTGGGCCAACTCAGCCTGGGCTGACTCAAACCGGGCCCACTCAGCCTGTGCTGACTCATCTCTGGCCCACCTTTCCCAGGGCCCACTCAACCCAGGCAGACTTAGCCCAGGCCTTTTCAGCCCGGGCTGACTCAGACAGAGCCCACTCAGCCTGGGCTGACTCAAACCGGGCCCACTCAGCCCGGGCTGACTCATCTCTGGCCCACCTTTCCCAGGGCCCACTCAACCCAGGCAGACTTAGCCAAGGCCTTTTCAGCCTGGGCTGATTCAACCGGGGCCCACTTAGCTTGGGCTGATTCACCCTAGGTCCATTCAACCTGGGGTTAATCAGCCTAACTTCAATCAACCCGGGTTCAATTAACCCGGGCCCAGTCAGCCCGGGCTGACTCAACCCGGGCCCACTCAGCCTAGGCCCACTGAATCTCAAAATGCCATCATATGGCTAGAAACTTCGGACAGGAAAGGACTACACTGTCATCGATTGATTTATACCAGAATCGATCGTTTCAAGACGAGTGGTACCCTGAGTAGAACCTATGGAAATCAAATTGTTTAGAGTCAATCTGCTTGTCCTATTTACTGTTCAAGTCAGGAATGTCACAGACATCGCGAGAAACGTGACATGCATATACACTCTTTTTTTATAAAAACCAGATAATTTTGCCGAGCCTCGATGTTCTTAACTTTTTTATAATTTTTGGCTCAAATGTTCTTAAAATTGTTCTTATTTAAGAGTGGTTTTTTGCAAATATTAGAGAAGTTACATACTGTATATAGTTTTTAAGTCGTTTAACTAGGTAAAGTTAATAACAAAGCTAATAATAAAGCAATGTTTGCTAGTGTTTAGGGACAAACTCATCAAAGTTGGTATAGATAGTATAGAAGTAATTTTGCAGCAACATTTGACAGACTAGAATTGAAAAATGCTGTTATGTTTATAAATTGCATAGTTTTGTTTTGTTGACATGACATAAATTTCAAAATGTGAATTGTTTTTTCAAATTTCTCATCTGAAGCTGAGCATGTTCTAGCCTTGTTCTTATTTTGTGGGCAAATCGAGCCTCAGTGTTCTTATAAAATGTGTTCTTATATAAAAAAGTAAGTGTAATTTTCTCTCAGACTGCAAAGAGCAAAGGAAGTCATATTCAAAGGCCTATTATAAACAGTAGAAAAAGTTTGCCACCGCCGCCGAGAGAGAATCTTCGTTTTTTTGTACCAGGATAGTCGAGATGGAGGGGAGATGGAGTGTGCATGACAGCAAAAAGGGCTTGCTTAAATTTAATTTCAGCAGTTCGTTCTCCTGCCTTAACAGGAACTACCATACAACTCAGAGGTCCCGATGAAAAGGACGTCTTGAAAAGGATGTAAAGGAAAACAATGGTAATTACTTGGAGCTTTCGTACTCTGTGACTCAGATTGTATTGCACTGGCAAAATGTCAGAGGGCCTCCTCTGATATTCAAAACAAATTGATTCAGGACCCTATCTACTGTTCATCAGACCTATCCATGTTGTGACAAAATATTTTTATTTTTTTAAATAACAACATAATGGCAAAATATTTTTACTTGTTTCCAGTATGTATTACAACTGCATATGCCTATTTGTACAAGCAATTACTTTTTAGTTAATGATTTCAAAATTTTCAATTACTGAAAACATTTTCAAATACTTATTTTGGAAATAATTTTTGATGCTCTTTTGACTTCTTTAATGTAAGGCAGGTGGAACTTGAAAGGACCCAAACCCACATCCCCCTTTTTTCAAAATGTGGCAGTGAAAAATGCTTCACTGCAATCTTGATTTCAACATATCCAGAAGGGCGTTTCCCCCTTTTCCGAGGGTCTTTAGGGCGTCGCTTCACGCAATTTTTCTAGGGGCTAGGCCAGACCCCCGTTGGGGAGGACCACCTGTTCTTGGTTAGCTTCGCCACTGAATATAACTAGATGAATTTAGGAGAAGACTATCTTTTAGAAGTTGCATAAGCTTGTTAACACTATACTTTGCGCATTATACTTTGCACTACTTTTGGAAATCGATACTGAAGCTGATGCGTTGATGCTTTTCAAGTATGGAAATTTCCCAACCGTTGTCCAGTTTTCACTTATCTTCAACTAGCTGTCCAGTTTTCAGTTCGACAAGGAAGAGCAGATAGAGGAACAGCTCTGAAGACCATGTGCCTGACTATTGATGAGAGTTGATCTTCGAGCTTACCAAAAGAGGCACTTGCGCTACACAGTCTGTTTCTAATCTTCATGTCATATTAATCAAAGTGTTGTTTATAACTCTTGGTTTGTAGAGATCGCTTTAGGTCTTTTGGGTGGACTGAAGACTTTTACTAACTTGTATAGGCACGAGGAAATTCAACAGCAGCTTCTACGAATCGATCCACAATCTTATGTTTAGCTGCTGCACTGAGAGCCACTATAGCACTACCTGAGTGAATCACTGCTGCGGTTTGTTTCTGTTTTCATCCGAGTTCCCCTTGAATCATCTTTATATCTAGACTTATACAAGAATTTCACATCTTCCCAGGGCTTGTTTTCATCGTTTGCAATGATGGCCTAATAGCCTTCATTGAATTCGGGCTTCTCATACATGGTTGCTAATTACTGCATACATCTATCGCAGCGCAGAGCAAAATCTGTTTAGTATTCATTGTAAAGTGGCTTCGCAACTACAGCTTCTGCGAAGCTTTATTCTGCGTTCTCCCCAGTATATTTCTAACGCTATAGCACGTGTGATGAGGTGTGGCTCTCTTCTGATGTCCATATGCTTCCCTAAGATCATTATAAAATGCATTCACTGGAAATTCAGCTCTCTGGTTACAGACCGCTGATTCAATAGAATCCAGCCTTAAACTGTCGGAATCGGTGACCAAAATATATCGATGATAGAAATGAGGATAACTCAATGAATACCTGCTAGTAAAGATGTTATTCAGCAAATGAAAACTTAGATGAAATAAATAAAATAAGTGAGAATGTCTCAGCCATAGAGGTCTCCATTACAAGCATACTAGATGTCTGAGTTTCTTCGAATTTTCATCATTGGTTTTAAGGCTTTCCCCAGATGAAAAACGCGAAATGTGTCACGGTAGTTATGTATACCTTCTGCATTTTAGTTTATAAAGTTATCTCGCTGTTCTTTCATGTTGACAAGGGTTAACTCTCTATTGTATCGTGTTTACAACTTAAAGTCATTTTAATCTCTTTTTTAAAGTGGAATCTCCTTTTTCACATCACAGTAATTCTAACTAACCCTTTCACATAATGGTTACAATTTTAGACTTTCGCGACCTCATGTGTGATATAATAAGCTTTTGTACAACGGTAAACTCTTCGTCAGCTCATGGTTACAATTGTAAGCTTTCGCAACTCCGTGTTTAATATTGTATACTTTCGTAATTATCCTCTTTACAATGATATACTCTTGGTCATCTCATGGCTACGATTGTAAACTTTTGCAACCTCGTGTTTAATATTGTAAGCTTTCGTAATTATCCTCTTTACAATGGTCATCTCATGATTACATCTCAACTCTTGGTCATCTCATGATTACAGTTGTTGAAAGTTTGGATTTCATGTTTACGACGGTAAACTTTCTTTTACAAAGTGATTACACTGTTAAACCCTGTCGTAGCATTCCTAATGCTGCAAATTCTCTTAGATATTATCGTTACAGTAATGAACGCTGTCAAATGCACTTTTTAGAAACATCATAGCTGTAAAAGTTAGCTAGGATGAATTAACAATCATTCGCATTCACTGATTGATTTAGGATTGATTAAGGATCATTCAAGAAAATTGCCTTGGAAGAATATCTTTGAAATGTCATAAGACAAAAGGTACCTCGCAGAACTTTGTACCGCACAAAGCAAATATTTATTATAGAATTACATATCGCATTCATCTAAAAGGCTCAATCCCTCTAAATCTTTGCTTTGACGGGTATAAACTGCATGTTTCTATTAAGATGTTTATGTATAACAACAGTGAATTTAATTTGCATTCACATTCACTCCTTTGAATGTTAAACATTAATCAGTTAACTTTATCATCCAGCTTAAAATAACATATCCTCGTCAAATACGCTCTGGACTGAAGCAAGGAAAAGGGTCTTAGGCGATAAAATGTTTATAAAGCCTTTAATAACTCGGAGTATAAAGATTGCCGTTTGATTTCAGCTTGACCCTCCATTAATCGACCGGATAATAGCTCTAGTTTGATGGTTGTCCGTTACATTGTTGTCTGTAGTTTATTAAAAAGAAGTGACAGGTCCGGGTTTCTTATAGATTGTTTGAAAATTGAAACCTTGTAAGTTATAATCTGCTCTTCAATTATTTGCTTTATTAAAAAAAATGGGGTTATTTAGCCATTTTATTGGTCTTGAAATTAACTGGAATTATATTACTAACAATTACTTAGGTTTTATCGTTGTGTCCCATAGATGTGTCTTTCAACTTCTTTATTTTGTTCTCACTTTTGATCAAATAATTTACTATGCTTTTTATAAAGTCTTACTCGCTCTATAACCTTCCGTCACAAATACTAGAACAATTAAAGCGGTAGCTTACTGAACGTTTTAAAGCCGAAGATCAGCACAATAGCTGGCTTATTTTGAAGTATAAATTCCAAGCTTTTTAAAGCATTGCTATCCAATGCTTTTTACTTTTTGCAAAATCAAAATTACCATGATCATAGCCATAATAATGAGAACTTTACTATAATAACAAATTTTATAAGTATAATGCAAAAGGCTAGCCTGGCTTTACAATGCAAGACTATACAGGGCCGGCGAAACAAGGGGGCGGGAGGGGGGCCATGGTCCCTCTACTTTTCCGCAGAGCAAAATAATTTTTTAGGCAAAGTGGAAAGAAATCTAATCTACCATTCTGTAAGTAAGTGTGCTAGTAATGTTTTAAAAATGTCCTTAGATTAAGCTTGGTAACTATGTATTTACCAAAGAAGACAAACAGAAAAATGAAAATGGGAATTTGGTCAAAAAAGTCGCTCATTGTCCAAGTGGTACAACGAGTAACAGCTAGGGAATAGATCGAGAAAACTGATTCAGGAAGACTTTGTTGCGTGCACCAAATGATAGAGTCTTGTTTTTTCTATAGCCTAAACTTCGCTCCCAAGATCTATTTGTTGGGGGAAAGTTTCTCAAAAACTGTTGAAGTAAAGTAACTGCTGGAAAGAAAATTTGTGAGAATATGAGAAATATAGAATTTTTGTTGCATAATCTTTCATTTTGAATTAACAGTGATTCTTTTGATATTTCAATGTTGATGGTTTTGTTAAAGCTTGATTAATTTATTTTCACCTCCATTTCATTTTGGCTCCATTTCAAATCTAAAAAAGCTTGATTGCGAGCTACAATTAAAAGTTATTCCCAAAAGTTGCAAAACATTTCCTATTACATGTCAACATTACAATAGACGAAATTAAGTGACACATTGATAAAAGAAAGCTTGAAAATGTTTTCACTTTAGATCATACTGTTTCTGGCCATACCTTGAATATCATATTTCTAAAATTTTTCATGCCGACAACCATGGTTGCCTTTCCTAAAACCTTTCATAACCTTGATTTTTTGGCACATCCACTTTCAAACACGTTTCGCCGGCCCTGCTATAACATTTGTAATTGCAAAGAATGAGAACCAAGCAAAACAGAGAAAGAAAAAGAATGTAGTTTTGTACTTGTCTGCAGTAAATTTTGCAGCAAAAGATGTAGTACGAATGGCTATGTTGAAATGTTTGGAGATAAGATAGTATTTGCAGTGTTGATCGATAAAAAGAGAATCATACATTTGATTTTATGAGTTGGAGGTTCTAATGGTGACAAGAAAGCTTATGGAAAGAATGACCAAAAGAGATTTGTGTTGCTGTAAAAAGAAAGATTCAAATACCAGAGGAGCATAATTTGTTGTGTCTTAATGCATTTATGTCTAGATTGAATTCGAAATGATCTATGAAATCTAAGATGTAAGATACATCTAGAAAATAATCATAGCAATTATCAGCTTCATCATCAAAGATCAATCAATAATCAATTAATCACTCGAAACGTTCACTCCTTTCAATCAGCTAATCAGGATGTAAATATCAGCGTCGTCTTATTACCACCGAGAGCAGTTTTGCCAAAATATTTCTTATAAAGTCTATAGAAAATTTTAATTTTGAGTTGCTCATAAAGTACTCTAACCTTTGCAAAGATATGAGCCTATTATTGTCTTTATACATTGTGTATTTTATAAGATAGCCTTCGAACCACTACAAAGTCATTGCAGCAAAACGAAGTAAAGGCGGTGAGGTCTTAGTTACTCGTAATACTTGAAGATGAAAAGCAACCGATGTGAGTGATAGTAACTGCGGGCCCTTTACAATCCTGTGATACAGAACCTGCTGCCTTCACTGGATTAATTTTCTCTTGTTAAGGATAGCGCTGTGACATATTTAAAAATCTTCTGAAGCCCCGATGGTTTTGATGTATTCCGTTCCCTTTGTTTAAAAGCGCAGTCTTCGTACACTGGCCTTTGATATACTGTTGGTCAAATGCATGGCTCTTTCCATAGGCTCTACAGACCAGGTTTTGGTTCATGCCTACATAGCAGTAGAAATTTTGCTTCATCATATCATTGAATGAGAATTTCATCATGAATTCGAGTTTTGCAGGTTTAGAGTGAAGTCAAAATGGTGAAGACTGTTAAGAAGAAACAGGTAGGATATGAGGTTGTTTTAGTCTTCAAACACACCCTCGATTGTGTCGGTGTTTGGTTGCATATGTTTCATGTACTGTTCGACATACTGTTTCATGTAGAGAGATATTCAAATGTAAAAAGGCCACAATCTTGACGTGAGTTTGAATCCTGTTTTAAATATCAAATAGATTTTAAAACTAGACAATGCCAGGCTAAACTCCTAGACAATACAAAATTCTTAATTACCCTGAAAGTTACCCAATTGCCAAATCGTGTAATTCTTTATAAATTCCTTTTGAAACTATCTTGTAGCACTATATATAATACATTAAACTCGTCTTATATGTAGTTATGTTAAGATACTTTTCCTAACAGCAGCTGAAACGAAAGCTATTATTGCTAGTGTTTATTTGCAGGGCTTTAACCAGGGAAAATTTCTTAAGGAGAGGGGGCAAAATGGGGTATAGGACTGAATTCTCTAGAGATTATCTTTATTTAATGTCTCAGCGCTCAATATATTCGTGTGTGGGTGGAGGATATAAATATTCATGGGCTGCAACGCAGGCTGGAAAGTGGAGGGGGGGGGGAGAAAATTTAACAATCATAACAAAAGATTCTGAAAAAAGCTCTATTGTTTTGCAAAAAAGTGAGAAGGCCTTGAACCCCCGCCCCCCTTTCGTTGGAAGCTCTACCACCAATAGATGCGGTCCTTGATGTAACGTCAAATACTCAGCACCATAAAGAGGCTTTTTTATGGTCAGGATCATCATGTGGGGAGGCCAGGAGGATCGCTAATTTTTTATAACCGTGTACTGAATCCGACGAGTTTTGAAGATTAATGGGGGCCTTTTTTCATTTCAATTATAAATGAATATCAAATATGACTATAATATTTTAATAAAAATTTATTGGCTCATATGCTTTATCATAGACTGAAAATGTGATCATAGAATATAAGCAGTGATGTAACAAAGGTAGCCAGGGCCCATAGGGACTCTTCAGCTCCATCAGGTCCAGGCTCCTCATTTATGATTATTAGTAAAACAATATAACATGTTAATCAACAGACTTTTTCAATTCGTTTGGGCCTTGTAACCTCTTTTCGTATCCAGAGTACAAGCTTCAAAGTAATATTACATAGAAAAGGTTTTGCTGGGGGTCGTAAAGTTTTGGGCCCTTTGTTTTTGAGCTTAAAGTAATTAAGCCCGTTACGTCACTGGAGTGAGCTCTCTTTCGAAGAACTAACCCTAATAAAGAAAATATAGAAAACATAAGAAGCACTAATCTTCTGTTTGAAAACTAGATGTATACACAAAAATCTACACTTTGACCGAAAAGGTGTAACATCAGCCTTCCTTACACTGAAGTTCATGCTACGCTACAATCTGTTGTGATAGCCATCATAAACGTAGGCTGAATTCCTACTTCTTATTTCCTTATTTCTGATAAAACTGATCTGACTGTTTCAATAGGGACTTTCTTTAGTTGCTGTAGAAATTTTGGCACTATCGTGAAAGTGAGTGCAGAAGAAATCTCAGGGCCATGTCTTTTTTTCGTAAACCACTTGCCTAGACCAAACCCTTTGATGCAAGACTTTCGTTGTCTAGAAAGTAAATGATTTAAGCTGGAGTGATGTAATTGCAAAAGTGATTGAGGTTGGCAATAATTCGTGAGCTTGAACAGTTCAACTAGTTCTTCTAGGTCAGTTTTATCCGCAACATTTCGTTAACTGCCAATCTGGATTGGATCTTTTTCTCTTTCTTATACAAAAAGACTTCCTTTTTCTCTTATATCGATCGGTATATACAAAAGACTTGTCATTCGTATAACTCCCCCCCCCTAACATTTTCTTCTAAACATTCAACGCATTAACATGTTCGCCCTAAAAGAAAAAGGAGACCTTGGGATTTTTAACGGCTCGATCAATTCCTTTCCCCAAACATTTGGCTCGTAATGGTCAACTTAGTGTGCCAATTGCCTATTTCCCAGCCTTTAAACCCAGTGCTGGGACGCTGGAGGCATTTCTAAGGTGGAGGGGCACTAGTACGAGTGGGTACTAGGGTCCAGAAAAAGGGACAGTTTTAAAAAATTTCTAGGGAGGGTGCTTCTAAGAAAAGTGACATCTTTAAAAAAGCTAGGTGCACTTGCCTCTGGTGCCAACCGGTTCCGGCGCCCCTGCCCCACTGTTTATCAAAAGCACAATCTGCAGCCTAAGCCCCTAGTTTATACGGGTCTGAACAAAATTAGAGAGCAGCATTCAGTGTCAATGCATGTTTCTAATTCTTTTGATAACTTGCTAAACATTACTTTAGGGATGAGCCATAAACCAACGTCATCGGTCAAAATCGCTACTTCTGATGAATAGGATTTGATTTATTATGTGGAAGACACCTTTAATGTGACATGCTTTGCAGTTCTTAGCTCCTGAATATGCTTTCAATGAGATCTAAGTGATTTCCTATAGTATCTAATTGCTGAAAGTCTTGACCCTGTCACACAAATTTGGTGTAATTTAATTCACTGATATTTTGCTCTTTATTGTCTTTCGTAGAAATTTACTAAATCGAATTTTAGAGTAGAATCCTATGAGCCAACAAGGGATTTTGTTGACTCTTCGCCGACCGAGGAGCATTATGGGGTCGCATATGACGTCGATGATTTACCAAAGATTGCCATGGTGCACACGTTGGACCGTCCAGTACAGCCAACATCAAAGAGAAGTACTGTGATAGAGATCTATCCAGGGGGTATTTTTCAACCCGGTGTGGTGGTCTCTTCCAATGCCACGAGTAGTTTTGATATTGGGATGTCAGGAGATGGAGTAACTGCGCAGAGTCAAGATTTGTTTCAAGAACAAGAACCAAATGATTGCGAAGATAATTTTGGAGAACTTGACCGTAACAATGAAGGAGGGAAATTCCTCCCAAGCCATAATGCTATGAACATGTCAAGAATAAAAAGTAGGAAAAATTTAAGGATCCAGATGAAGAAAGATTTTTTAACATCCGACCTTCAAAGTATGAGAAAAGCTAGTGCAAAGTACGGTGATTCGACAGTTTATAGTACATCATACAAGACGAACAGGCTAACTCGTCCAAAGGACTGTCATAGACGTAAAAGCTGGTCATATGTCTATCAGAGGAATACTTTTGCTAAAGACAGACACGGAGATGAAATGTCAGAAAAAAATCGGAATTTATATACTAATGACAAATATCAATCAAAAAAATTTACCTTTGGAGATGGATTCAAGGTTAAGAAGGAGATTGAAAACGATACAATGTCGTATTCTAAATTTAGCCACGCTGACATTAGTGACCATTTCGAAGATGAAAATATCTCATTTGATTTTCAAAACACAGACCATATTCAGATGAAAGAAGCACATGAAATGTAGTTAGAAGTGATAGAGAAAATAGTACTCATATGTGAGTTAGAATTACCGTCATCCTTTGTGGCTTGTTCGTTCGTCGTTCGTAGCTGTGGTGCCCTTGGTGGAACGTTTTCACCTTGGAGATTGAGCCAGCAATCATTTTGCACATTCATTTATCTCAGTCAGTGTTGCGTGTTTATTTGCATCAAGAATATGCTTGTTCGGGTTAACAGCTTTCTTATAACAGCATTTCGTGTCCAGCCCTTTTAACTGTCAGACAGTTATTTAATGCAAGAAACTTGCAAAAACTGTTTTACAAATGCTCGTTGAACTGTTGAATTTTATTGTGTGAAATAATCTGTTGGATTTAAAAGAATTTAGCTTGTTCAAAAATCGTACTTGTGGGTCTGTTTATTGCTTAACGTTTTAGTGAGATTAATGCAATGTTTTTACAAGCTCGAAACATTTACAATCAAACTAAATAGTAAAAGCCACCCTGATAAAGCATGAACATAAATTTTGTAAACTTCAATGAAGAAACCATAAACTTGCTGTCTTAATTGACTTTTAACTTACAAAACATTAATCTTTGCTTTTTAGTTTGAGTTAATTATTAAACTCAAATAATTAACATTGTTTAGAACTGTTGCTATAGGCGCCTTATCCTGATTTTCATATGGGCGAGTCAAAGTTTGAAATGGAAATTATTTTAAGGAAAATGGTGCCTATAATTCCTAAAATGTTAGGGGTAAAATTCGATCTCAACAATTGACCAGTGAACCTGCTTTTGGTCTTTTTGATAAAAATTCTTGACTACTTGGACTCCGATTTTACTTACCGTTTCTTAAATTAAGATGTCATACTGCTTTTTGTTCAGTTAAAAGCTGCCAGGGTTGGCATAGGCCACCTTCCCTCGGGCAGGTGCAGGGACAGATTTAAGCAGAAAGAATTTGGGGAATGTTATATAATGATTAGAATTTTGGCCATATCCTTCAGGTTACTGGAAAATGATGGAAATGCCCATTTCTAAAATTCAGTTTTTAGCTTTAAGATAAAGAAAACGAATTAAGTTATTTTTGTTTCATTTTGCTTCTACTGACTACCATAAACTGCTTGTTACCGAATCAAAACAAATTTACCGAAAGAAACAGGAGGAGGGGGGGGGGGGGTTGCATTCTTTTGAGTAGTTTTTAGCTTTAAGCATTCTAAAAACCGGTTTCAGTTGTTTAAGAACTGTTTCAGTTGCAATGGATCATGGCGACTTCAAGGCCTTTTAACATACTAACTAGGGGGCAATCACCCCTTCAGCCCCAGTGACTTTCCATTGTTTTAAACAATAGGCTTTTGTCCTCTTCTTCGAATAAACAAAATTTGCCCTCGCAGCTAATTGCCCTTTAAATTGGCTATGGACGACTTTTTGTATTTGTTTCGGTTTTCCTCCTTACGTATCGTTTACGTATCATGTAGATTCATCTACATGAAAATACAGGTAATTATCAATGTTTATATAAGCATATATGAAATTTTCATTTATTTCAATCTTTGACATAGCAAAAACATCCCCCCTATGGGAGCCTAGGAGGTGGAAGAAGGAATTGTCTAGTTTCCATACTGCTCGACCTGATAGTCATAAATAAGCATGGTTAATAGTCATAAATTAGTATGATTAATTATTTCAAGTAAAGGGTTAGGCTAAGGGTTAGGGTTAGGTTTAGGTTTAGGGTTAGGTTTAGGATAAACTAATTACGTCATCAGGTCGAGCAGTATGGAAACTAGACAGCAGGGCAAGAAAATAGTTATAAATCTTAGCCTCTTATTCAAAACGAAGTTATAATGCCGCGTGAAGCAACATCACTGAACGCCGAAGGGTTCACATTTGCAGGCGTAAAGTTTTTCCAAAACTGCAACCGTTAATACACCTGAAATTAATTCTATAATGGCAGCGGACTTTGAAAATCCTTTGCGAAAATTCAAGCTTGTTTTTCTTGGCGAGCAAAGTGGTAAGTTTAATCTTTTTTACGTCGGATCGGACCATCTGAAAATTTTTTTATTAGTCTGTTTTTGATATAGATGCCAATACATGATAGGTACACACCCAGCTTATAATATACACCTGTGACAATTATTTGCGTTGAAGTTAATTGAAGACGTAATTGTTACTCTTAATGCATGTTCAAAATTTAAAAGAGGTACAGTAACCAGATAACAATAAATTTAAAATAGGTACAGTAACAGGATATCGAAATTTAGGCCAACTATAATATGCGATTCCTCAGACCATGGTGACGGTTGTACATCACAGCTTTAGGTGCAGGAAAAACAACAACAGGTGAATCTAAACGAGAAGGATGGGTGGGCCTATGTTATACCATGGAATCCCAATGCACTTCGCAATAAATGTCGATTTTTTCAGAAGTTTGCAGACCGGAAAAGCCTGTCGAGATTGACACACCTTCTGGCACGAATTTAAAACGCCAAACAGTGGCGGCGCCAGCTATTATAGAATGGGAGGGTAATGGGCGCGGCCAGGGGGACCACGCCTCTTTTGCCTCGTTTTAGTGATTTGTACCTAGTTAACTTTCCTTAGGAAATCTGATCTACCTTTATCCAGCGTTTTTTAATCCATTGCAATAAAAGAAATAGAAATAAAAGGTTTTCAGATTCTCATTTTATTTTGGATGAACAGTTGCAGACTGGCCCACCAGGATACTGGGAAATTGCATGATGGCCCTTGTCAAAGGATGACTTTATTATAGTCTTAAAAATACATGGGCCCTTCATAAAAAGTGCTGTTTCAACAGGACCAAGTCCGTAGCGGAAAAAGCTTGAGTCTAGGATATAGAAAGATGTGAGGGTTTATATAGATAAGCAGGTCATCAGCCAGAAACCCTGAAATGTATTGAAAGAATATAATTTGGTATGGCCGTGGGCATTCTTAACATTCCATTATCAAGGATCACAGCTGCTAACAGAAAAAACTAACTAAGATGAAAATGAACTAGTTTACCAAATATAGCCATTGACATGGGGTGCTTATTGCAGTGTTGTTAGGTATATGGAAGCATCAAGATTGATGAAACCGGCTCGACAAGGTTAGAAATATAGCCATCTACATAGGGTACTCATTGCAGTGTTGTTATGTTGATGGAAGCATCAAGATTGATGGAACTGGCTTGACATGGTTAGAAATATAGCCATCTACATAGGGTACTCATTGCAGTGTTGTTATGTTGATGGAAGCATCAAGATTGATGGAACTGGCTCGACAAGGTTAGAAATATAGCCATCTACATAGGGTACTCATTGCAGTGATGTATATGCAATGTCAAATGAGTGGGAACACCTAAAGTGCACCTAAATATAGACATGGAGAGCAATTTAATGAGAGTCTGAAAATGTAAAATGATATTGCACAGAAGAAAAATATTGCTTGAAAATAATGTTGGTATAGTATAAACCATCTTCTCAAATGGTGGAAATATTTTGGTTTTTAAGATTTACACAAGAGTTTATACCACTAATCTTTTGATGACTAGAATTTATATCTGGTTTCTCATAAGGCCATGTCTACAAGAATACATTTTTAAATACAAAAGCTACTTTCTATGCATCGTAAATACAAACATATAAAAACAGTTTTAAGAGTTAAATCTTTTGAAAATGCAAATTTTTGCAAATGGCAATTTTACACAGAGGTGTGAAATAGAGCCCCTTAATACATTTTCCTCACTACAGGGCCTGTATATGGAAGCATCAAGATTGATGGAACAAGCTGGTTAGGGTTAGGCGTTGCTATGGAAGGGAGAGGGTTTGGGAGATTTGGGAGAAAGGTAAGGAAGACATAGGGTCCCTCAATTATGTAAGAGAGGATCTAGATGGTTAAGGTGGGAATGAGTAAGGTTGGGTTGACTTAAAAGAGATGGCTGATTAGATTGACTTAAAAAAGGTTGGATTAGAGAATCTTTTTAGGATTTGATTTTGCAAAATAATACCTCAACTTTATGAAGCTTAATTTTTTTTCTGTTGATATCTTACTGTTATACTGATATAAACGCCTTGCACTAAATATGACATTCTAAAACTTTGCAAGACCTTTCAAACGCTGTCCAATTCTAGCAAAATTTATGTAGCATAATCACAATAGCAGGTTCTTAAATATTGTCTGAGGTTTTTTTTGGTTCTAAACCAACCAAGGTACAAATGTCGTTTATACACTAGATCCATTTTCCAGTCATCCTTAGAATGTCAAATTGTCGAAATTTTCCTTGCCACCAAACGGTGGCAGCCTCAACCAGACCTCAGGACAATGTTACCATTGCATCTTCCAACCAACTGTTAACTCCCCCCCCCCCCTAAAATTGCCATGATCGATGATGCTAAGTGATAAATGATACAAAAATATGTAGGACTTTTAACTAAAGTAATTCACATCTTAACATAAATATCCATTGCTGCAGAGTGAGTTTTTGATGCATTCTTTTAATTCATGTCTTATTATACTGCAGACCTCCAATGGCAAAGTGTACCAAATGCACAAAATTTTTGGGCCTCTAAAGGTTTATTTCCCTTTGGTCTTTTTCCAGTCCATGATTGTGGATGAATTTGAATTTATTGACAGGGCACCATTTTGTTTCCTTGAAAATCAGGACTGAAAATAAGCTCAATTTGAAGGGCAATTGACAAAAGGCTTACATAAAGGCAAGCATAAAATTTCTCCCTCCCTCATCTATATGCCAAGCCTTGTTGCAGAAAATGTTCCTTTTCAATGATTTCTCAGGAGAACAACAACAAAATCAAAACATTGTGTTTTTAACAATCAAACTATTATGATATTTTCATTCTGGTACTAAATTTATTTGCTAACTATATTATCATAACAAAATCTCAGGTTGGCAAGTGTGCATTCAACTCAATTGTGCACTCTAGATGGATTGAAATTTCTATTATTTTTTGTTTAAAAGTTGCTAGTTAGGAGCAAATGTGTCCTCTCACTTGAATAGATTTTCAGTTGTCAGAGTTTTTGTATTAAGTTGTTAGGATTTATGTTGCAAGGATGGCTTAGTGGTAAGGGTCACTGACTACACACCCAAGGGTCCATGGTCCCAGTCCCAGAGTGACCAAACTTTCTCCCAAAGTGAGGTTTCAGAGTCCTGAAAGTGAGGCTTCAGAAGCTAGGTAGCAAACAACACAATAGGTTTCTATCATTCGATTAAGCTACACTTACTTTAAGAAAGTATTAAGACAAAATTTGATAAAGGAACTATGGCATTGGGCTATTTGGGTTTGCAACGGAACCTTGTTCAGATATGAGCAGTCTTTTTTCAAAATAATCTAGGCCTTTGTATCCCAATAATGTCGTTAAAAGTTGAAAAAAACACTTCAACTTTTGAATCAGAGCTATAAAAGCATGGGATTCTTACACTTTTCCTACAAATAATAGCATAATCTACAAAGAGTTGTATAGCCTAAAAACGGCAAACACGCAGGGCTTTGGAAATTTTTTAGAGATCTCCAAACAAATTCAATTTTTTAGATTCACATTTGCATAGGAAAGAAATTTAGAAAGAAAATTACAAGATCAAACTGTTTAGTGTCAAATAAAGTTTATTGAATCATCAAAAGTGTTACAGTTTCATGAAATTATTGAATTTACTCAAGCTACTCTTAAAACTACATAGCAATGCATAGCATTTTTTTATAAAGCTAGAAAATTTGTATTTGTTATTGTTCAAAATTAATTATTCTAAATCATATCATGAGTACATTTTAAAAGTTCTTTTAAGCAAAAGCATTTTCAGACAGCAACTGTGATTCAAGAATCCTAATTCTTGGGAAGAAGTTCTCTGTTGACTCTCCTAACAACAATGCCTTGTTGTTGTTAAAGACATAAATATCGACAAAAGGATAGGCTAGCTTTAGTTTTGGAAGTCAGTTTCCTTTATGTTTTCTTTTTGACAAGTCTGAATGAACTGGATGAGTCAATAGGTCAGAACTATTTTCTAGCTATGTTTCAAATGTATGACGTAACCTATTGTGTGTAACTGGTCAAGAAAGGCCTAATAGTATTCTCAAAGGATTGAAATTTGAAAACCTAACTTAGAAATGTATTGCTTCATGAATAATGAGACACAGATTCAGAACCAGATATTTCCTTCAGTGAATCCTGTGAATAGTTGAAAGGGTTAAAAACGTGGAATTTTATTTGAAACACTAAAAAGTTTATAAAATTTCTTAAAATGCCTATATTCCATTTTGACATGGCTTCGTTCTCTCAGCTTCACAAACACATAGAAACATAGCGAGGACAAGAGAAACAAATTCCATCATTAAGTTTTCTTGATATCAAAGTCCCAAATTTTGATTAATGCAGCACATTGCAGCTCAGGGTTTAAAATAATTTGCTTGGTAATAGCATTTTATTTTCAAAGATTCGTTTTAGAACGGCAATATAACCTAATAATCTTATAATGCAGCCGTCATTTTTTGCAAATTTTGAATAAACAATTTTATCCCATAATATGATTGTATGATGATGCTGATGTGATTATTTGATTTCTATTATAGTTGGCAAAACGTCACTCATCACAAGGTTTATGTATGACAGTTTTGATAGCACCTACCAGGTAATTTATTAATATCATCGCTTATACGTTGGTTTCATAATATTATCTTTAAATTTGTTCAACTTATTGGCGATCTCACTGATGTATAAAATGAATTGCCAAAATCAAATTCGCTATCAGGTTTTGGATCCAGATTTTATCGTTTCTCTGTTATGTTTGTCGCGAATAAAGCATTGTCTCTGCCTTAGCCTGTGTCCAGGCCCCATAACTTTCAAGTTAGGGGTCTGGAATACAGGCTACTCTGTGTTTGCTTCCCAAGACACTTACTTAGGTGCGAGGAAGGCTCAGTTGTTAGAGGCGCTGACTACAGACCCAAGGGTCCGTGGTTCGAGTCTCTGGCATGACCAAACTTTCACCCAGAGTGGGGAGAGTCGCCAGCTCTCTGTAATTCCAGGCGTAGGAATCACGAGGTGTGGTCACATCGAGAGGAAGGACCAGGACACTGCTCGATTCGCATAGCTTCTCAGTGTCCTGAAAACTACCTTCGGATGCTAGGTAGCAACAAATACAAATACACTTACTCCGAAACCGATATCACTTATCAATGAGAAAGGCTTGTTTCTAGTTTCATTGGTAACAATGGTTATTCAGAACGGTCACTTTTGTTGCCAAAATATTACAAGGATTGTTTCCAGAATTTATGTCTTTATTGGCTAAAATAAGAATCAAATTAAAAGTAAATTTGATTTTGATTTGACCTCTTGTTAGAGAATTAAGACAATTTAAATTGAACTAAAAGGAAAGATTAAAACTGGATAATATTGTTGGGTGGGCCAGCTTTCTATGACTTTTTATTGCTCTTGCTTATGTATTTTACCGACTAAAAGATCTCGTTTCTGTTGCCTAGGCCATATTCACTTTAGGGTTTTTTTGTCTCATAGGCTACAATTGGGATCGACTTTTTGTCAAAAACAATGTACCTAGAGGATAGAACAGTAAGTATTATGTAAAATTCCTTTTGAAGGCAGCGAGTATAATTTAAAATTCATTTTTAAGGCTTCATTTTTAAGTATGTGCCCTATATTGCTTCGAAATTGTACTCTAACTTTGTCAAGAACCTAAGAATCCTACTTCTTAATTTCCTTGTCTCTTTAATTTTGGTCGGTATTCTTTAACTATTGGAAACGCAGCATTCGTGTATTTTTTTAAAGAATTACTACTTTTACTGTTGCCAATTTTCTCGAGTGAAACCCCCAGCACACCAGTAAAACCCAGCTTTACAGACCCTTCCCCCATTCAATATGGCTCGGAAAATTCCTAGAAAATCCTTATTTTTGACCTGGGAAACGGAAAAATATAAATCTCAATTTTTTCAACTCCTGCACATCAAGGAAACACGTATGAAATAATATGACTCGGAAAATTCCCAGAATTTCGTATTTTGAGCTGAGAAACAGAAATTCAACGTACCCCTTTCTAAAAAGTTAATTTTCTGCCGCATCAAGACAATGCTCTTTAAAATTTTGGATTTTTTCTATAACCGAGACGCTGAAGTTGTTCAGGACCCATAAATTAAAGGTGGTAAAACGACAACAAATGAGATTGGTTTGTGTTTAAATGATATTTTCAGAAATGTTTTAACGAATACCCCCGTTGCATAATACTCGGCATGTTACTTTAGGGGAGACAGAAATTTCGATAATTCTGTATTCGAATTTGACCATATCTGGGTGGGCCAATTACCAACTACAAACTAATAAAAAAATGATTTGTTCCAATGTTCATAAAAACTGTGGGTGGCCCTATCTTTGGAGATCAAACTGTTTTCACTGTAAGGTCATTTTGATTGCTGCCCCACGCCCCCCATTCGCAGTTAAATCTTATACTGATCTCTTTGTGTAAACAAATTAAGTACTGTCTTATAACCCCACCTGATGTCGAAATTGTTAAGACTTTATAATTTGAGTCCCATGTTGTAAAAAAGTGCTGACAACAGCAAAACACTTGAAAGCAGAAAATTCTTACCTTTCATGCTACACCTCGAGTTTGATCCTTTAATTTTTTCATTTATTTCATTAGTTTATAAGGCTTCGAGGCTATAGCGAGGCTAAAAGTAAAGAATTATAGCTAGACTAAAACTTAAGCAAAAGTATATCTAAGTTTTTTTTCAAAGTTCTTAAACCTTTGAATGTGTTTTCTACTTTTTCATTCCCTAAGATAACTTCTCCATTGTTTCGTCTAGTAATTATTAGAGAATCAAATTTAAGGTTTACAAGAACATTGTGGCTCAGTAAGGAATAGGGCGGTCTTAGTATTACTTTGTGTTAGTTAGTGTGGGTTGGTAATAAGTTGATCGTAAAGTAACCATTTGGTATGGCAAAAAACCCACGAAGATTGTTCTTAATTATTTGATTTTTGAAACATTCTTTCGATAAGTCTCTGCAAAATATTAACCAAGTACTTTAGACAATATTTTGTAAAGAAATTGTGACAAAAAAAGGATATTTGAAAACGAGTTTTGTTATACGAGAGAAAATAATGTTTGCTTGTCACTGTCATTTTCAGAATCTACCCTGTAAAAACGAAAATAATTACATTTTTTTCTATTTCCTTCTTTTTATCGATTTTGCTTATTTTTTCGAATTTATTTGACCAAACAATCAATTCACGACAAAGCTTTCAGTTCATAGGGCCCTTACCTTGTCTGACCTGGGTCAGCACCTCAGGCTAAGAATCTAGCACTTGAAAAGATTTGTGAGACATCAGAAGGACGAATGGCTGGTATGTTATCCCTTCGAAATCCTTATAGAATCACCAGTTTGTGGAACAGGGCTGCTCTCTTCAGAGCAGTGGTGGCGCCAGGAGGGCTAGGGGGGCTACAGCCCCTCCGTCGGAAGCATCTAGCCCCCCCCCCCCATCGGAGGAAATTTTAGGTTATTGTCGGAGCAAATTTGACAAAATAACGTACGAAAACTGCTTATTTTAGTCATTTTAGCCCCTCTGTCGGAAGATTTCTGGCGCCACCACTGCTTCAGAGGGGTCATTGCTGATTAATTTCTCACAAATTGACAGCCGATGAATTTTGTTTTAGGTTCGGTTACAGATTTGGGACACGGCCGGGCAAGAAAGATTCCGAAGTCTAATTCCGAGCTACATAAGAGATTCATCCGCTGCTATAGTTGTTTACGATATTTCCAGTAAGTAGATCCTTATACCAAACAGGCGCACTTCCTTTGCGTTCAATTTTCTTTGTTTTCTTTATTAATGGAAATTAACTTTTGATACTGTTTCGTTTGCGGTTTTCTGTGTGGTGTAATTCGTACGCAGACCACCAGACTACTGCCTTAGTTTTCAGCAGACTGAATAAGAATGGACGCAAAGTCATATGTATACAGAAAAATCCAGCACGTATTTTGACCTGCTTCCATAAGAACATGTAGGCTGAAAAGTGGTATTTTGGTCACTTACCATTTGGTCATATAACAAGTACCACGCCGGGGCCGGTGTGGGATGGGAGCTGGGAGGCTTTAGCCCCCCTCACTTTTTCGCTGACGTATAATATTAAGGTTGTGGCATCATAGATGATGATGACAAACCGCCATAATAGTTTACCAGTCTGTGTAGAGCACCCCTTCTCCAAACTTTCGCTCACACTAATTTCCAAAACGTTTCTTTTTCAAATGAAGAACAGCTTCTATTTTGTTATGTAGATGTAAGAAATTCAACACAATTGCGACAAAAATTGGGTGAATCCGAAAACACAGAAGATATAGAATTATGAAGTGCCAGGCAATTTTGAAGAGCAATTATAAAAAACCAATAGTATAAGAACGTAAACATCAAATCACTCCAAGATACGCATTTAATAAGTGAGGTTAAGCTGACAAATGTATGTTCCCTGCACGGGAAAGTTAAACCACCACTTCAAGAAAGCAGCCTCGTTTTGAAACTAGCAAATTTTTTTCTATTCCTAACACACAGACGTTGAACTCAGTTTCAGATTTAGCACCTAAAATTCATTCTAGATAAAATTTCAAGCTCTCGTGATGCTTTCTATAGTAAGAAAACAAGTTCTTTAGAAGTGGTCACAGGGCCGGCGAAACGTATTTGAAAGTGGAGGGGCCAAAATATCAAAGTCTTGAAAGGGCTTAGGAAAGGCCGCCAACCATGGTTGGCGGCAAGAATAATTTTAGAATTATGGTGTCTTAGGGATGGCCAGAAACTGTATCTAAAATGAATTTTGACTGAAAGTGTCGCATAGTCGCGTCTATTGTGATGTTGACTTGAAATAGAAAAGTTTAGCAAAGTTTTCGAATAACCCCTATCATATAGCTCGTAATGAAACCTTTTTTAGATTTTCAAAGTACCCGAAATAAGATGGGGGACAAAAATAAATGAAACACGGATTAATAAAAAACATTAACGTTGAAATATCAACAGAACAACTATCAACTAAAAATAAGAAGTTAAGCAATTTTATACAGTTAAGATATAACTTTGTAACATCTGATCTTAACTTTTTCGGATGTGCAGTGCTTTAACAAAAATTTGAAAACCTTCAAACTGGGCTTGCCAAAATGAGTTTAAATAGAATTTATAATTGCGTCGATGTTTTCTCTTTCTTAGTAGGAATGGATTATCCAAACGATCAAACTCTGAAGTTTTCTTGATGATACTTTTTAAGAACAAATCTGCCGTTACCTTATTTCTCATATCCTCAAAAAAGTTCTTTCCAGCTGTTTCTTTTCCTACAACTGCTGATTTCTCTCTTTTTGAAATGTTTCTGAGAAAGTTTTCGTTTACAAATAGACCTTGTGTGCCAAGTTTAGGCAATGGAAAAAACGAAACTCCGTCAATTTGTGCCGGCACCAAGTTATTCTGGACTAGGTTCCTCGATCTATTTGCTAAGCCAAGCTCTTATTCGTTGTAAAACTTAGACAATGACCGATTTCTTCGATCTAATTCCCATATTCATTTTTATGTATGTCTTCTATGGTAAAGACATAGCAACCAAGATAAAGCTAAGGACACATTAAAGAGAATACTAGGCAAAGTTACTTACAGAATCATACTACATTTATTTCCACTTTTGCCTAAAATTATTCTTCAGCTCTACAGAAAAGTGGGGGGCCATGCCCCCCCGGCCCCCTGGTTTCGCCGGCCCTGGGTCAGGGGTGTAAAATTATTCCCCGAATTATTTTTGTTTTCAGTCTTTTTGTGCAAATTTCAAACTTTACCTTGAACTAAATTTTAGATGCTAAATTCTAAACGAAGATTAAACAGGAGTAAATTTTGTAAAACGTGCCGAACGAGACCGTTAATTGGAGTTGTCATATAAGGATATATACACCAATGAGCCTATATCCAGTTTCAAAATTCTATCTATCACGCTTGAGATGGAGCGTCAAGGAGAATAGTGTCAGTTGTCAATGGGCACAAATATCACTTTCTTTTTCTTATCAACCCGTTTATTGATGCTGTAGAAAATGACTTCTCGATACTGAAGAGGGCTACAGTCCCACATTCCAGACATGTTATAACGATTCTTGGTTAGATGACGCAAATTTTCAATAATTCTTATCAACGCCCACAGGAAATATGTTGTCACATTCTTCCCATTCGAATCATTCATAGCAAAGCATCTTATTGAGCTGGCGTGGTGTTCTTCAAGGCCAGCGATTGAGCCTAGTTCTGTTTTCTTTGGTGGACTGGAAAGACAATTTAACCCAGCGTATTGGTCTCAGTGCAAATGGATTTGCAAGCGTTATCTAGTATCATGCATATCTCTATGATAATTGAATAAAGATTTTCAGCATCGTTTTTATTTCAAGCTAGAAGTTCATGTTCTGCTGTTGCCAGGAAGGAGACTTCCAATCATCTGCCCAAAAAATTAAGAAAATTAATACTGATTCCCAAGCTTAAAAAACGCGTGTAGCGTATGGGATAAATATGAACGGCCAAATTTTAGTCTTAAAGTGAGCAGAATTTTAGATACCTGACCAACTACAACTGTAACCACAACTGTGGGAGAATACTCTATCTGTCCTCAGTGACTTATTTTATGGACCAGACCTGTGTGAATTAGAGAAACACCCTTCCCCGAACCTCCCCCCCCCCCCCTCCAGCAACAGTTCAGTGCCAGTTAAGACAAATTATGGTTTTTCATTCGTAAAACAAAGTAGGATATTCATCCCGAACACTCTCTTTTGTGTCTTCAGTATGTACTCCCCTGCCGAAATATACTTTAGCCTTTTGTCCAAAGGTAAGGTATTTTACCTTTGTTCTAGCATCTTTTGGAGTTTCCTAGAATCACAGAATTGAAAACATGTAACTACAAGTCACGAACTCGTCGAAGTTTGTAATCTTGATCGTAAACCTGCTGAATAAACCTGCTAATCCGGAAACATCTTTTCAGAAGTAAATTCTGTCAGGATTTAACTAGTCAAGTGGCTGCAAAGGTCATAGTTTGCTTATCGAGGGTTACGTTATCTGGGAGTCGCTTCAGTAAGCTCGGTTCAGCCTTGCAATTCGATGCATGTAGAAAAACTAAATGGATGCAGTGACGTCATTCTGTTGCATGTCTACGAGCGTTGAGAGGAACATAACTTGTGGTTTCTGATAATTTCAGAGATGCCAAACTTTTGGCCTTGTGGCCAACCTGAACGTAAATTATAGTTGTCATCAAACTCCCATTTTTTGTTAATCGTCTGTGTTAATTTAGCATCACAAGGGTAATCTTTAATCATAACGAGGTTGAAGCACAACCTTGGGTAGTGTCTATCTAGTCTGCTTGCTGTTTCGCTACTGCCTCACAGTCACTGACCCTGTTTTAAACCTAATCCTCTTTTCAGGCACAAATTCATTCGAGCAAACGGACAGGTGGATTGAGGAAGTCAGGGCTGAAAGGGGTCTTGAGGTCGTTATTATGCTGGTAGGCAACAAGACTGATCTCACTGAAAAGAGGTAAACTGACAATTCTCTACGTCAATCATGAAAAATTAATTTTGTTCTATCATCCTGATATGGGACGTAAGAACCGAAATAGGACAGGAGACATAATATTCAGAAAGTGAACTGGAAGACAAAAATGCGCCCCTTCTAATAATACAAAGACTCTTCAACTTGTCAAGAAAATTTTTGTAGAGAGCGATTTTGTGATTGTTGTAGGTGTCTATGGCATGTTATGCCGTAAATCCTCGCATTGGCCGACCCCGAATAAGCCCCCACCCTAGGACTACAAATAGTGATTGATTATTTACAAATAGTAATTCAATTAATAAAGAAATTCTTACTAAAGTATACGAGGTCTTTTATTAACATCTTCTTGATGTCTACTATAATTTTATAACCCCCCCCCCTCGTAAAATCCCCCTCGAATAATCCCCCATCCTAAAATATTGAAAATAAATAACCCCCGAAGTGGCTAATTCGAGGATTTACGGTATGATGGTTTCAACTTTTGATGTTATCAACTGTCGATGTTATCATGGGAACACATAACGGGAGGAGGGATCTATGTGATTAAGTTTATAAAGAAAGCATTATAATAATGGGCGTGGGGAATGTTTCCTCCAATCGATATGCTCTTCGATGTGCCTTAGGCAAGCTGCTTTTCATAATAAAATATTACAATTTAGGACCTTTAGAGTGATACATAGTTTGGTCGAAGCGGCTTAAATTGCAGGACGTGCCGCTTTCAAAGATACCTATTTGTCGAATTAGTTGCTCCTAGTGGTCCTACCTTACACAGAGCTGTCGAGACAACCCCTAAACACGTGCACGGTAACATGTAAATATAGTCCATTCTCTACCCCCTCCCCCCATTCAAAGTTGGTGCGTATATATTTAAGTAGCAGAGATTTGTACGTTGAACTGGGAAAAGGGGTATGAAGTCTCATCACCGTATGTTCAGGATGGGAGCTTTTCGTTTTTTCCTTGATTTCTGACCACCTTCCTACATTGGTGTTACTTCCTTACGATACACACTTCTTTTTTCAAGAACAAGTAAATTGAATTTAAGGCCGACTTAATAAGGCTGGCTTAAGGTTGAAGTTATGGCGGTTCTTAATTTTTTCGAAAATTGGAGTCTAGATTGTTCTTAATTTTTTCGAAAATTGTGACGGTATGAGCAGTGCAATCGCTAGCTATTGCGCTTTAGGGAGGTGTTCAGGCCTCGTTTGCCAATAATGTAAGTGAGACATTCTTTATTTGCCGACAAATATGAAAATTCACCGGAAAAACACCCATAGATGGCAAAAAACTCCTCGTTTTTGAGATGAAACATTGTTCAAAATTGCGTTTACAGTAGTTCTGTCTCAGCTTGTTCTTAATTTGTTCTTAACTTTTGGTAATTTTTTAGGCTCGTGTTCTTATAAAAATTTACTTATAAAAGGGAGTGTATTTGATATACATTGATTTCCTTTCATTTTAGACGTATTTCGACAGAAATGGGGGAACGGAAAGCACGAGAACTGGAAGTAATGTTTATAGAAACGAGTGCCAAAAACGGACACAATGTCAAACAGGTATGTATGGTCAAAGCATGTTGCGGATGACGTACTGTAACTTGGATACTATTGAAATAGTGGGTAATTATTCGTGTTGTTAGAAACTTAACGTGTCACCATCACTTATTCATTCTGTAAAATTGACTGTACACTGTCTGCCAAAATTTTAATTTTAATTATCAGCAGACAGATGATTACATTCTGCCACATTCAGAACTTGAGGAGTCTCTTTCTTCTCGGCCTTAACATTAACATTCCTCTGGCGCCACAGATGAAGATAGAATCATCATAGCGCCCACGCGAAGTAAGCTACACCAGTCGAACTCATTCCTTCGATGCTGAATGGCAGTGGCAAGGATTGCACTTTTTGTCAGGGTGTACCCGCTAGTACATGAATTTTTATACCCATTTCTTGAAGTCTACGACCCAGAAGGGATAATATGACAAACTGATGAAGTCATATAGATACATCTATAGTATTTTTCAATTTTGACCTCATACCGACTAATCCTCTAAATCAGTTAAATCTGCTACAGATTTATTGAGCAGATTTTGTCTTTTACGCTTCTTTTAGGCAGTATGTTCAAAATCCAAAATGCTAAAAATAGGCTTGTGACGTCATAGCTTTGCCAAGCTTTTCCCTTTACATATTTTTTCAAACCTTGTTATATGACCCTATGACCCCTGATTCTTTTGGGTTGATTTGCGAGTTGGAAAAGCCAATGGAGACGCCCTCGTAATGAGTCAGCGTAATGAGCTATGGTATTCACAACGATGTCGATACTACCACGAGACACGAAGAACTCAAACTGGAGCTCGCTGAGTAGGCTTGTTTGAGGAAATTTCAAGCGAAACAACTAGCCCTTTCAGAAGAATAAGAGAAATATTTGCCAAGAATATTCAAGGCCTTTATTTCAGTTTCAGTTTCATATGTATGCATCGCCGATCATATCTAAATACAATATAACATAAACAAAACATACGTCATATAACTGCTTTTCCGTGCTATCTTCACATTTTGCGGTGCCAGAGATATATAGGCTATGATATAGCAGTTTTACATTGCAACTACACATGTTTATTCATATCTGAATAGATACAAATATAGTAAAGTGTACTACAGTGCATTAGGCCAGTTTTTGACAATCCAATCAATGTTAGCTTACCTTTGTGTCGTTATTCCGGAAATTATTATCATTGCAGTTATTCCGGAAGGTCGCTGGATCGCTACCCGGGCTCAAGGAAGACAAACGGCAAGAACAGTCGAAATCACAGATCATAGAGCCAAAGACAATTCCAACAAGTCAAGAGGCCAGAGAAGAGTCTTGGTGTAGCTGCTAATGTTTTCAAGTGAAAAAGGAGACAATATCCCGGTTTTGACTTGACCGACTTGATTGAATTGTTGGAGGCTCCGGGCGTAATTGGGGTCTGTTGACTGGTTGTTGGTCCTCCCAGGTCAGTATCCGCGGTCAGACCTATGGAAAGACCCTTATCTAATTCTGAACGATAGATTAAAACAGTTAGTTGTTGATATAAATTTATAGAAATTATTTTTTTAAGTTGCGTAGAAGCTAAATTAATTGACTTTTGTGAATTCCAATGTAGAAAGAAAAATTTTCATATGCTAATTTTAAACTCGTTGATTTATGCTACCCTGTTTTGTAGTTTGAACGGAGGAGTCATAGTTTATAAAAAATAATTTAGTCGTAGTTAATTTATGATATTATTTAATCTGACTGTTACAGACAATCGACAGATACCGAAATGGCTCAAGCAATCTGTCAATCATAACTGACCAATCAATGAGCGTAATAGCATTCACGTCTATGATTGGCTTGTTTTGATTGACAAATGTCTCAAGCCACTTAAAGGCATTGAGTCATGGTAAATAGGCCTTCTCTATAGGGGGTCATTTTGTTTCGGCGTGATCGCTGCTGTTTCATGTGATATTTGCATCCGTTGTTGACAACTTGCTATTGATGAAAATTGTTTTGTCAATCAGTACGAGGTGAGTTCATGTGATCAGTTCCAGGTCAACCAATAGCATCGCAGTCATGAAAATCATGACTCAGCGGATTTTGGCACTTAGGTATACCCAATTCATTTTATCATGACTCACTGCCTTAAAACTTCGTGCAGGCAGAATTTCATTTTAACCTTTCATATCTTCACAAATTCAAACCTTCTCAAGAACCGAGGAACAAGCCGTCTCTAAGGAATCTTTGGCAATATGGAATAAAAAACCTCATTTGTTTCAATAAAGAATCCTTGTTTGTCTGTGTAAATAATTTCCTTTCCATGAAGCCTCGCGTACTTTTAACTGGTATTATGCTCCTCATGATAAAATGACAGTCGTCTCTTTATCTATTATACAATTACATGACATCAACCAAAATCTCAGCATGGATATTGTAGGAATACTTGGACGAAGAAGATACGAAACAGAGGTGCGTAAATGTGCCAAAAGGTACCAAACAAGGAGTCTGGATTTTTCCTACATTCTGACTAAAAAGACGACCTTGTGGCTTATAACTCGAGACGAGCTTGCTAATGATTGGAAAACGAAAAACTGAGACACGGGCTTCAGAGAGTTCTGATGCACTGGAGCTGCTATACTCTTTTTTTGAAGAACAATTTTATAAGAACACGAGCCTCAAAATTGGCCAAAAGCTGAGAACAAATAAAAACAAGCTGAGGCTGAGCTACTGTAAAATGCAATTTTGAACTACGTCTTATCTCAAAAACGAGGATTTTTATCCATATGTGGATGCTTTTTCGGTGAATATTCAAACTTTTTGCCCTAAGAAGGTTGTCTCTTTCACCTTGTTGGCAAATGAGGCCTGAACACCTACCTCCTTAGAGCGAAAAGCTAGCAATCGCACTACTTACACCCTAATGATTTAAGAACAAATTGAGAACAATCCAGCCTTAGATTTTCGAAAAAATATTAGAACAGTCAGCCTGAACTTGAATTCACTGTTTCTTACAAAAAATAGTGTTTTCCGAAATTGGCCGCTGCTTTTGATCGCACACAACAGGAAATGGAACAGGGCTTTGATAAAATTGACCCTGAGTAGTAAACAGTAGAATCAATCAACTCGCCATGACAGAGATTAAAAACTTCAAGCACTCCAATTCCCTTTTATTTCTAGGAGTCTCGTATGAAAGTGGAAAGTAGGTCCATTACTTTATAGGCTAATCCCCTCTCTTATTGAAAACTCTAAAACACCACTTTTCTATCCTATTCATGAAATTGCGGATCTTCTTCTTCCTATCAGTATTGATCTCTATGTCAAGGAAAAATAATTTATCTAGGAGTCGTTTTAACATGCTTAGGTAACACCCCATTTTGAATTTATCACTGCTTCAGGGGCGGCGCCAAGAAATTAAACGTGGGGGGGGGGGGGGGCTCGAGTTGATAGCATTATTAGACTAAAAACTAACTTTTGAGATTTGAACTAAAATGCTTCACGATAATTCATGCCTATGATTTTATGGGGCACTCGTTATGAGATACATTGGAAAGGCTGCCGCGAGGTTATCGGAGGCCATAGGTACAATCATTGCCAAAAGTCTTGGAACACTAACGTAGGTTTTCAAAGGCAAATTCAGCCATCCCCCTCTCTCCCTAGGAACAATGTTGATTTACCAAAGAAGAATGAAAGGGGTTATGGAGCATGTTTTTTCTTGTGGCTTGTTTGATATTTTTCTTTACTTTCAACATTGTTTGGGGGGAAAGGGGACGGAAGTAGACGTATTCGGGAAAACAAATAAAAAATAGAAAAGCACAGCGCAAAGTGTTGGGTGTTTAAAGGATTTTTGGCAGTGATTGTACATGTAAAAGAAAATTTTTTGCAACCGTGCCCTTTAGATTAGCTTAAAATACATTTCAGAACATTTCTTGTAGTCATTTTTTTGCAACCGTTTAAAATATTTTACTGTTTTTAAGGTATGTTTTTATTACGATTGATTAATTCCAGTCTTAAAATTGAATTCTTTAATATTTTTTGAGCTACTATAGACCTCGACTATTCCTTGAGAAATTGAGCAATAAAAGAATTTATCGGACTATTCTTTTCATCTTTATTTTTTATTTTATTTTTTGTTTTCATTTTATTTTTTGTAACTTGGCTGAAGCCCCCCAGCCCCCCAGCGCCACGCCCACGTGCTTAAAAGGAACTATGCATGGGTTTTGTTTGATTCCTGTTCATTTCGGCTGCAATACAGATAAGGCTTTTAGCTTATGAAAGGCAAGTACACATTTGGGCTTTTTTATTCAAATATATCATACAAATGTAAAGTAACGAAGCACATTGACCAGCTCAGTGATTCATAGCCCCACCCGCTCATCAAGGTGTCCTTATCGCGCTTCGTAATTGCATTGGGAGTAGCGCGACGATTTGCGGATCTATCTTATTCACTGGGGAGCAGCGGCGCCACTACCAAGTGCTCGCTCTGCGGCCATAACCTCATAAGTTTGAGGAAAACGTAACCCTGATCCGTGACGTCATTAACAATGGATATTACAGAAATAGCCGGCATGAGAAATTTGCAGAAATTGCCCATCTCAGTGATGATACATGTCATGACATAATGAGACATAATGCATAACTTGCCCATGAGTCTTCGCACCTTTGTCAAGTAGTATTACTCAAAAAACTGGTACAAGTAAGATATGAACTGTCAACTGATGACGTCACAAAAATCTATCTTTCTATTTTTTAGTTTGGTTCTAATAACCTGAAAGAATGTCTTGAAGTAAACCACTGTAACTTGGTCTCTATTTTGACCTTCTAGAACAAAGCCAAAGCATTAGCATTGGTTAGCAAACTAATTTCATGGTCATATTTCAGGTCATTTGGTCAAAAGTCTCTAATTTTAAAAATAGATGGAAACTGTACTCTGACTTAACCAGAAGCCCGATCAATCATATTTAGAAACTTTTTCCTAGGGAAACACAAGCTTTCATCTTTTTACCAACACGCACCAAGACATATGTCATCGTATGTCACCACGACGCAGATCTTTCGAATCTTTTAGGCCATACAGTATTTTGCGATAATAAGCAGCCAATTTTTGCAAAATGCTTTATCATCTATCAAGTCTTTGATTTCCACTTAAAAATGTTAAAGATTCGCTAAATTATAAATAGGTTTTATAAATCTCCCACTTCATTTCCTTCAATTTTTACTCTCAATTAGGGTACAAGGAAGTTTCAATTTCAGATGAAACAGTATGTCAAATATGTTTAGGACTCCTTGAAGTAAACACGTTCTGTAAGAAAATCAGTGCTTAGGACTTGATTGCTGGATTAACGATTACTGAACCAGGAATGTTGCCAAATTTCCGAGTAAAGTATTTCCTGTAATAGTCTGACAATCTTTCTGGCTTGGAAATCAAATCAAACAACAATTTCCAGTGCCAGTTCTGTCAATATCACTACGTCATGTTATTGGCTAGTTTTACTTTGCTACTACTTGTTTATAAAAAATTATGCCTGCTTATGTACAACAAATTTGCATTGGAGTTTACCTTCTACACTGATGCCATCTGTTACGATTTTCTGTCATTCTTTGAGTACTTTATTAATATAAAATGTAACAATGTCAAAACTGAGAATTATTACAAAGTTTTTCATTACAAAAAGTGTGTTTACAATAAGCTCCCCAGTTCATAGTCATAAGGAAATTTTCAAAACATTTTTCGATAATCTTCATTTTCAAATAAACTGGCAAGTTTGCGAACTGAGCAACTAATGTCGGCTAGGAGGCTGTGGAGATTTAAAACCTATGCGAAAACAAAGTGTACTTCTGATGCAAGAATCAGTATCAAAAACGTTTAAGCTTCCCTGTAGCTGGGCCTCATTCTAGAGATAGGGTAACACAGACCCGTGCCATGAATTTGAAAGTGGAGGGGGGCCAAGGCTAAAAAAGGAGGGGGCCAAGGCTTCTTGCCCCTTTTACTGCAGCTTTAAGAATATTTGCTTCGCAAAAAAGTGGAGGGGCCATCGCATGGAAGACTCCCATATAATATTTTTGGGTCCATTTTTTTCTAGAAAATGAATTTCGGGAGTTGTAGGGTAAAGGCAGGGAATTTCCCGAGTTTCTTATCTTTGCAGGCTTTTATTCTTTTTCCGACGCTAAAATATCCAAAATTAAAGGTAAATCTGTTCGAGTCATTTCTCAGTCCGCCACTGCAATGTAATACTGTTGAGTTGGTTTCTTGTTCTGTGTGACTCAACTGGACCTTGATTGGTCTGAACCCACCATGCGATCAACTGGCAAATGTTCTGAGGGTGCAAGTAAACATTTTAGACTTTTACGCCACTGTCACCCTGAAAGAGGAAAAGGGACCTGACTTGGCCTCTCTATTATATTGCAGCATTTGTCTATTTCGAGTGCTTTGAAGCAATCTTTTAAAACCTAGAAGACTAAACATACAATCATTATAATAGATGAAAGGTAAAACTTGTTATTATTTTTATGAAATGAAGGGTTCCAGTCAGTGGCGTCGCTTGACCTTCCAGACTAAGGAGTGGAGGGTCATTAAAAGTAAAATTTACCGACAAAGACATAGATGAAGAAGAATTGAATCCTATTTCACCTACCGATAGATGCTTCTACCGACAAAACCAGGGATATTGTGGAACAGCTGAAGATTTACCGTACAAATATGAAGTATTGGGGGTTGGGGGATCACACCCCCTACAACCCCCCGCTAGCTAGGCCCCTGGTTCTACGTACTATGTGTGTACAAACCCCCTACCTATTCTGTCCTTGGAAATGAATGGATATGCTCCGATTTCCTTATGGGAGGATTAACATTAAGCCGTCATTCACCTGTTCAAATTTTGGAGCGGTTCAATGAACTAAGAAGGAAATGACTCCATATATTTGTGCTAATTTTCATGAAAGACCTGTGGAGCCTTTCTCTAGACACAACGATAAAAGAAGTATATGATATTGGATTAACACGACTGATATATAATGTTGTCAACAAAATGCCATCAATTATTAAAAAAACAATCTTTTTATTCAATTTTTTAAAATGTTTGCTTTTTTGAAAGCCAATCTTTGTTGTTTATTGTAATTTTTTTCAACCAACTTAACGCACAAGTTTAAGTAGGAATTCTTCTTTAACAACAAATAGCACACCTTTTGAAATGATATCTTAATTTTTATTGCTCCTCAGTATCATTTGGCTCTGAAAATTGTCCCCTTTGAGCCTAGTTATTATTCTTTTAAGGAATGAAAGGAGGTCACCATTCATACGCATCTAGAACTGCAATATTAATAAAAGATTCAAAACATAAAATTATCGTTTACGGTTGAAATAACTTTTAAGTGAATGCTAAAAATAAAGAGAAAACTTATATAAATTCATTTGAAAAGTTTCGAATATGAGTTTTACTCTCACTCAGTTATTAATTTTTGCAGTCTTTCCCTACTATGTGTGTACTTTTCATATTTTTTTACGTACCCTAAAATCATATATTTTACTATGTATCAAAAGACTGCAATCGTAGTTGACTATACATTAGAAACGTTAGAAAATGATGCAATTCCGATACATAGGTAATCAAGCCAAACTTCACAGATTCAATACTGGGCGGCTGGCATTCCTAACAACGAGTTCTAAACTATATCGCACTTCCCGTTTAATGTTGTATCACCCACAACGAACAAAAAGATCTTTTTGTGGCTATAATAATTTAATTGTTTTGATGTTGGCTATCCAAAACAGTTTTCAATGCTTTTTCTGAGCAATGACTAATATATCAATGGTGAACTTGAGGCCATTTAAAGCTAGCCTCCATGTTTACAGGAAGTGAGAACCTAGATATATCAAAGTTTAACTAGGAAATACAAGCTTTTAAATCGAAGCCCTCGGTTTTTTATGCTTAAAACTACATGAATATGCAAACTTATGTGGTGACCACAAAATCTGTTGGTTCTGCAACAGTGATTTTGGATGACAGTACTGGATTTGTACCCCCCGACCTCCCTCTATTCTCCTAGCATAATCTGCTTTTCATCTCGATGCTGATTGGCTGAGAGCGCTTCAATGTTTGCCGACTTTGATCAGTGTGAACTGGTTGCCATTATTCGGCGGATTTTGAGCATAGGTGAAAGATGGATGGAAGAAAACCTGCCTAATCATCAAATGTACCAATTTTTTCTTTTCATTTACACTTGATAGTTTAACGGTTTATTGTGCCAAATTGATATCCGAAAGCTTGGTCAATTCTCTCGAACAGCTTTAAGATTATGGAGCCAAACTTTCGTATTACTTCTTTGGTCGCGTTCGCCATCTTGTTCGTCCTCACTGGGTGCAATGTTGTGTTTTCAAAAGATTGTAATGTAACTAGACGTCTTGCTGCGGAACTTTTTAAAAGACCTGGTGGAGAGGATAACTCAACAAAAGCAGGTACGCTGTACACCAGTCTATTATATGAACCGGTTGTTTTCGTTAGACAGCCGAGTTTGAATCTTGCTGTATTCTTCCCCTTTTGAAGTTCATCGTTGGGCATCCGCTACAGCGAATCTCGTCAGTTCCGTAATCCGCTTTTGGATGCGAATAAATTTGGGGAGATTTTGCCGCATACCAGTTCTGTATTGCCATATGAATACCTGCCCTGTGTTGTCATCAAATGTAAGAAAGAGCCCTAGGTGATTTTGTAAACTTTCATGATAGCGGGTCAGATTTTTTCTCTTTGTCTGTTACTGTTAGTGGTCTTATTTGATTTATAGTCAATTGTATCATTGCCTCGTGTACTCAAAGGCGTCTCTTGATTCAGGTTGTGTCCCGTTTTCACCCGTTTTATCGTCGAAATGCAAAAACACTTAGCAATAAAGTACCAAATTCTTTTCGCGGCAATCTGGCCTATTTGAATGTGGACCTCGTATATGACATTTAATGTTTCATTTTTCCGGTAAGCATGCGTTTGGTATCAACCCTTGTGAATTTATAAGGGAGTTAGTCACCCGTTTTCCATTCCCTCGCCATGTTTGACTCTACAGAGGAGCCATTGTCGTTACAGTGTTCATTAGCTAGAGAGCGCTTTTAGCAATCAGAGTCGCTGCAGGCTTCAGCGACAATCTGTGTCTGCGCCATAGGTTGGGCAACTCGATGTTGAAATGACTTCCAACTTGGAGAGTATCCCACGCGCATTCTTTTTTTGTCTAGAGGAAGGGACTGCCGTCGTGTTTCTAGATTCTAGCTGTGCGATAAAGGACTGTCGCTCTTTTGAAGGAAACAGTGAAGAGCGATACTTAAACAAAAGTTGTTTGAGAGCTAAACGTGCATTTAATTGTTTTTGTCATTTGTTTTGTCAGATACAGAAACAAGTTTCAGCCAGTTTATAAATAGTGAGGCGGCATTTTTCAGGGAAACAACCGACCAGATGATTTGGATTTGAGTTCACAATGAATGCATTTTAAGCGATTAAGGATTTTGTTTCTTCAACAAGAGAAAATTGACATTATTCCAGAAATTGCACATCAATATCAATTGTGTTTAAATAAACAGGAAGTTGAACTATTCATGAAAAATCAAAATTTTCTCATGTCTCTCACCATGTTTCTTGTAATGTTCAAGAAGCGTTATAATTCGTCAGTTTTTCTATTCCCTTGCCAAATTTGAAACTTAATGATATGGAAATGTCACCTCCACTTAAGGAAATGACAGAATTTAACCGCAAGTGATTCGAAAGAGTGAAAGAAGATACTAAAAGTAAGATAAACAGTTTTGGTGATTGGCTATTTTGACACTGAGCAGTTCAGAAATATCTCAGTGCTGACAAGCCTAATGCAATCTGTCTACATATTTTCAAAATGAGAGCATTATTAAAATTTAGGCATGGTACGCAAATCTTGATACGGAAAGTTAAGTAGTTGTTTAGTAGTTATACTCAATCATTGTCAAATGAAAAGGAAATTCTGATTGCTCCTTAAAAAGAATGAGGCACATTGCAACCATGATATGTGCCACAGGCATATCTCCTAGGCCACCAACACAGAAGTTCACCAGTGGTGTTTCCCATGATTTTAAAAAAGTCTTCCTGAATTACATTAAAAACCAACATCCAATTTGGGCCAAAGGTGTTTTATTTCACACAGTATTTCAATAAAAGCTTCTTGGCATTTTGCCCAAAACACTGGCTCTCAAGAAAGATATGAAATCAGAGAAAAAACACAAAGCTTGAAGTGTTTTTGAAATTCATGTTAGTGAAAATTATATTAGGGGGATACTTTGGTAAGAAAATTTAGCCAGTTTCAAGAAGGTCACTCATATTCTGTGATATCTAGCAGAATCAATTTTGAAAAGGTTATTGATGTTGTTGTGAAGTTGTTGATTGTTGATGATTTTGTGAAGTATGTTACTGTCCTTTACTTTAGTTTTCATGTTTAATTTGAAAAAAGGAAATCCCACTTTCCAGTGCTCTGGTCATAGTCATCCATGTCTTCTTTATTTATGCTCCTTCTAACTCATGTAAGACTTTATTTATGCTTTGCAAAAAGTTGAGCTATGTTTACCAGACAGTTTTACTGTATAAACAAGTTTTCTTACTGAGTAGCAGGTTCACTGCACTATGGTTCACTGAAGTCTAAAGGGGGTTCACTGCACTATGGTCCTGAAATTTATTTAGTAACTCTGCCCATTCATTTAATAAGAACCAGTAAATCGAAATTTAGACTGGCAGTTCTTAATTTTTACTTTTTCTTGAAAATTTGAGGCTGGATTGTTTCTATTTTTGTTCTTAAATTGTTAGGGTGTAAGTAGTACAGTTGCCAGCTAGTGTGCTCTAGGGTGATTTCCAGGCCTAATTTGCCAAAAAATGAGTGAGACATTCTTTATTCACAGACTAGTTCCAAATTCATTGAAAAAGCACACTTAATGGCAAAAACTCCTCATGTTTGAGATGTTATTTTTTCAGGGGGTTTCACAACAGTGTTCAAAATTACATTTTGCAGGTAGTTCAGTCTCAGCCTGGTTTTGTGTAGTCATTTGAATTCAATCCAGCTACTGTGGCATTTGTAGCATTCTTTTTTGCTCCTGTTAGTGTCATGTTAGTGCTTTTCAGTATTAACCTGATACTAATGTGTGTCTTTATCGTATTTTAATTTTGCTGGTAAAGAATTGTTGCATCCTAAGACAAGGAAGTTAGTGATAAATAGTATTTGGAACTCCAAAAGTTATATATACACTTGCACCTCCGAAAGCATTAGGCAATCAAAGTATCTGATTATGACCTAGAATGATAAAATGGTAACATTGTAAAATAGTATTCAGGTATGAAAAGTTAGACTGAATTAACAACACCGTTCATTAAAATATGCAAATCGTAAACCCCCCAGCCTAATTTTGCCCTCACAATTTCTTTGCTTTGACAACAGAGTTCAATTGCCACATGATACTTAGTTAAGAGTTAAGTTTTTATTGTGGTTGAATAAAGAACCTTTTCTTGATCTCTATACTTACATCCTTCAAATTTGTTCCTTTTTGCACTCTTTTCCCAATGCTTGTCTTTTTCTTTACATTTTGCTTCCATTTCTCAATTCCAAACATCTTAAATCATCAAGAAAAATGTTTCTTGAGATCTTATTTATACATGATCTTTGTTAAGACCTCACCCATCTTCTGATATAGAAACATATCTTAATGCTTTTAAATTCTGTACTGTTTCTTCTTTGTCAAGGAATTTTGGTTATGACCCAGTGAACATCGAAATTACCTTCATGCAAAAAATGAAAATTTTCTCCTATTCCATGCAATTATTATCTTATTATAAAAGATTTGACCATCTTTATACCTTAATCAGTTCTCCTAAGGGTTAAGATACTATAGAATCAGTTGTAGTGTATAGTTTTATTGGTTACTGAAAGAGGTAATGTTAGATGTAACAAAATAGAGATAAAATATCTAAAGTGACTCTCTTCAAATAATAATAGAATTGTAATGTTTTTCAAAAACCTTTTCAGATGACAGTCAATTCATCTGTCTTGCAAATACCACATGCTGCTCCAAAGTAATGGAAAGGAAGCTTTTGCTATTGAGTGAGGAGATCCGTCTTCAGATGGTTTCAAGTCTCCATGGCAACATCTCAGAGTCTTTTTTAAATGCATCTCAAAACTTTAAAGGTATGTATGAATTCTTGTCATAGTATTGCAGATAAATATTGTCATTCAGAGGGAATGCTTGTAAATATATTACCAGAGATGTATAAATCTGAAAATAATTAAAGGCCTTTGAACTATTTTGCCACTTATTTTTTGTATTTTGACATGGAGCTTTACTTTGAGTTAGTAGAAATAGCAAAATAATTACGCTTAAACGGTGATTACCATGATGGGTAAAATGCCTGTTTTTGCTACTAATGTAGGTGTTGACTCCATTGAGATCAATTAGTTGTGAACCATTCATTGCCATTGGGATCAACAAAATATATTTTTTTGGAAGTAGAACAAGGGAATTTGATGGGTATTTCAGTAGAAAAAAATGTCTTTTTTGAATCAGTCTGTTCTATTAAGTGCAATATGTAAAGATGTGTTTTATGACATGGTCTGGTGTGTGTGATTTGGCAGGCAATCATAATCTTTTAAGAAACAGACTGATTCCCCAGCCTAAGCAGTTACATAATAATCTCTTTGATAGTTGATTTTACTGGGACATTAAGAGATAAAAACTATATAAGATCTTTATGAAATTTTTATTTGAAATTTACTCAATAAACAAAATTTATAACATTTTATTTCCTTCAACTCTATGAAATCATGATGTGAAAATAACATCTTTGAACCGTGTGATTGATATGGGGATCTCTAACTACCTTTCTCAGGTTGATGGGGGAATAGTTTTAAAGCCTGTGGTGCCAGCATGAGCCATGACTGAATATTGCTTCATGTTTCAATCTCCTTTTACAAGATTTTTTATGACTGATTGCTCTGTTTATGTTATATAGAGCCTTATAAACAGGCTGGTAAATAGTACCTTTCGTTATCTCTTTTCTGAATAGTTAACCAAATTCAGCCCGTCAGAATGCCATAGCAGGCTCGTAGGCAGTCAGAATGCCATAACGGGCCCGTAGGGAGCTAATGCTTTTTTGTTCAATGTTGTATAATGGTCACCCTGACCCCACTAATGGCCTGTACTCAAACTGTCACAAATTTACTTGTTTCTATGTTCATAGAAGCCCTCTGGCATTTTGGCCAGCCCTATTTGCCCTCACCTCCTTCTCAATGAGCTATATTTCCACAGCCTTTTGTCTTCAGTATGAAGTGCTGCAAGAGAGTTTGTTTATTTACAGTAGCTATTGCAATTCTGGTTGATTTGAGTCAAAAATAGAAATTTTCCAAAATGCAAATGTTATGATTTTGAAGACAGTGAAGACAGTGGTAGTGTTTCCAGCAAGTCTTAGAAATCAGCAGGTATGGATTTAAGTGGAAAGGATTGGGGGCGTTAAATAATGATTTGATATTGGTGGTAACCTCTTCAGCTTTTTACAAAATTTACCATATCATGTATAGACCAGCAATGATTGAAATTCCCATTTTTAAAATTCAGTTTTTAGCTGTAAGGATAAGAAGATAAATACAGTAAATATTTTGCATCATTATGTTTCTACTCACTAACAATATGTTCTTTCTACCAAATGTGAGAAAAATTTACTGAAGGGTACAAGAATATTTGGAGGGTATGTAGCCCCTCCACCTCCACCCCAAGTATATGTGTCCCTGATAATCAGTGTTGAAATTGACCTTGTTTGTGAGACTTTTTTGGCTATAAAGCTGTTAGTTGGTTGTAAAAAATGGCAACAAATTTATGGTCCTTTAGTATTTATTTGCTTAGTCAGCCTGAGTGTCAAGAAGTGGGTTAGGAGGGGCAAAAGGTTTGGGGTCCTTGCTTCAATTGGACCCTTGATAACCTCTAATGTGTTTTTATCAGATTGTTGCAAAATCTGTTTACAAGGCAATATCTTTTTATTTCATTTTTGTGTGGAATCGATGCCTGTAAGTCTATTACAGAGAAAAAAATTATTTATCTTGCCGGACCTTTTACTTGCAATAGTTTCCGGTTGCAAGTAGAACTGTAATACAATCCCACTTCAAGTAGGCTATATGGCCCTAAAGAAATCAGAGCTGTATCAACATGCTTGTGTTCATGTTTCTTTTGTTTTGGCAAGTTTGTATTTTTTACTCTGGTGATTTAAGAGCAGACAGATTACTTCCAACATAAACCACCAGTCAATGTTTGGTTTATTCCTTTTTTCGACATAAATTTTTGTCATATTTGTGTTCCAGTCAGTGTTGTCAAAGGCCGATAAAACTCTAGGGTCAAAAGGTTGCAGAACACAAAAAGGTGTCTCAAGGCAGATTAATTCACTTTACCACTCTGTGACCCACCCATTTCCTGTTTAAAGTGAGGCAGTTTCCCTAAAACGGATTGTTAGGCAGTCTGCAGGATTGTTTAACATTAATTAGTATTCTAACATTGCTTCTGTTAAACGTAGCTTAAGGCAAGATTTTCATTCAATGAAACTCTAACCCCCTACATAGAAAAATGTATCTGGTTACAATGGTTTTCAATGAAGAATAAGAAATTGTTAAGAGGCTTTTCTCGAAATGCCTAGGCAAAATATTGAGGTGCCCTCTTTGCCATATCAAATCATACCTCAATCATACACAGTCGACCAATAGACCACATGATCACAACGAGAAATAGCGCGATGGCCTTCTGGGAGCATTGTTTTACTGATAATGGGCGACCCGAATGACCTAGTCATGTTTTCATTTTTTCATATCTTTTCTGTCTGCGTAGATAGCCTCTTGTAAATCAGGTGTCAGGAATAGGTACTTTTTATTTATTAGTATTGATACTCGAAACCATTCGGAGCTTTTACATTTCATATGCTGCACGGATTCTCGTTAGGTCATCACGGATTTGACCCAGCTAGACTGTGTAGGTATTGTCAAGGACTGATGTAATGTTGAACAACACTAATATTCGTCAAACATGCATAATTAATTGGTTTTCGTTGTCATATGGATTTCGGCTTGACGTTGCTCGTAAGCGGTGCAAGAATTTCTTCTTCACACTAATTATTAAGATCTTGGGGCAGCCAAAGTTAACCCAACACACACCGCAAACATGCCACAACAACAACTGATAAGCGCTTTAAATATCAGCTAGTTAGCAGTGCTCTTAATCCGTTTTGTTATTTTCGCAGTGAATCAATACCTACTTTACAGGCCTCTGGAGCATGTGTCCATTCTGGGCTCTTTGTTGGCAAAATTCCTCAGTTTTATAAAATTCTGTATACACAACAAGTGATAGTGTAATTTTCGCTGTATAGTGAAAAACAGTAGTGAAAAAGAAAGCAGAAAAGAGAACAGACAACGAAGAGACTGTGACAATTTCTGTCACCAATTAACTGGCCTAAGACTGATTGGAACCATGATGGCTTTGCATAAGATCTTTTCGGTTTCCGATGACCAACATTTTGTCGTCGTCTTTATGTTCATCTTGTTATAAACAAGAGTTTGTATTTTTCAAACACAGTGAGCTAGACAATGAGAGCTTTATCATAGAATCTCTTCGCTTTGAAATGGTTTTTAAGTCCTACTGTGCAAATTTAATCATCAGCTGAACTGGATTAGGTGTTGTGCTTCCTTTTCTTGTAATCAACTTAAGTCTTGTTGTGAAGCCACTGTTCTTTATATATGCTGATCATATAAGGCCTAAAACCGTTTCATCTAATGCAGATGCAAATGGAGTTCCTTGGAACAGTGGAACGTGCCCCAGTCTTTCCTTTTATGATATATGCGGGTACGAGGGTGCAGTGGTGTTTGAAATTAAGGCGGCCTAAAGATAAAATTTTCCTATAACTACCAAAACTTATCAAATTTTCCGAAATTTTACGACAATTTTGATGATTTGGTGGGTTATAGCCCTGTCACCCATCCTACCCTATGTCATTTTATAACTCTAACCTCAAAAATTCAATTATCAAGCATCCTATACGTCCCTTCCAATAGATTTTTTGCAGTTTTTAAATTTAAGTGGTGAATGTATTTTCTTCAACGATCCACCTGATAGAAATTATGGTCCTTTGTCAAGCTAAGTACGCTACCCCGGTCTCTTAGGATAAAGTATGAAGAATTTCCAAGGTAACGAACCCCGAATCGCAGTCTGACCACCCCCTCCCCCCAGCTTGCCTAAAATCTCGCATTATGGTCTATTGCATATGAGGTATTTCGTGACATTTCTTCTGCATCTTATAATAAATCTTCCCTTTACCCTGCAGGTTTTTACAAAAGTTTAATTGAAACATCTTACAAGAACCTCGACACATTGTATTCAAGAACATATTCTGACAGATATAAAAACCACAAAGTCATATTCCGTCATCTCTTCACGAAACTGGTCGATTACATGACAGGCAAAGAAGAAATGGATCTGAAACAGACCGTTGACAACTGGTTCTCAACGCTTTACCAGAAAGTCTATATGATCTCCAATCCCGGCTTCCATTTCGATGCAGTGTACCAACACTGCTTGCTAGAAACTGCAGATGTGCTAATGCCATTTGGAGATATACCCCGTAAAATCAGCTTGCAAGTAAAGAAGTCCTTTCTTGCGTCTAAAGTTTTACAAGATGCTCTCTCTGTTGGAAGCAGGGTTGTTGATGAATTGCTAAACATGAGATCAAATGTAAAGTGCGCGGAAGCGTTCATGAAGATGACCAAGTGCCCAATGTGTTCTGGAATTGCGGAGAAAGTGAAGCCTTGCTACAAATATTGCATGAATGTTATGAAAGGCTGCACTGCGTACCCAGCAGTCGTGGGTCCTGCTTGGAACGCATACGTCACAGCTCTGCACAAGCTTGCCATAAAGGCAGATGGACCTTTCAGTATGGAAGCAATTATCGACCCTCTTGGTGTTAAAATTTCTGAGGGAATCATGTTCTTCCAGTTCAACAGACAAAATATTACAACACATGTAAGCTTTTTGGCATTCAGATTTTTATCAGCTTTTTGTCATTTTTTCTCGATCGAATCTGATATACATAGGCTCTTTGGAAAAAGTAAATTGATAAAAACTTATCATAGGTTTTGCAAATCAGATACCTCGGTTGTTTCGATAGTAACAATGCTATTCTCCCTTTCTTCACAACTGTATGTGAAGCGAACTAAAGCAGACACTCAGTATTGGCACTTTCAGCAATCGTTCGTCTACTAATCCTGCTTTTGCTACGAGGACTATACTGATCCGGAGGCACCATACATTATTCATGATTATAAATATTTATTCATGTTATTGTTCCAAGGTCATACGTATAATCCGGATTCTGCTTCTTCAGAAACGTACTCAAAAAAGTTATAAAAGGCCGTCTTAACCAAGAAGCTGTAATAAGACTTAAATTTTTCTAATTCGATTTTGACAATGGAATTTTTGCTTTTAAGATTTTACATATCAAATTACTCACTTTATTATCAACAGGTCATGAAAAAATGTGGAAACCCCCCACCTTCGGAATTGAAGTCTTTGACGAAAAGAGACCTTTCAGATGGAATGGCTTACCCATATAAATTTGATAGTGGCAACGATGCGCTCCGCCCAACAACAGCATATGGAACGAGCTTATACAGGTATGAATTAGATTAAAAATAGCAGACATTTCCTGAAACTGAGAAACCTTACCACAGTTCTATGGTCGGAAAGGTCTGCCTTTTAAAGCCGACTCCATAGCAATAAAAATTGTTGGTACTCATGTTTTTGCATTATAAAAGAGATTGCCATGCACGCCAGCAGTCGAAACTGGGTTAATTCCAAGCTGTCTAATAATTAGAGTCAATTCATGGTTGCTTTAGACAAAAATAACTGATCTTGTTGAAGTCATTGCTCTGTTGTATTTTTAACTATTGGCATTGAAGTTTTATCCGCCGTCCTTTTTCAATCTCAAAGGAAATAATCCCTCCGATAAAATCCTTCGGTTCTTATAAGCGTAGCCTCTCTGTCATCAAGGGCCTACCCATGGAAGAAAAACAGTTCGCTTTATCCTTTTTTGACGCCCTCTAAAAGAGGCCTGCACTCCTGCTCTATTTAATGCCTTCATCTAACAAACGCCCGAGTGAAATAAACTTTAATTTATGCAAGACTCGTTATTAACTTTTCGTTGGGGGCGAACAAAATAAAGCGACAAGAAATTTTTAGTCTCTTCACCTATTATTCTTTTATATCCGCCGCCGGACAATTCAAATTAACATATTTCGGACAAATACTAATGAACAGCAAAAAGTGAACGTTTTCATTGTTTGAATATATCTTTGTTAACGCCCCAAACCTTTCCTAAATTGCAAACTTTGCCATTGGACTTTTATTCATTATCGGGGCGTTGAAAAGAGCTTTTACCGGATATGTTTGTCCTTTGCAGCAAGGTAAGTGGCAGCAAGATGTTATAATGTTTACTCACTTCTTTCAATCCTAGATTGATAACAAACTTAAAGAAAGTTCTGGCTCTGTTCAAAGATCACTGGGTATCATTACCGGGCAACGCCTGCTCAAGTGGATTTGCTGCACCTGACAACGATATGGGAAAATGCTGGAACGGCGAGGCGGTTGATAGGTATGCTAAACTCTGTTGATAAAATCTTTTATGCTACAAACTTACAAAGGAAATATGGATTGTGTTCACATTTAGGTTTCTTAATTGCACGCACCTTTTCATGTTCTCCTAACGTTAAGCGCCCAGCTAAACGCCCGGCCAATCGCCCAGCTAAACACTCAGCTAAACATAGAGGTAGTTGTTCTTTTAAAAGGGTTTCTCTTCTTAGGCCACTGCAAATTGTTCAGGCAATCTGATAGAGTCCTACTTTCAAGCAGTGAACGTTATTTACCAGATTCTTAAGAATGAATTTTATGCAGGAAAAATCGATTCAACGATTAAGAAGGTTTCTTACTCAGCTCGATGAGATTGAGAAGGTTTCCTTGTAAAAAAGTTAGACCTACAGTGCAGATGAGACTTTCTAAGCTGTAAGTTGTAACAAGCAACTCTCGCTTGATCAGTATTATCTATAATTCTTAATTTTGTTTTTAAATTACTTTTTATTAGTTATAAGAAGCCAGTTGTGAAGGATGGTGTTGATGGAATGTTCAAAAACCCGGAAGTCAGCCTTGACAAGAAAGACCCTCATCTTACAGTTACTAGGCAAGTAATCAAACTGAAAGAAATAACTCAACGCATTCTGTCAGCTGTCAATGGTGCTGATTCTAACCAGATAGACTTGGAAGAAAGCAGTGGGGATGGGTCTGGTTATGGCTCTGGCAGTGGGTCTGGCGGCGGTGATGGAAGTGGGGTCAAACCGACGGGATGGACCCGGACTCAACCCGCCACTTACACTGACGTCATCAACACTATTGAGGACAAGAAGACGCCACCCAGTTCCCCAACACCCACAATGGGAAATACCATTGACGAAAATGACAAAAAACCAGACGAGAATAACAGCGAAAACAGTGCTGACATCAGCAAATCCGTTGGTGGCAAATACCCAGGAAGCACTTCGTCTCTTGTCACGGGACGGCATAGTTTCAGTGTTCTATGCTCAATTGTTGGTTTCTTTACGTTTTACCTTTTATTTCAGTAGATTTTAGGTATAATAGAGAAAATATAGCATGGTTGGTAGTAAACTCATAACTAAATGATGTGTTTTTGTAGAATTGTAAAAAGCCCTTCCATGCCATACCTTTTGGAGATAAGCCTTTCATCCAACCTGCGCCATCAACAAGTCACTTACAAACTTGTACGTGACACGATGTTACTGTGAATCAATTCATTGACAAGGTATTTAAGCATTTTTCAACAGGGAAACACTTTGCTGTAGATGTCGCATCCCACTTATGCCCTTGAGTTTTGAAAGAATTGTTCCATAATCTGCGTTATTTTCGCAAGACATTGGCTTTACTAGATTGATCTCAAATACTGTGGCGGTTTTTTAACCGAAAGCTGTTCTACCCTGAAGTGACTGAAAAATGTAGTATTGAGGAATTATTGATTCTTGGAACAAGGACATATTAACCTAGATTAGAAGGAGTTTCATTACTGTGGTACAGAAAAAGAAATTTGCTGTAATTCATTCGCTTAAGATGTATTCGTGAAGTTGATCATATGCTTGGAAAGAAAGAGATCTCAGATTGATGTTATGTGTCTAAATTTTATTGATATTCATTTTTTGTAAAACTTAACTTTTATTATATTGGCTGTATGCTTGTAATGGAAAGTTTTTTAGTAGTTTCACAGATAAGCTCTCTATTGACAAGAAGTCGTGCATTCCTCTCTCTCGTTTTCGAGTTTAAAATTATGTTCATGTACATTTCAGAAATGACCACTATAAGTTTCTTGTTTCAAACCAACAAAAACAGCCTATTTGCTGTTCGCATTTCTCCTCTAAATTTTCCACTGAAACGAAATGATCGCCAACACTCCTTTTGCGAAACTCAATTCGTCGCTCCAATTACAAACAAAACGTATTTCAACGAATATTGTGTAAAGGATTTATGACTTCTTGCTGACCTGGTACTTTGAATTCTTCAAATAATTTCTTTAAACAAACGATTCTATAGATAAAATGGACATGTACAGATAGCTTTCGACGTTTTTATCCGATAGTTAGCGGATGTTAGTTTTTTATCAAACGGATTAAACTTGACTGTAGAAGATAGGCCATTAGATTTTTTGTTACAAGTATTTAATTTGCCTGTGTAATAAAATTCTGTCTAATTATTTTATCGGTTTTGTCACAGATTCTTGACAAAACATGGTTAATTTGTCTGTTTTTATAGGTTGTTCACTGCCGTTTAATTAGACGTGGCTATCCGTCCTTGTTGATTGAATTAAATCAACTCCTTGAATCAGAGAAATCAAAGTAATGTCATCAGAAATATAAATGTTCAATATTTTTGAATCGGCAACATAGCCTGACAGACAGTGAGTCTTTCATAACCTTTTAGCAACCAGCTTAACCACAAGTTTAAATCGTAGAAGTATAGGCCACAGATCATTTTAAGCTTTCCGATGGAACATTCTGACGAATGACCAGAAGTCACGATTCTGACAGCATGAGAAATGCAATGTCAGCAGAGTTTCGATATTCTGATTTTTCAAATCTGACGATGCTATTGGAAAGAGCGTGCAAAACTGAGGAAGACATAATAAAACATCAATATGATCTGACATATAAGCTGAAAATCGATATCGAATAATTTCGTTTTGTCAAATTAACAATGCTCCTTAGCAGTTAAATTGTGCTCTGCATTTTATGATACAATAATGAAGTTTGCTTTAAGTACAAAATTCGATAGGCTGAATTGGTATTTGTTCCAGGTTACCAAGTAAAACGTAAGCAAACAAGGGTAAGATGGTCCTGAGAATAATTAACATTTTGCAACCACAAAACTGTAGGTGGCGTTTTCTCATCATTTTGCCCATTTATTTTTGTGCTGTTGATATCCTAAACGATAAGACAGCCATAAATAAAAACCCCAACCGTTTTTTAGGGGCTTGAAAAAGAAGGGACAATGGCCTCCTTCCGCCGACTAGCAACAGCTCGTCCATTTAGAAGTCGTAAGCCGCTCGGCCGTTAGCTAATACATGAAGAAAAGTAAATAGAGACTTAAAATGCCAACAAAAACCTGGAAATACCAAGACAGGGTTGGGAGGGGAGGGTTGCAACTTGCAACATCAACATAAAGTTCATACACTCACTCAAGGTATATACACCCTTGCACGGTTTTTGTTATTGCCCTATAAAATGGCTTTTAGGAGCATTTTCAAAGGTTTATATGCATTTTATCTTATTCAAGCATATCGAATTGTGCAATTAATGCACTAGTAAACTGCCAAGGGACTGTTTTAACATTAAACTTTAGAGTTAAAGTTGTTTGACAAAATGAAAAAAATCAACAGGCATAACTTTTTGCTTATAGTGCAGATCACGTTGATTTTTTATCATAATTTACACAGTTTTGCAAGCTCTTTTTGGTGGTATCAAGGGATAAAAAAATATTCGAATGTCGAAATTTTGCGGACTTTTTTCAAGCTTCCGGAAACGTGACTTCCGCCCATTTGCCAGAATGATTCAAAGGCTTAATACAATGATCTGTGTTTCTAACACAAAGATGTATTACATAACTCTCTTTAGGAATTTTGCGAAACCACCTAGTGACTTGCCTTTACCGAATTTTTGAAAGTTTAAATCATAAAAGTAACCCTTCCTAATCGTAAAATTCCTAAAGAGAGTTATGAAATACATCTTTGTGGGCAAAAACATTGGTGTGATTGTGCTTCAAATTAGTTTAGAAGAAGTTTAGGCTCGCTGCTCTCTCCCTATCAAAATCACCTTCTATTTAATTGATTTTGCATCATCTTGTTTTTTCGGTTGTACTGTCGAAATTCAAAAATTCTAAAAATATATTTTTCTTATGACGTCACACCTGAGATCCATATTGCGGCCTCTGATGTATCCCTTGACACCGGATTAAGGTTCAAAGTGGGAACCTTGACTGTCATACTTTTTGCTGTGTCATGCTGAATCGTTATTCCATAGGTTGTTCTATTTTCAGTGTGAAGAAGTCACGAGAATGCCAATCAAATTCTCTATCTGCCAATCATTTTGAACTTTCACCAATCAGTACCTTTGCACAATATCATATGATCAGTCACATGATTTTATGTATAATTGGCGTCGTTGCGCTGAAAACGCATTCAGAAAATTTGGGTGAACGTCTGACCTTGCTTCAACAGTGCTTGAACGGGTGGACTAGCCAAGTTGCATTTATCTAGATTTTACTGTACAAGAATTAAGAACCAAAGATTAAAAATGGCAGTTTCACAAGTAAGACAAAACTACCACGAAGAATGCGAAGCCATGGTGAACATGCAGATAAATCTTGAGCTGTACGCTAGCTATGTGTACATGTCCATGGTGAGATTTTATTATGTAAACTCGAACTTAGGCCATAGTTGTTCCGCCATGTTTTTGTTGACACGTCGGAAATTTAACGATAGTCTCGATCTTTATTTCA